ACAATTCTACGGCCATCATACTCAGGATATTTAGCCAAAAATCTATCTGCGCCCATTTCTTGCCTAAGTAAAAGCCCGTAAATATGGAAAGTCACCGGTGATAGCCGCCATCTTTGAAAGGTCAGCATTAGATTCCATCCACCAAAACCACCTCGGTCGAGAGGGACTGAGATGGAATATTTAATAACTTGCAAAACATAACCGAAGATTCTCGGAAATCCGCTAGTGATGTAGCCGAACATCAAAAGCTGTAAATCCCATGATTCTTGAGGAACAAACAGAAACAGCATAGCGAGAATTTCAAGTCGCGAACCATTGATGGTAGACATGCAGATAATTTACGATACGTAAATTCTGTTGATGAGGCGCATAAACTTATTGCGGAATTTGAAACAGGATTGACGACGAAGTTTTCTTTCTTTAAAGCTGTCAAAGGTTTCGGGAACACATATATATTGATATAGCTCTTTAGCATTTCAAAGCTTTGCTATCGCTATTGTGCATTCTCACTAGTTTATCTAGTTCAAGTCCTCTGGCATGGCTTGGATGATACCACAATTGTGGAATCATTCGGGTTAATTTAATGCTTACACCTCCTTCCTCGGACAGAAGTCACAAAATACTGGGGGAAGATGCATGAGATATTTAAGGAGCAAAAATTCGTTTTTTACTGGTGTGTCTTTCCTAATTTTGAGAAGGAAAGTGTTCAATTGCCAGCACGGCATAGATAGAACAGCTGGAGAGAAAAGGAATCGAAAAGATGCAGAAGAAGTACTGTATATAATAATTTCTTTTTATCCTCAACCTTTGTGTTTCTGTCAACTATGGCTTGCTAATTCAAAAGGTCAAATACTTGAATGAGTCATATGACATTGATCTCAGAATACTTTTATGACAAACGTGATAACAGTTCAATCTTGGCTAAATTGAAGATGGTTTAGAAGTTAACAATTATAAGAACTTTTCACTAACATATGGTGCTGACAAAGGAGAAAATATATGCAATTCTGCATTTTTTGCTTTCTATCAAGCAATCATATGTTTGCTCCTTATCATGCTATGACACTTCCGTTTTGTCACATTCCAAAAAATAACTTGAGAAATACACTGTCACTCATCTTACACTGTTATATTTACCTATTACAGAAGGCTGGAAACAAAGATTTTGTTTTCAAGAAAATAAGATTTCTTGTCCAAGACACAAGGAAGTTTGACTGCAAAGCACAGATAAAAATGCGAGAAATTTTATTTTTTTCAGAGAACAAGGTAGTTCTACTCGTGCATAAACAGAAAAAATGCGATTTAATAAATCAGATATGCGGCATGACTCCTTTTCTTTCATTCCCACTCAAAACAAGCAAACACACCTATAGAGGTTCCAGTCTGGTCTGCAAATGAAAAGGAGGAAGGTGATCACTGCAAAATTAAGCATTAGGGTTCTTATTTATAACATATTGATTATCGTATACTGATATCTAGAAATTAAGGTTGCAAGTAGCAGCCAGCTGAGTTATAGTTTGAGTTTTATCAAGTCCATTACTTTGTTAAATTTAGAGTAACCTTGTCTTGAGAGAGGAAAATTGAGGAGCTGTAATATACTTATCATCAATTAGGGACCACAAAGAAAAATTTATTTATAGAGACTTTTGAAGGAGAGGGGTAAGACTTGTGACAAGCTGGCAGACATATAGATAAACTTTACTGCTAAATGGGTTACAATACAAAGTGCTCAGTATTTGGATCAGCTATGGCTCAACTTAAACTTTGCTTTAGCTTCAAGTTTAATCCTTTGTGGTTTCCTTTCTCTGTGTTTATTTTTCACGTTATGTACACAGAAGAACACAAAATTGACAAGGAATGCTTTTGAATATTAAGAGGCTGGAATAAGCAAGAAACCAAAACTGAATTTTAAACAGTACAAAGTTAATTTGATCTTCCAATGTTATTTAATTTTAACCATTAACAGAATTTGCTATTTAAATTTATCCCCTCCATTTTTCTGGATATTGTGAGCAAAAACAAACAATTATCACAAAATGCATGGTATACAATGGTTTGATTCACCAACGTGGCAAAGGCCTTTCACTGTCTATCCATAAAAAGGGAAATAGTTTGTAAAATGTAAGACATTCTGCATCTTGAGCATATACTTATTCATCCATGTGAAATTAAAGGTTACTTGAAATAAATGTGAAAGATTTATAGGATTTCCAGACCCCTGATAACAATTACTAATGTGCTGATTTGTTGTACTTAAAGGTTATGATTTTAGCGGAAATAGTGTTTTCTGGACCTGGAATTTTGTTGCAAATGTCTGTTTAAATCAGTTTAAGTCAGTTAAAAACTCTCCTGTTTCAAGATTACATGATTACCACACCAGAACCTTTTGTATTCTATATTGTGCACCATGTTATGATTATGGTTTCAATAATAAAAGGTGCTGACTCAAGAACTTTGCAAAATATCTCTACATACAAAGAAATAGATTGCGGTTATGTACTCCAAATAGCAAGTCACATCAGTCTTCTGTAAGGAAGTACCAGAAATTGCTATGGTGGTTTTGGTGGATGGAGAGAAACATCCACCAAAACCACTTTATTTTATGTGTTAAGAGTTATGATAATCATTATGAACGTTTGGTCGGTCAGCAATTGTGCACCATAAAAAATAATTAGCCAGAGCACTAACAGCTAATTAGTGGTATAAATCTTTTGTCTCCCTGAATATCTAACAGTGGCTATAGATAAAATTAAAAAAATATATTGTTGATGGTTTTGGTCAAAGTTTTGGTGGATGTTCCCTAATGACATCCACCAAAACTACGTAATATCTGGGCACCTTTTAAATACGTGAAATATCTGCATAAAATTGCGTAAAATGTTTTATAATACTACAATCGAACAATAAATTAATACTTACCATTTCTTGAGTAAAAAGTTTTGACGCAATTTCCCAAACAAATGATACACTTAGGTCATCGGGATAAGTCGGCATGTTGTCGTAGCTTCGTAATTTTCATTTAGTATAACAAGTCATGAGTTGTCCATCATTCCATCTCAGTCCCTCTCGACCAAGGTGGTTTTGGTGGATGGAATCTAATGCTGACCTCTTTGAACCAAGTGAAGATTACCGCTGACCCAGTGATTCTGGAACGGAGGTTATGATAACCGGGGAAGGGTAGATGGTGGTTTCGTTTGTGAATAAGCACAACACGTTTGCTTTTGAAAGCCATGAAATAGGTCTTATGGGAGTAAAACATTCAATAAAAGCTTTGAATAGCGTAGTCTAATTGGCATTTTGGGGGTTTTCTGACAAGTACAAACACGATGAATACTTTAGAACAGTACCCTACCCTAGTGACATTTTAGATTTGGTCTCTAATTTTCAATTTTTATCAGGAATGGGATCGCATTATGCCCGCATTTGAAGTGAATATTCAGTCCATCACAAATTTTGCAATCTAACCACTTCCCTACCAATGGTAAAGAGAAGCTAAATATTAATTTATTTCGGGAGTTAGAGGATTGAAACTCATTGCTACCTGAATTCTCAAGTTTTAAGTCCCTCAAGTTTGGGAGATAGTTGGTATAGTTTTGAAAGAAAATAAGTGTGAATCACAATACTTCAAGAATGTGGACCAGGCTTATTGAAACTCCTGTAAGTAATATCTTTGTCCAGCTCAACTCTTCAACTCAACAGAGTGATCAGTCTACAGACTTACTTAACAATTTTTAATACATTGTCAAGCAGACAGTACAAATAATAGACTAAGAATGAAGTTTTGTCCATTATGTCTCACTTTGTAGTCACTTCTGATGCCATGTACATACTGGCAATATGTACTCTCATCCACAGTGAATACATTGTGAAAGAAAAGACTTGATTCCTATTCAGCACTTCCAGTTGAAACATTTCTTGAGAGAGATTATCCTGCAGTTTCACATGTTCAGGTTAAGCAGTTCTAATTTCAAATGTGCACAAATTTGCAAGGTTGTCAGTAACAGTTAATGTACTGGAGCAAATTCATAATAACTTAAAAATTGAGGCTTTTCTTACTCTGAACTAGGAGCTACCTGCAAAAAGTTGGAGCTGAACAAATCACAAGTATTATCATTATATCAACAAGTGATGAATAGCAATTACCAAGGTAGACCATGTAATAAAATTTTTGAATCTTAATAAATTTTTGGCTCAGCAGACCAATTATTTCTCATCATAAAAAGATGTCTCAAGGGATAAAATAATTGTAAGATATATAAGTCTCTTTTCTCCCTTAAAAAACTCATTCTCAGTACTCTTCAAAAATTTCAATTCCCTTACATCAATTACATGGAAACTACCTTTTTTCTTCAGAATCACCTAAAAAAGCTACATCTTTGCCAATATTTTCCCTAAACTTACAAGATTTTTCCTATTTTACCTTACACTTGACAAGAATCTCTTCCATCTTATCATATTCTATGACAGTCCAATCTGGGCAAATATTTTTTCATTGCACACTTGAGAAGTAAGAATGTCCTTAAGGTCTTAGAGACAATTGTTCCCATTTAAACAAAATTCATAGCTATAATCTAATCACTAAAAAGCTGATTTATACAATATCTATTCTCTATATGCTTCAGAAAGTTTAACTTTACCACATCAATTACATAGAAACTACATCTTTTTATAAAATTTTCATCTTTGGACATGGAAACTACATCTTTTTATAACATTTTCATCTTTGACAATATTTACCAAAAACTCACAAGATCATTCCTATTTAATCTATGAATGTTATAATGTAAATGCTTAAAATGTTATAGTCATTCAATAAACTACAAATCTAAAAGATCATTTCTATTTTGTCTACAAATGTTGCTATGTAAATGCTTAAAAAAATATTATTCATTTAATGAACTAGAAATCTGAAAGATCATGCCTATTTTATCTATAAATGTTGTAATGTAAATATTTTTTTAAAAAATATTATTTTACATCGATAAACTACAAATCTCACCAAAATTCTCTGACTTAGAAAGGGAAAATAGATTATTAGAACCTTCAATGCATTTCTTTAATTAGCCTGTGATCAGGTCATTTGGTTTTAACAGTATTATCCACTGAGTTGATGACATAAATTGGCCAAGGTAAAAAGTTTCCAAGCAAAATATTCCTCATTCGTTCTGATGAAGGGCTAATGCTTGAAACGTCAGCTTTGATCCTCTTTACTGTGGCCAATTTAAATTATCAACTCAGGTGATAATGCTAAATTACCCAATTATACTCTCCCAATGGTGCAGCACCACAGTTTCTTTAGAAAATTACCCCCTTTATTCATCTATCTGGTTTTAAATAAGCAAGCTTTAGGATGACTTTAGTGCTCTCCACATGTAAGAGTTGTCTCCCAACTTCATCTAGTAGTATACAACATTTGAACAATTTTTGTGGCAGTCTGCAATGCTGATCCAGCTTTCTGTGGCATTACCAAATTTAGTACTAGTCTTATAATGGCTGAAACTACATGACTGTCCATAGTTGAGTGTCATTATTACACTGCTTTATTTATCTACAAAGTTGATGCAGAGTCAATCAATATTCAAAACCCATTAAATCATATGACAAAAAATAGCCAGGCAGTCTGAACCTTTTCTGAACCAAAAATCAGCAGGAGTGATCGAGTGTCTCTCAAAAGCCAGCATGTACATTCCATATTTGTCTTTGCAGCAGGTGCGTCCATGTCACAGAAAAATGAATCCATAGACCACTGCCAAAATAAAATTGAGAAACAATACTTATTTCTGCATAGCATCCATGGATACACCCTGTAGGACACTAATGGCCTTGTGCCATCCATGTCCCTCACAGCCATCATAAAAACCAGGCTGCAATTCTAAACTAACCATTTGTACCAAATTTTAATGACACAACTGAGGGGGATGCATACTTTTAAGCCTGAAACCCACAACTGCAAGTTTACTAATGCCCATTTATCTCTAAAACCCGGTGACTTGAATATTCAAGGCTTTTAAATCTCACCATCAATACAATCAACTAATTGAAATCATTTGACATATGTAAACTACTTTTGGTCTGGATAATGTTAGTTGTATGCAGCAAAGTTTGATGTTCTAAACAGAGATTAATACTTGTACTTCACCCCTTGTGTGCAATTTTGTTTGATTGTAAGAATTTTAAAGTATCACTGAAGAGTTACAAGGGGTAAAGCTACTTTCACAGCTCCTGCTTCATAAGAGCTCTCTTAAGAGCTCTCATAAGAGCTCTCAACTCCAACCTTTACTAGACAATATTTCCCTTTGGTAATTATCAGATAACCACACATACCTCTCAAGAATGTTTTGTAGCTTGGAACTTGTGTAGTGCATTCAATACACTTTCATGGCAAGTTTGATCTTTGGTGGAATCCATAATCTCATTTTTCAGGGTTCTGCAATCTTGTGTGTATTTTTTAGGGTTGATTTCCCTTCTTCTTTGGTCATACATTTTGTATTCAATCCAAGCAACTACAGATGTTATGTCATCATCTTTGAATGACTCATTCCTATCACTGCTGCCAGGCCGGTATCTCAAATTCTGCTTCACTGGTTCTACAAGTAGCTTTATTCCATTGTTCCGTATTGAGTCCTTTATATTAGGATCTCCAGGCTCAAGAAGATCACAACCAGGGACCTTTACTGGACGTTTCTCCACGTTTTTTGAGATCTTTTTGTAAAGATGGTCAGCCTCTTCCTTTCGCAAAAGTTTAGCTGGTGAGCGCTTGATGTCGTTTGGATCACCATCATTGTCGTCATCTTCAATGGATCGTTTGGAGGGGGATTTGTGCTCTGGAGGGCCACTTTCATAACGGGTTTCACTGCCTCTTTTTGAAAAAGGGTCATTGAAGAGAGAATTCATCTGTGATATGTACTCAGATTTTAGTCCCTCTGAACTCTGGAATGATGCTTCCTGTCTGTCATGTTTGATCTTTTCAGTTATCCCCTCTTCTGATTTTAATGCATTGCAACCAGATTTAGTTGTAATAACAATGAGATAACAAAAACATCTTGACATTGCAGTGTATAAAAGTTCCTTAACCTTCTTCACTGGCCAGTCACTCTTTTGAAGAAATTGTGGGTTGTAAAGAACAACCACTTTTGATTCCAAACCCTTAAAGCGCCTAATGCTTTCAACCACAACTTTGTTGGCACTTGAATTCCGTTCATACAAGTCTTCTGCATTCTGAGTCTCAATTCCCATTTCCTTGAGTTCTGAACTGATACCATCTCGAATATCTACATTTTGAGTCAGAATGCAGATATCCTTGGCATCAACTTTGTCCCTGCAGAGCTTTTTTATATGCTTCACAATGCATGCCACATCAACAACCTTTCCAACCAGCGAGTTGTCCCATGTAATTTCTGGTCCACGTACATGGTGTGCTAGTGTGATAGGTTCTGCATTTGAATTGTTGGCCCTGAAGTACTTCTTTGACTGATCAAAGATGCTTCCAGTGCTTCTGTAAACTTTGGTGAGTGTGGCACCTTTCCTTATTGATTTCTTGTGGTGCTTGTACTGCTCTTCAGATAGTCCCACATACTGATTTGTATCATACAAGAACCAGATGTGTTTTGGTTGACCGAAGGAATAATCATCATCATCATCATCATCATCATCATCATCATCATCATCCTTTTGCAACCTCTTGAAAAGGGTTGGCCATCTGTCACCATAAAGGTCTTGGCATTCATCAACAAATACATGATCATACCGTTGAGTGAACACAGATCCTTGCTCTACAACTTCTAGTGCTTGGGCAACATGTTTTTCTTTCTCTTGATCAGAGTCACCAGTTCTGGACCCAGTTATATCAGAGAGAAGCGACTCAAAAGTTTTCACTTCAACTACATCCTCTAACTCTCCAGATTCCAGAAGGTTGATTAACCTTTTTTCAAACTCTTTTTCAAACATCTTGGACAATGGCCTGTTGTAACAGGCCACAAGTATTTTTTCTCTATTTCCCTGCAAGAGTGCTTTCTGAGCAAGCATTACTACCTTTTCCATCAATAGCCATGTCTTTCCACTACCAGCTGGGCCTGTTATCCATTGCTCTGGCACTGAATTCAAACTTACTGACAACTGCTCTATCGTGCGCAGCTCTAGCACATCTTTGGTATCAGCAATCACCTTGCCAAGGGTACAAGGAACACTGTGAGACATTCCAACAAAGCTGCAATTTTGAGAAGTGTTTCAGAAAGCAATCTTTTTTGTCCTTACAAAAAATATTGAAATTAGGTAGCCCCATGAAACTATGGATTAAACTAGAGCTCAGGGCCCGGTTGTTCAAAACCGCGATTAAACTAATCACCGATTAGGCCTAATTGGCCATTAAATTTCTTAATTGTGGGTTAGTTAATCGTTGGTTAAAAAACGGATGTTCAAAGGGAGATTACTCGGTCGATTTACTAATCCGCGATTAAGCATAAAATGAATTATATTAATTATAATTTATTTTGTGCCAGTTTACGTCATAAAATTGCCGGAAATTTATTTTTGTCAATATGGCTTCTCCAGCGAAGAAAGTGCGGAAAGCAAACTTTTCACCCACTGAAATTTCCGTTTTAACGGAAAAATTTGAAGAAAATATGGACATTCTTCAAAGTAAATTTACCAACAGTATAACAAATGCAAAAAAAAACAAGATTTGGGAAGAAATCTCGGAGGCGGTAAACGCCGTTGGTGTGACAGCAAGATCAACGCAGGAAGTACGAGACAAGTGGAAAAACCTCCAGAGTCACGCAAAAAGAGAATTCAGTTCCTTTAAAAGTGAACAGAAGAAGACAGGTGGTGGCCCTGCTCCCCCGAACCCATCAGAAGCCAGTTTAAAAATAATAAACATGTTCAGTGACACACCGTCATTTACTGGGTTACAGGGGTTTGAAACAGGTAAGTTTATAAATGGAAACATTATTGTAATACCTCTCAATGTCCATACCTTGCATAAAATGTATACTTCGCTAACAAACACAAAGCAAAGTGAAAATTAACGGACTTTAGACTTTTGTTTCTTTCTTATTTTCTTTTACATGTACTCCCATGTAAACAAAAAAACAAATGGTGCCCGAAAAGTCTGCCTTGCTCTTAATTCTTCATCTGTATATCCATCTATCGTGAAACCGATGCTCCTAAACTCTCTTTGCTTCCTTTTTCTTCGCCCATCAACACCAACACAACCATACAACAAGTCAGCCATGTTGTGATTTTTATTTTTTAATCTGCCGATTAAGGATTTAATCCACCTAGCGAGCAGGGTTAGATTTAACCCTTGGTTTGATCGAAGGTTAGGAATAATCGGGCTTTGAACAACAGAAACTAATCGGCGACTTAAATTTAATTGGCGATTAGCCTATTTAATCGTGGATTAGCGCTAATCGCAGTTTTGAACAACCGGGCCCAGGAGCATTGCCCCAAATGCCAAGCCTCCTTCATCAAGCAACTGTCAACAATCACTTTGCTGGATATCATCAACCTACAAACAAGACCATTTACTGGGGCTCTAAACAATGCTTTAATGCCTAAATCTGGAAAGCTGGTTCACTAACTTAACCCTTTCACCCCCAAGATCTCATTAGTAATTCTCCTTACTGTCTGCCACATAGTTCTTGTGATCTTAGTTTGGAGAATTTGTCATTGGATCAACTAATAATCCACTTATTAATATTTTTCTTTATTCTCATCACTTGTCTGCTTGATATTGCATTAATATTGTAGGGAGAAATTCTGTCTTGGTCACTCATGGGAGTTAAAGGGTTAAAACAGTATCATGTCCACAGATGCCAACATATAAGGGCACCATGCAAACCACTTGTTCATAATAGTTACAATTATACAAACAAACCATGCAGAATGACCTGACATTACCAACACAATTACAGTGTAAACTGACCAATCAGGACCCACTTATGCCATAAGTCTAATGGCAAATAACACCCTGGCAAATTGACCAATCAACCCAACTTATAATACTCGACTAACAACAACTTTTCACTTGACTCTGATGATGACTTCCATAAAGATTGTCAAAACATCAGCCACTACTCTTAAACAGCCCTTCTCAGGACTTAAACCATCAACCAGTTAATCAGACTACAGGATTAAATTATAAGATACATGAATCAACCAGAACATAGAAAATAACAGAAAGCATAATTATATTCCTGTAACTCACCGCATGACAAGGTATTCAAACAGTTTTTGATCAAAAACTGTCTCCCTCTTGACTTTTTTGTCCCACCACTCAGAAAATGCCTTCAAATTTTCACAATCCTCCTTAAAGACACCATTTGGACGGCTTACAACTGAGCCATCTGGACATGGGCAGTTTGGCATAACAACAAACCCTGGGTATGTGGATAATAACTCATGATCAATTTCTCTTTTCATTCTGCCCTTGACATTCTCCTCAATAAAAACTTGTAAGGATTTCCTGTCTTTGTTAATTTGTTCAACTGCTTGGGCAAATTTGTCTCTCGTTCTCTCTGCTGCCTTCACCTACAATAACAAAAATACTTGGAACTTAAAATCATATAATCAAATATACAGTCTAATATCAAGCAGACAGTGATGAGAATAAAGAAAAATACCACTAAGGAGATTATAAGTTGATCCAATACCAAACTCTCCAAACTTACATCACAAGAACTGTATGGCAGACAGTATGGTTAATGCAGGTTCCAAAGGAAAGGTATGTTTTAAAAAAACAATTAGAAATGCCATTTCATGCCATAATTGACCTCTTTAATGCACAATAGCTCCCTCAAAAATACTATAATTGAAGATAAAAATGGATTAAATTGTACTTAAAAGATTATTCTTAATTTTGTTTGAGTGTTTCCACTTCAAGGGATCCCTAAATATGAGTGGTGGACAACACAAACAGGCCAGTGGGATTAATTGGTGACCATGACTGCTCAAGTTACAGTCAACAAAATACGGACAACATTTTTAAAATTGCTTTTTCCCTCATTAATTAGGAAAAGCAGTTTAATTTTCAAAAATAAGATTTTCAAAATCTTAAAAAAAAATAGGAGATACAACTGAAAAACTGTTCCAAGGGAACCTTTCCTGAAATGTGAAAGGTATCATATCTGGAGGGGCCTCCATCAGAGAGTTGAACTTTTTCATAGGCAATCGTCTAGGATCTGATTCACACATTTTGTTTACAACATGTCTTGCACCACTTAGCAAAGAGGAATTTCTGTCACCTTTCACAGAATGCTTAGAAATAAGATGCTTCATTAAACAGCCAAAGACAAAATGGTAGCAAGAGAGCCCACGATTGGGCTTTGCAAATCATATAAAAATTACAAGATCACTCAATTATGAACGAGTAAGCTAATATTAGAAACTGCCTTGAATACAAATCTCTTATACTGAGTAGGTAAGTCAGTCTAACAAAAAATACATTTCTTCTGGATAACAATACTTTCTAGAGAAAGATGTTTTTCGTCTGGTCACGAGCACCTTTCTCTATTTCTTTACTGAGCTCAAAACTAACCATCTCTCTTATTCTATTTACATAATACTTTCTGTTACCTGGAAAAATATGATTCCCCACTGGTGATGAATAACAACAAAATCATGCTCTCCAATCAGCCACTTCTCTTCCCTCCTATTTGATCTCGTACTCCATTCAAAAATCAACTCCGCAAACTTGTAAGAGTGAATAACAAACATTCCTTCTGAACGACTCTCTCCAAACTCTTGTAATAGGTCAAAAAACATCTTTTCTGTTTGCTCTCCATCACTTAGTTCCCGTTTTTTGCATGGGAACACACATGGGACCATATATGTTCTTGATGGGTGTCTCCAGTCTTGATATTCATTATTCAGAAGATCAATAACCTCATCGTCCCAGTTTCTCTCTCGCTTACCATTAAGGTCATTTTGGCACCCAGTTCTAACGGTAGGTACACCCAGCATTTTGTCTGATGATTTCTATAAAATATAACCAAGGATAGGGTATGCATTAGCCTAATAGCAAGCATTCTTAAACTACAGATCAGTTGGTTTGAATTACACTCTGCCCATTAAGTAAGCGATAGGTGTTAGGTAAAGTAAACACAAGGAAGAGCCTCTCACGAGCGAAGTGGCCAATGCGACGAAGTCTTACACTGGTTTCAATAACATGAAAAAAATAGGACTATTGGGATATCAGTCCATCGTTGGTTACTTTTCAGGTTCTCCCGAAAGTTTTCTTCTACCAATTTCAGCTCCTGGGTAGAGAGAGGCTCTAGGAAAGTAAAGTGCCATGCTGAAGAACACAAAACAATGATCACACGTATCGGGTTAACACCCTGTTGGCGTTGATTTCAAGAAATGATCTGCAAGGAAGAATTCTTTGTCTTCAACACTAAATGAAAGTTAAATTTCCTGCCAGATCTCTAAAGTTAGTTATCTAAACTTAATTGATCGATTTCAGTCGAACACAACCCCTGGTTTAGTTCGGTTAAGTTCAACTGAAAATCTGTTCGACATGCCTTCTGGAAATTTCGAGCATATTAAACACTGCCCTACATTTTCCGGGCATTCATCAAAATTCAACAAGCTTCAAGGAGTTCTCTACGATTAGGCGTTATTTCCATTCTACATAATAGCGTTTGTATCCGTTTAAACGCTACAAAGAGTCACTGCTTGCGAAATGAAACCACACTCGAGAAAACGGCGATTGGATCACTTTCGATTTCATTCACCGTTTCAATCTGTCGATCTGTTGTTCAATCGACATTTCATTCCTAATTGATCGATCTTTCGCGAAATAAAAGATAAATTAGGTATTACTCACTTCTTCAAGAAGTTCGCCCGCTAAGAAAGCAAAGTAACTGCAATTTTCGCCAAGAGCGTCAAAGTTTCACTTACTGATAACCAAACCGAAGGTGCAACTGAACGTGAAAAAGATGAATTTGGCGCGAATCGATATCACACTCATTCCCAGGCTTTTCAGTCCACTGGAGACAAGGCTGATGTACCGTGTCATTCCCAGTCTTCCTACGATACATCACAAAATAAGTATTTGTTTACTATGAAAAAAGCCACCGAAATGACGATCAATGGTGTTAGGATCGGTGAATTAAAGCGTTACTGAGTACCTGTAGACTGGAGAACTGGACGCCAGATAGAGAAGACACGAAGTAAAATTTATTACTCGATTAGGTACTCAGCAGCAGGAGAGAGCCCAATAAAAGAGTCGGACTGTAATCAGCGCGAAGCTCCGGAGGTTGTGCAAGGGTATGGACTGGAAGGCCTCTAGCCTTCCCCCCTCCCCCGATAACCACCTCTGTGCATTGAAAATTATAAATTAACGAAAGTGGCAAAGTGGCAAAAATTAGAATAGATTTTTCATAAATTCGTAAAGGATCCGTTTCCAACTAAAAAACTTTTTTAAGACGGCTTAATCGCGAAACAAATTTCCAGTTGATTGTCGAATTTTGTCACTCTAAGTGCAGCTATTACATTGCTAACAGAGATTTTTAATTGAATCAGATCGACAATATTGCATATCATTTGTTCTGTTGTTACCGCAGTAATTTCAACTTAAAGCTCATCTAATGGAGTGTTTACGACATTGCAATTGAAATCAAAGGGTTGTAGATACCCAGTCTCGTACCCAGTCCTTACATGGCCACACGGTTGTAACACTCGCACGGTAGGATCTTGGTTCAAGATTAGTGCACATCATACATAAAATGGCCAGAGTGTCAAACTTTCCAAGAGGGTGAGAGTTGGGGGAAAGGAAAAGAAGGAAAGACCTTCCTCTCCCTCTCGCTCCGCCCACGCCCCGTTCCCTTGGATGTCTGATACTCAGGCCATATTGGAAAGTGATGAGCAAAGAAGTCTCAGTTCGACTCGGTATATAAACTTATAAAAAAAAAGGTCGGGACATGCACACCACTTAAGATAATGTGAGGGCCAACTTTTGATGGAGCCCTCCTCTGGTACTTTAAGGTTCTCCTTCAGTTTTCTAACTGAACTTTTTTCATAGACCTGTGCTGAATTCTCACCGACCACTTCAAAAAAGGAAGTCTGCTTCACTGCTTATCTCTGTTATGGCTATCTCCTTCGATTGAACGCAAGTGAGATTCCCTTCGCCAGCTGTCTCAATGGCTAAATGGATCAACCACGGAAGGAACAGCGAATGGTACAGATTTCTCGGAATCTACGGTAGCGAGACAAATTAATGAGGCTAATGACTATATCCCAATTATTGCTTTCTGTTATTTCGAAATTAAAAAATACAGTATCGTTCTGTTTCGAGGTGCCTCTGCCCTTAAGATCGAGCAGGCAGAGCCTTTTGGGCAGAATTTACCCTTTCACTCCAAGATCTCATCGGTAATTCTCCTTATTGTCTGCCATACAACTTTTATTGATGCTAGTTCTGAGAACTTTGTATTGAATCAACTGATGATTCCCTGATTCGAATTTTCCTTTATCCTCATCACTTTTCCGTCTGATGTTGTATTGACATTGCAAACTACAGGCAAGTCGGAGAACTATCTTAAGCACAACACAGACGCCACGCGACAAAGAATCGACTTGTGCTTATTCTTAGTATTCGATGCTCCCGATCTGCTTCCTTTGACAAATGCCTTGCCAAAAAGGTCTTAAACTCATTACAGACTTCCTGAGGGCGCTGTAAGTCCCACCCTTAAGTATGAAGGTACCCCTGCACCTACATCAATATTGCTACTGACTCTAGGTCAAGATTGCATCCTTGAGTTTACATTTTAAGATAATTTGAACAATCGGATATTAATTAAAATTAAATGAATGACTACATAGATTGCAGCAATTTTCAATTGAGCGTCGAAAGTAGTCCAAGATTGCCTTAGCTTTGCTTTAATTTGCCCTGTGATCGGATTAGAAAACTTGCGCCACTTTTTCATGCAACCACTCAGATGCAAAACTAAAACTAAACGCGCTTTGGTCGCGCACGTTTTCCCGCGCTTTAGGCGGTTTGGTTACTTTTACTTTGAGTTCTTATTAGCTCCTAAAGGTATTTTTTCTTTCCTCTGATTGGCCGTCATGATTATTTTGGTTTTGATTTACGACACTGCATCGAAAAACGCCCTAATTTATACATTAATTATCCGGTTTCCCATTAAAAGCCAAGGAAGACAGTCAGACCGTCGACTATGATGACGGGTTTAAGTCACTTTTGCACAGTGAAGGCTTGCCTGGTTTGTGTCAATTACTTATAAGGATAACATACTCAGATTTCATTTTTTTTCTTTCTATAGGAAAAAACATTGTTCGTCTCTTACCCTTCTTCGGCGAACTCTTTCAGTCTTTAAAATTTGCAGCTGCCAGGAACTAAAATTCTTGAGCAAGCATGTGGTGCCGCAGAAAATGAACAATGACTACCTTGCACTCTTTCTCTTCCACACCCCATGATGTTTTTGAACATAGGAGCCTTTTGTCTTTGGACTCACTTTTGGGCTGTTGTATCTGTTGTAGCACCTCTATCAGCTGTCCAGGTACAGCTGGCTGCTTTACTCGCCTCGCTTTTTTCGGTTTCCAAACCGGAAGTCATACAAGTCGGACGAGGGCGACAGCGGTAGACCAGAAAAGAATCTACAATCCAACTTGCTGGTCATGATAGAATTGAGATGGGTCAATAAAAAGTTGCTTTTCCCCTGTACGGAAATCGTCTTTCCTAAAAATACCACATGAAGGTTCTTCAAGTTCTGCTCCAATGAAGACATTTTTAGATAAGTTGAAATCAATCCAAGTTCAAAGTAGTTGCGTGTGATTTGATACAACTAGGAATATGAAGCTGAATTACACAAGCCTTTTGCTGGATTGGTTCCTATTGATGACCCATTGGGGAAAAGATGCAAAGATGACGTATCAGTAGGCAACATTTCACTTTTTTTCTACATGAAATAAATAGATCCCATGATGCCCTGCGTTTGTTCAGTAATAGGAAACGAGCCGAAAGACTTGAGGACGAACAGATTAAAGAGAGGACGGACTTGCTATATTTGGTGGGGCGAACTAATTGAATTAGGGGCGAACTAGTATGGGGGAAACTTGCATGGGGGCGAAGCCTAAAATGCAATGTTCAATAATACAATTAATGAAGAAGTAGTTGAAATTCCTATTAAAAAATTAATATAATGATTCATAAAGCCGTTAACAAAAATGAGAATGCTTAAAGAAACATGTTGTTCATAATAAAAAGTGGAAGGTATGTCGAATGTCCAGTGTCAGCAGTCGCCTCGAGAAAACTTGGTGGTTGATGGCAAATCTCCGACTTTTTATGGCGCGACTGAGAGGAGAACGTCAGTCTGAGTAACCAGTTATTATTCATTGCCTTGGAGCCGGAAGGGGTTGGAAAGAAGGATTTTGGGGGATTACATGATTTTCAGGGGCAACAGAGAGGGGGTGCGTCGTCGCCAACAGAATATAAAGGTAGAGACTATGGAAAATTGACTGTTAATGAGGGAAATTAATCATTAAAATACTTCAGAGCCTTCGGGGAGAGGGATGGGGGGATGGGGGGGGGGGGGGAAATCAGGCAAATTTCATTGCGACACAACCACAGTTCTCCGATCCTCCTCCCCAACCCAGGTAATAAATAACCGCAATGGTTGCTAGGCACCTAGAAATTTTTCTCTCTTTTTTTTTTTTTCGTGCAACAGCATATTAACACTGAGAAGATCGTGAAAGTTCTGCACTCTTACACTTTGGATTAACAGCGCTCTCTACCTGTAAGAGAAAGCTTCACTGAAATCTGTAAAATCCAAGAGCTTTACAGTTTGAGAGGACTGACACGACATTAAATTACCCCCTGCTTACTTCCTGGGGCACGATTCTCATTACAAAGGCATTATTAAGTTGATGAATTTTTTGGTAGACAATGAATGTTCATTTGCAGCAGTTGACGACGAGAAAACCATCTGTCAAGACTACAGCTTAACATCTTTATTAATAGTCTAAAACACCCAGAAGCTGAGAGCAGATATGTTTTGACAAGAAGCCATTCATGAATGTAAAATTTCAAGGTCACCAGACAACTAACAGATAAAACATACTACACATTTTCGACCTTCGCTGCTTTTCCAAGTTTATCAGCCACAAGGGCAGTCCACTTCCATCCTTGCGATAATTCAGCGATCAACACTTGCTAATGGTTTTTTTTTTCTATATTTTTCGAGTGCTCTTCTGTAATGTCAAAGACTTTTTGTCAGCTTTAACCATGATCTAGGTCATAATATAGTGGATAAAACGTGGCCACCTTTTCAGAATCATCTTATGACAAGAAATGATCCTTTCGAGATGAAGCAGCAGGTATTCGTGGGGGCTTCAGTCATTGTTGCTGGCTGTCGCCAACAAGTCCCGCCTGCGGCAATTTTCACCCCTGGATGAGGTAAACAAACTTCTTTGTTCATTTCACTTCTTGTCGTGTTCTTAAATTCCATTCAACTTCCCCTTGTCTCATGAGGGAAAAAAGCCAAGATCACGTCTTAATGTCGCGACGAATGTTCCGCTATGTGTTAATAGCTCTGCTTGGGTTTCTGTGGTTTTTAGCAGTCTTGATCACGCAATATTTTTATCGGCTTTTCTTTTCTTCTGGCAACATTTATAACTGTCTTTATTCACCATTATTTACCTCTGTCACCGTTACGAATTTTACATACAAAGTCGGGCGCAAAAAAAAGCACCGTTTTCAGATGTTCGTTTTTTGTTTTTGTTTTTTTTTGTCAGCCGACGAAGAAATCATTTACTTATCTACTCGTCAAAAAAATAAATACCCGTATCTCTCTGTTAGACTTTCCGCACTAGTGTTTAAATATCGTATCTCTGCGCCAAGGGGGCGTATTGTGAAGGAAAATGGCCTAACGTTATCGCTTTAACTTCTCAAGTTTCTTCCTGAAAACTGAAAAAATTACCATGCAATCTGTGCGTATCTTTTGACGTTCTCTATATTGCTCTTAAATTCTAGTTTCCTTTAATACTGAAACCTCATTTCCCCTTCCGTGGTATAAAACTGCATTTAATCGAAATTTGTTAATATGAAGAAAAACTAGGCAATAAATTTGTTCCTGATTAAAATATTCCGGTTTGTTGTCAACGATGTGTAAAAAAGACAAGCTTATTATCATTCGGAAACTCGCCAAATTTGACGAAACGGCGTTTCGTCAAACTGGAGACAGAAAGATCCCTAATGCGTCGACAAATTCAGAGAAAAAATAATTTCAGAGAGCAGCTTTTCGCATCGGTATGAATTCAGGTTTACTATATATCTTTGTTTTTATTTAGGAGGCCCCTTATTTTCAGTTTCGATTTGTGTGTTTTTCTTTACGCATTGCGTTTAAAAGGACTAATACAGATCAGTCTTTCTGATAATTAAGGAAAGCAGATTATTGAAATTTAGCCGTAAGAAGAACACGTTTTAGTTAATATCCTTCTTGTGGTTGAAATCGAATACCAGTTTCGAGAAGGAATTAGAATTTTCTTTTTCCTGTTCTAAAGTGTCTCTGTAAAAAACACTATTCTTTGTATTCTTTGTGAAATGTGTTTTCAACTTGGAGCCTGATGATTTCCTGAAACTACAAACACAAGATTCATTCAAACAAAAAGGCGTTTGCGTGGAGCACATCAATTGAAAAGGAAAATTTTGGATGAAATTTCTCCTTCGAGCAATGCTCGCACATAAAAACATGATTTCCAAATTTTTATTTAAAAGCCTTGTCGAAATTCTTGTTATGCTTATGTGGAAAATTACCGTCTTTTATTTCTCATCAATATTAGTGCGATTTTTTAATATTATTCGAAATGTTTTTGGAAGAATTATCTTCCCTCATGAACTTTTTAATTTTATTTTGGAAACTCCAAATTGCTGATGGCTTTGATCGGTCTTTGTAAAATAAATACGGTATTTTTCTTTGTCCCTCTTAATAATTAGCCTGTACAGTTTAGAGACGAAATGTAAGAGGGATTTATAACGATTGGCAGACCATTAAATATGAGTTTGTTACACTACTCAACAGTAAGAATAAAAGTGGCGTATTTTGAGATATTTCTTCGATACCCTTTCGAATTTTCAGCCAGTCAACATCTAGAGCCGTTCTAACACTACGAGAACTGCTGCTCTAACTGAACGATCAAGTTATCATACATCTGGGGAGCCGTCTTTCTGTGGGTGAAAATTTGTGCATAGCATTAATTATTGAAATCGTCCATCGCATTTTCGATTGAAAAACTTAATGTTGTACTTTTGTTTTTCTTTCAAGTTGTAAATAGCTTTCAGATGTCTAGCTCGTTCCAAGAGATCTCTTATCGAGTTGGAATTTCCACATCTTGACCTCCAACAAGATTATGAACAAAGGATTAACATTAACACATTCAAAAGCATCGAACCGTTAATAAAAAAATAGGCTTCGTCCAAGGAAGAAAGGCAAAGGTCGTATAAAGGGGTTGAAGGACAGGTCTGATGGGTTCGTAATTGTCATCAAAGTGAAAGGCTCTCGGCATATTTCTTTCGTGAGGTGTGTTCAGTAAAAAAAAAAAAGCCACTTGAAAGTCTTCCATTTAGCAATGTCGAGTATTTTTGTCCGGTTTAGGCGGATTCTCGAGTTACGTCGGCTGCAAAATGCACGCTAAGTTCAAGGCCTTTGGCAGAGCACGTTCGTGCCTTCGATAGGGAAAATTGAAAAATTTCGTAAAAGGTTGAAACGGACTCTGTGCCAAGTTGTCAAATAAAGAAGGGAATTTTTATGGAAATTTCGATTCTTGATTATCCATTGCGTGCGTATTGTAGAACATGAGCTTTTCGCCGTTGACAAGTCGGCGGAATATCAAAACATCGGTTATCGAAAAAGTCTGACATGCTCTTTCGTTGAATTGTCAACGGTTCGCTCGCGTTCACGCGAGGATGCCGCGATCGCGCCAATAGGTTGTAAACAAACCTTCAATAAGATTGTTTACGCCGATAGAATCGACTATTATATCGAGCTGCTTTCCGCGGTTTAAGTAGCTAATGTTTACATCTGCCATCTGCTCACATCTTCAGCGCAAGCGAATAGACATCCTGGTTTAGTTAAAAGGAAACCTGTATCAACTATCATAGTATTATTGGCTCTTCTATTTACATTCCGTGTGAATGATGGAGGGCGCAGGAACAAAACAAAAAAATTATTGTGCTACCATCGCGCGCGCGAATTTCCCCTCCGATTTTCAATTTGTTTTATTAACTCATTCCTCTGTTAACATGTGAAGTTATTTCGCTTGTCGGCGGTCCTTGTTACAATATGCAGGGTATATTAAATAGCTAATATAGCTTCTGATTAGTTTTGCATTGTTATGGCTGCAGTTTCGCTTAGGGAAATTGTGTTTATTATCCATGTGGATTTTTCTCGTGGTGCTTAACGCATTTGTATCATAACGTTGAATCTTATGTTTTCCCTTCGTTTTGAATCTATTTGGTTTGCTCTTTGACAAGTCCTGTTGAGGATGAGGAAAAATATTTCGCATTGTTCTCAGAGAGCATTAAAATTGAATAGTATCTTCGTATTCTCAAAGTGTGCCGAGGTAATTTTGACGAGCAACGTATAACAATTTTTAATAAACCTCGCCGCAAAATTAAAAGACGCTTTGAGATGTATTCGCTGCAGCTGGAGGCGAAATGCTTAATGAGATAGTGGAGACTAAATAATTTGTCGTCGATAAAATTTTGCGAGCGAGAAGGAGCCCTTAGTGTTTTCGGCAAAACATAAATATTTGGCCTGCTCCAAATTCTACACCACGCCCCGAGAAATTAAGCTATTGAATTTTTCATCGGGTAACATTCTATGTTTCTAAAATTAATGCTGGTGCTTGTTCAAAACCAAAGGTTTTGTTTGTTATAAAACGGTCGAACCGGTTGCTTGGAAGAAAAACATTCACTTAGGAAGCTTTTAGTCGATCTTCGAATTTGATAACAAACTCCGCAGGGAGCGAATACGAAAAGAATGGAAAAGCATTAAGTTCTTAAATTATACTGGATTCCCTGACGAGTGTTAAAATCAAAATGAGCATGCTATATTTTGTTGTTTAGATTGTTTTCTCGCCGTTCTTTGTTTCTAGACGTGTGGTTTTTCCACTCGACGGGAGGCTTCTGTCGTATCGCTTTCCATTCAACCCGTGGCATAGTTACACGCTTTCCTTAATAAGAATTTGCCAGCTTGAATTACTTCCTTTCATTCGCAAAAGCAGAACACCTTTTTATTTCTTCAAAAACAGTTTAGAAATATTTTGCAAGAGGAAAAATGACACGACTCAAGTAACAAAGTAATGTTTATAATTTAAAACGCTCCACAATGGAAAACTGAATTGTTTTTTCGGTATTTAGAAAATTAAAAAATTCAAAATTTGGGTGTCAATTTTTTGACACGAAGTCTAATGAACAACTGCCTCGCTTGTTCTCCGTCATTGTGAATATTTTTCTCAACATAAAACCACACAGTAATTCATTCTCACATAAAGCGTGAAAGTCAATCATCTTCAACAAACGTGTAATTCGCTGTACACCGTACTAATAATCATTTTTTAATCGTGTAATATGTTTAGGTGAAATTAAATTAACTTCGCGGCCAGTGAAATGAATTTGCCAAGCGTGGTTTCTGCTTTATCGTGTTATCTGCTGACTATTTCGAACTACAGGAGGCCCTGAGAGACGATTTGCATAAACCCATCTTGTTCTCGCTTACATTTTAATGAAGTTGGTTCACAAGAAATAAACCCAATAGCTATCACCCGTTACGTTAGCATTGTTAAAAGCTACTATCCGTTACTATGAAGGCGCAGGATATTAAAGGCACAAGGGTATTAACGAAAATAAATCGCTTTTTAGCAGCGCATTTTCCTCTCGATTGAAAGCGTATTGATTCGGACGGACAATCGCCTTACACGAATTAAAAACACCATTCATGCTCCCTTTTAAAAATTAAACCTTGCAAACACATAAGACAAACAGTAAACGAAACCCGACTGCCATGTCAAATTTCCTTTTTCCCTCTCTCTTTCGTGTGATATGTTGGCGTTTACTCAACGTAAGAAAGATTCTCCATTTCAGGTCATGAAAGGGAAAAGTGTGAGACCATTTTTCATCCAAGATACAATTATAATGATTCGATGGACACCTAGGTTCCTCGGAACAAAAGCTTTAACAGCATTTTCTGTCGTTTGCGAATTACAATTCCATTATCTGAAAAAATAGTACTACGTTTTGTTTGCTAACCGAAATAATTGGCTTTTGCATTCAAGCTCCTCCTCACTGGCAAACGCAATCAGCAAAATACGGAAAGTGGCGAAAAACATTTTGGCGTGGGATAGCCGGGTAAATTTCTCTTAGAAATACGAGCAATTTGGCCGTAGTTTTGACATATATTTGACGCTGCGAGAGTCACTGCCCCGATGGGAAATTTTAATTGGGGGGTTCCACGTAAATTAAACGTGATTCCAGCCTTTGTTAATGTTTGTTGTTTTTTGATTTTTCCATTGTTAAACTGTGTTTCTGACTCAACGTTGGCTCGGTGGATGATTGATAGGTGCTGTACATTATAAATTAATTAACATTGTTTGGTGCGTAACAATATATCAGATGATCACACCCGCGCTTCGGGGAGAGAAGAATAAGCTTGCAAACAACGTAACGGTCTTAGGCCAACGACGGACGGGCAGGCAGGCTAGCAGGTTCGCTAAGCGTGGATGCGGTTAAACGGATTCGACGAAACCGTTCTCAATCAATCGCGCGTTTTTCACTGCCCGTTAAACGTTTTGTGTCTGTGTTTGCTGCCTGGTAAATCAAGAGAAGTTTTGTCTTAGCTTGAAAGAAGTGGTTTCCGTGGTTTACAGAGGCTGATTATACGTGGGGCCAGCGCAGCTTTTAAAATGCCAAAATCATTTTTGGTGAAGAAAAAGAAACCTCGACGCGCCGAAGACGGCGAGGCTGTAGAACCCGTGGAAGCCGTTAGGAGTGAGGATACCAACACAGGTAAGACGGACAAGATTACAGCTTCTCTTAAGCCTGAAATATTGTTCATTCCTTATTCTACTTGACCCTTTGACAAACGATTTTGTTCGTAGTTTCTTCCTAACATTTCCTGTGCCATGTTCACCGTTATAAAGTGTCACAAAATTACGGGCGCAGATGTTGCTGGTCGAACGGTGCTATAACGGAACAGCCCTTTTTATTTTACTCTAACAGAAATGTCGCCTTCTCAAATCTACGTCTACAGCCACAAATTGTTGCGTTTCCGTCGAGAAGGGACTTTTTAAAGGCCCGAAGTATTTTGCTTGCGGGGTGCCCTGAAAGCAACTTTAGGAACAATGGTGATATGTTACTACAAATAGTAAACCGATGCTTATCATCAGAAATCACGGCTTTGGCAATTGGTTTCCGTTTAAGAGCTTTTTATGATCGCGGGGAAAAAGTGGGTATTTTGGCGACTTAGATTTGATTTTTTGTGAGGTTGAGTTCGTCGCGGAACTTTAGTTTTGAACGCGCGTAATGCATTCCGTTTTTCTCTCGAGGCTTACAATTGAGGTTAAATGCAACGGACATTCGATAGGGGCCGTGTTTTGCCCACAACCTATTACACGGTAATGTTTGGACGTCTGTGAGCACGTAAAAACACACGCTGCCTAGTCACGAAAAGTAATTCGAAAGCTTTCACTGATTACATTGTGTACACTGGGCGCTGAGATACAAAGCAAATGACAGCCGCGCGAGGCGCCGAATTGATTTCTGCCGCTTAGCTTGCTAAACAGCAGCCCGAATTGAAGATAAGTGTTATGGTCTCGTTGCAGAGATAATCAGGAAAAAAGAATTCAACAATGCAGATCATTGATTCATTCATATTCAAATTTTACACTGTGTAGTGATAAACGCCATTTCACAAAGGAACTAATGGATACATCAATTGACATACAATAAAGATTTTGTGTAGCGTTTAGAAAGCAGCGCGTGGCTATCCGTTAAGCAAAATTATTTTGTCGGGCGCTTTTCAAATGCAAGATTTCCCCCGGCTTGATTCGATGCCCGTTTGCGTGAATTTCTCTCGCCCTCGCCAGAATCGTTCACGAAAATTAAGCGCTGGAAATAAATCGATCCGGTCGTAACAATTATGTTTAATTTAAATTTATGTAAATTCCCATCACTTAAAATGCGAGATCTTTCAGATGCTGTCCATTTCTCGTGGTTTTTGCAAATGACGTGTAAACCGATTCTCCACTTGTCAATTTTACCCTGTTTAGACGTATTATTTCGAAAACAAAAACTCGGCCGGTCGGCACTTTTTTTGTTTGTGCTCCTACATTTCCACGCCTTTCTAAGCAGCTTTGCAGTGGTTCGAGTCGGTGTAAGACAAGGCCTTAAACACTTAACACGAGCATTTTTAGGCGCAAAAGAACCGACATCTTAAAACGTGATCATATAGCCCGTCAGACAAGCATTTTAAAAGCACATTTGCCGTGCGAGAACGGGGCAGATGTTCCCATTTCTAATTCGTACTCTTTTGGCCGCGAACTTGACAGAAACACTACTTAACCCCTCTGCGTAAATACATTTCGATCAAAGCTTTTCTTGAGAGGAAACACACTTGAACGTGGCCGGCCAGCTTAGCTTTGAGAACATCGGTGATTAACGCACGCGCCCGGGCGGCCTCACAGCTGCGATACGAAGGTACATTGGGCGACTTTCAGTTTCGTAGGAACACATCGGTAGCCCTCAGAATTTTCACGCGGATGGCAAGAGCAGGTTTTTTGGCGCGTCAGTTTACCTTGTCTATTTTGAGGCTCTCTGTTAATAGAATTTTAATTTTCACCACGGTGTTTGTTAAGGTTCCTAGTAGGTGATGGGTTTCAGTTAATAAACCACTTTGTGATTGAGAACATAGCATGGCTTTTAATTCAATAAATTTCCCCTTTCTGCGAGGTGTCCAAATTAATGAAATTAGAGTGACTCGAGCTAGCTTTAATTGACTGAAATAAGAAGACAGCGAACTGAAAACGCCCAAGCCACCACTTCCAAGTTTGTTCAACAAAATGCAAGTTTAGAAAATTACTGTTCGAGAGCGGAAAGATTTCCTTTTTTCCTTCCTGTGTTGTCACTTCGAAACGTAATCATTGCCTTTGTCAATCGAGATAAAACAGCAAGACTACAATATGATTTTATGGATTTATTGTGTCGACAAAACTTGCGCACTCTATAAAATAAAACGCTTTGTCTTTGATGTGAGAAAACTCGACATTTCATAAAATTTCACCGGTTGTTTGTTTACCTGACCAACTTGTCTTTAAGTACCCCACACGCGCTTTGCCTTGCTCGTTAAGATTATAAAACCATTTTGTTCACTCTCGTTTCAAACGTAATTATATATATTTCCTTTTCACTTTGTCTCTGAGTATCGATAAAGGTGTAAAGATCTTCTTCCGAGTATCGGATTTTATCTCTTGAACGAACAGTCAAATGAAGATTTAAGATGTGTATCACCGAGAACTCTCGCAAGATGTACCCGGCATATATGCAAAATCTTTGGAAGATTAAACACGTGAGCATTTTTAAGAATAAAGTTCTCTCTTAGGTATTTTTTTCTACAATAAATTGTCGAAATGTAGCTGATACAGTTTTTCTTCACTCTTAAAATTCACAAGTTTGATTCAGACTGATTTTTCAGTGGGGCTTTATCGCTACTTTAAAAGTGTCCCATTTCGTTTCCCTTCCATAAACACTTGGATCGAAACCTTTGGCGGCCTAGTCTCGAATGTCTAATTTACAATCTCTATTACAGCGGATAAGTTTCATCGGCAACTGAAGCTAGAAGTTGTAAATTTCGTTTTCAAATCCGTTACGGAAAATCGAGAAAAACTTGCTATAAACTTTCATTGTGAAAGCTCCCTCAAAAAACTTTCTGTCGATGACGCGATTTTATTTTCGTGTGTACTTAAGATCGGTTACTTGATTTAAGGACAAATTTTTTCTTGGAATTTTCTGTTTCACGCATATGGGAATAAATGTTCTTGAACTTGACTTTAAACACAGTACTTATTCAACTAACTAAAGCCCTTCTTTGAGAACCTGTTGTCACAAACGTGCAATTTTCCCCTCGACATTGCACTTAATCTTAGTGTGTACCGAACACCATCTAGAAAGTGACTTTTATGGTTTTATGTCAAGAATGAAAATTGGCTTGCGTTCTTTTAAAGAAGAGCCATATTGTTTGTAAAAAAACTGGGTATCGAATGTTTTCTGTGGTTTCGACGCAGAAGTGAAGTCCGCCCTTTTGTGTTCAAACGGCTTGTTTCGAAAAGCACCTTTTTATCAGATAACATTTGATTGCAATTTACGAAACAACACCAAGACGGATCGAGAAAATTAGCTACTTTATATTTTGACAGAACATGGGGATAGAACTCTCGTGATACCGCGTTTCTTTCCAACCGCAAAATGTGATATTCCCAAAACGTGGTGTTGAAACGTGATACGATTTTGGCAGAGTTTTTTTGTCTACGTTCGATGAAAATTTGTGTTTCGTTCTCGCGACCCGTTTTGAAATTAATTTTTTGCTTTGGTGTCAAGAAATTCGAAAGTGTTAAGTGTCGAGCGGGTTGACTAGATAAAATAATAAACGAAAAGTCGTTAGACAGTTTCCCTATTTTCCGGGTGACTGGATTGTCTTCTTTATTAACAGAACACGTGGGAAAGCTTGTTATTCGATTGTAAATCGAAATGAAATGAAAAAATATTTGTTCCTTCCCATTTTAGCAGGTTTTTCTGTGTGTTAAGAAAGTGCGAGAAGAAAGAAACAATTTCTAAACTCGTACAATTTTTTTAAAAAATTTCTCCCACATGTAATCTTTGCAGATGCGAAGACTGATTATTAATTTTAAAACACGATTAAATTGCCCCGAGATCTGAAAAACCAAAGGTGTTGAAAAAGCTACCCGTAGATATGTATAGTTAATTTAAACTGCGAGGTTATTAAACCTGTATAGACAGCTTGTTCAATTTACAAATACTGGTATGCTTTCTTGATTTTGACATATTTTTTTTTATGCTTTCCTTGGACAACACCCTAAAAAAAAGCTCTTATTTGCTTAAAGTCTTGCCTGTGTCGTGAATATTTTAAGAGCACATTTTCATTGCCCTCTTTCGTCCTCACTTTGTTTATATCTTGTGAGCTTCTGGAGTTATTTTCCCAACCCAATGATTCTTTAATAAACCAGGTTACTTCAGGGTAGGAGTAAAATTTGTCAAATTGAAACAGTGCTCTCGAACGGAGGATTTCTTTTCACGCTTGACGTAATTTAGAAAGCTTAACTATTAACTAACTGCCGTGTGGTGTTATTCATGATTCATAACTTCTAAAAACCATTTTCTTTATTGTTTGAAAACTCCCGCAGTTTTCTCTGGCGCTGAACTATAGGGAATTTCACAAACGACGAATATAGCATGTGAGGTGTTTGTTTTTTTGTTTGTTCGTTTTTCAACTTTAGATGAAGAACTTTCCTTGGCGGAGGAAATGGAGGTGGAGACAGTCGAAATACTTGACGAGGAAGGAAAAGACAAAGATCACCACAAGGAAAGTTTATTGAGCAAGGACATAGAGCAAGAAATGGCGACTTCTGTTTGTAAGTTTGACGGTGAAAGAGATTCATTTGCGGTCCAACCGGTTGAAAAGAGAGACGCGAAACTGGAGCGTTCAAGCGGCTGTAACGATATTTGTTGGTGGAGTAGTATAACCTCGAGGTATGAATTACAAAATCTTCCTCCACCCCCGAAACTCATCAGCTCTGTGCCACGAAACGGCTTTTCAAAGATGCATCATTCTCACCCAACAGAACACGAGCGTTCTGTCATTTCTTTGAATCAAAGACATCATTTTCCACTGACAGCAAACGGTTTTGGCGTCATGAACTTCCACGAGCATCGGGTCCCGTCCATAGCCGAGTCAATACCTGTTCGTGGATCCTTGGATGGGCTTCGAGAACTATCGCTGAACCTTCGGCATGTTTCGGAAGGCCGTCGTGATTCCCCGTTGTGTCCGAGTATTCCACAGCCATCACCCGCTCCGCAGTTTAACGGCAGCCATTTCTTCATCCACAGTCATCCGTTTTTAACTTCTCACCAGCAGCAAGAGTGTCTAACAAATCTGCAAAACAAGGAACAGGCGAGGAAGGGCAGCGAAAGCGAGGAGACGAAATACAAATGCGAAATTTGCAATAGTTCGTTCACTCTTCAACGCCTTCTCAATCGCCACATGAAAACTCATTCGTTCTACAAGCGTTACCATTGCCAGTTCTGTACGAAAGGTTTCAATGATACCTTTGACTTGAAGCGCCATATAAGGACACATACAGGGATAAAACCATTTAAATGCAGCCGATGTGACAAGTCTTTCACACAACGATGTTCTCTCGAGGCGCATCTAACACGCGTTCACGGCGTGGTACATAAGTTCGGCTTCCGCGAAAGACGCTCAAAACTGTTCGTTTGCGAGGACTGTGGTAGCACGTTTACGGAAAATTCCGACTTTATGAAGCATCTGCATGAGTTTCACCCCGAGACTGAGAAAATCATGAGAGCACGAAGAAACGGGGGATTCGTTCCAAAATTGAAGGGTGACTGTTAGTTAAGGTACTGTACTCAGAGATAAAAGGCACTCTTTTAGTCATAGATTACCATGAAGAAGTCGGTCTTATATCAAAAGATACATTTTGACAACAGCAGTCCTAATGAAAAGAACTATTTGGTGAAATTCCTTGCATATTCTGTTTATTCTTCGAAAGCCAGTCGTCAAGGGTCTGTTTTTCTCATAACCCGAGGCTTTTTAGGAAAAAGGGATGTCGTGGATTACAAATTCACTAGATCACAGCAATCAAAAAAATAAATAAATAAGCGGAATGAATGGTATTGCGAAGTTCTTTGATCAAAATGTTAAGCAACAGTCGTACAAAACTTTGTTCATTTGTATCAATACGAAGCGCTTTTAAGAAAAGAAATTTAATGTTTACCAGATCACAGCGATTACAAAACAATAATGGTTTGGATGACCAGAGGAAGACCAAATGGAAAATTATTACAAATATGGAATTGTATACTAGCAAAGCTCAGAGCAAGGCTGAAAAAAGTCAATTTAACTGGCCCTTTAAAGTATTGATGAAATTGTTTTCTCTCGAGATACGTTTCCCTTCAAAATTACATGTTCTTCCTCAGAGAGCTTTTTTCAAGAAGGTTTTACTGAAATAGCGTGTGTTTGGTTTATGTCGTTTACTTTTAAGGAAAATATGTTAAATTCCGGCCTCTCAATGTTCTTATTAAGCTTTCGCCCTCGTTTGTTGTTGAATTGTGTTTTTTCTGGTAAGCTGAGTTGAAAAGGATTACCACAAGCTAGGGTTTTCTAGCACAGCTGTCTCTAATATTTTGACTAACTTTGTGACCATGTCTACCTTGGAGATGATGGAGGGAGTTGGTTATTTAGAAGCATTCAGATTATCAATAAAAATAGAGTGCCTAGTTTTCGTTTATCGAAAACATTAAAACTTCTGCTTTGTATCTAAGAATATCCTATCACAGAAAGATCAGTCGTATTTAATTAGCTTTGTGCTATGTTATAAACGATATTCGTATCTGAGAAACAGATGTATAAATATTATTCTCAACTGAAATACTATATTAGTTACACTTTTATGAATTCATAAGCATTCGTTGCGTTCATTTACCGCCCATGCAGCTCTTGTAATCATTCAAAACGTTTTTCCATTCGTTTCTTCGCTAGTGAAATTCGCCTCTTAGTTGCATAACATGTTATATAATCGAGCCACTTACATCGAAATAAATTTATATTCGTGAATTATTAAACAGAACATGCATTGAAAGGGCTGTTTTATTTTTAACAATTTTCTCTGGTGTTTTGCTCCACATTTGTAAGTACACCGTAAGATTTCTCCTTGGGCAGCCAACTCCCCGGCATAATAACTATCACTGAAGCCCTCGAGAGTGGGTGACCTAGGAGGGCTTGTGGGAGAAATGACAGTTCGGTGATTTGTGTAGGTGGTAACCGCCAGTCTCGATATCATGTCGAGGCTAGTACAGCGTCACTTTGAGCAAGAGAGATTGAACTAAAGAAATCGCTGCTAGGTGATTGCAATTAAAAGCATTCTTTTCAAAAGTGAAGTGGGCTTCTCTAACTTAGTTGGAATCAATTGTAGGGCAAATACCATCTGCCTTTCAATGTAACGTACGTGCCCTTAATTCAATACTTCTCAGAAATTTAAAGGGGTTGTGTCACCTCGTTGTCGTGGTAACCGACTGGAATCCTTCGAACGACAGGTTTATTGCTGCATTCTGTTTCAAAGTTCGAAGGACAACCAGTCGGTAATATCCCCTCGCGCAATCTGAATTCTCTGAAGAGCAGCCATTTCTAACCCTCGTGCCTGACAGTTTTGTGTGCTTTTTTTTCGCTGCTTCGCTGCCTGTAAATTAATCAAGCGCCAAAAAACCGTCAGCGGCACAGCTGAAGCAATTTATAACGATCAAATCCAAATAAATATGTAGCGAACTATGACACAATTCCTTGAAGTTATGGGACTCACCCAGAATAAAATCTTCTTTCAGATCAAAATAGATAACATATTAGAGAGGCAAGCTATATCCATGTTCTTTCCAAAAGATACAATTCAAATAATACTAAAAATAATGAATAAAAAGTAAGAAGTTACATTTTGTTCATATGTTGTTACTAGTAAACGATTGACCCCTAAGAGTGATTAGCATCTAATTTCTCCTTACAATATCACCCCTGAGTCAAACATTATGGTCACGAGAATAAACTAAGCTAAGCTCCTACACATAGAAGACAGTATGGAGAACATGCATACTGATCAGTATTAGAGTGTAAAGAGTAAAACGAACTGTAAGAGTTGAAATTTGTACTTTGTCGCCACGCCTGCATGTTATAAGCGAGATGTAGCATGCGCAGCATGGCCGAGGTGTCCTGACACAGACCTGAGCTTATCTCCTTCACAGCACCACATGGTTTCAGATTACCCAAGTCTTTTGCTGGTACTCATTTGTACTCCTGGATTAAGGAAAGCAATGTGATAGGACCGCTCCAGAACTGAACTGAATTTGAATGTTCATCAGAACTAAAACTACTACAAATGTTGTCGTAAAATGTTCTGATGATATATCTTTTACCAACCCACGCTAATGTGTAAACAAAATTAATTTTTTTATCGCAATGTGGTCTTTACACTTATTCTTTGTTCTGAACTGGTTTCTCTACTTTCCGCCACCTTACAAGCTGATTCTACAACGCAAAATTGCGTTAGAAAAACACATGTCAAAATTGTTTAATCAGTTGTGAAATCTTGCCGCTGTCATTCAAACTACACCAAAATGAACGAAACGTAAATTACTTTTATTTATTATTCTTTACTTTTTGGCAAGTCTGGTGTTAGTCCAGCTATTCTTTTGATCGACTGTTGCAGAACTGGGGCAAAAATATAATGCACAGGAACCTCAATTCCCAACCCCCCCTCCGCTCCCATCTGACAAAAATCCAACGCGACGAAGCAGACTGTGCCATTCTCAGTTTATTGAGGGCGCGGGAAATCAGACAATAAGGCCGTAATGAGATGTTGCGACTGTTCTTTGTTCGAATCAGGTCTTGGAAAACATTATTTATCAAAAAATGTGTAAGGATATTGTGCATGCAAATCTCCTGCTAAAACTTAATCAAATTAGAATTATTGCTTTTCCCGATAAGAGGCCAAGGTTACACCAGTTCTCTATTTCCTTGTAGGACTGGAGATTCTCTAGAGAGATTGATACAGTCGGCTCACTCTCTGATTCATCAAACATGGCTACAGGTCGATTGTCCAATAGTTCTCCTCGACTCTTTTCTCGAAAATCCTTAGGTCAAACTGCGATGCATCACATAAACAGATTAAGACACTGATTTAAACAACAGAAAGAACCAGACGCGAAAATACCACTGGACATAAACAAACAGCATTCCTACGGACTCCTTGTCTCACAGTACGTAAGCTTGACATGCTACGACGCAACGGTATGACGTCATAGTTCATATTCATATCAGCAAGAGTCTTTTTTGCTTACGTACAGTCTTTAAAATCATCTTAAAAACCGCTTACGTACAAATTTTTAACTTATACACCGCAATAAACAATATGCAGTTTATTTTTAAACCATCATCATTTTTTAAATCCGTTTAGGTCGAATAATCGGCAAGGAACAAATTTAGAAAGGTTCAGATACAGGTCGTAAAGCACTAGGTATTTTAAGAGCCCAATATCATTCAAGTTCCTAATTACCTTCGTGACCAAAGCCTAAGTCTTTGAAAAATTTTATGGGATCACAGAATTATGAGTGAGTAGAGTACATCAGGGCTTTTTTGTCATGGAAACATCTCTATCGTTTTCGTGTATTGCAGTTTGTCTTTTAATCTTCTGGTTTAATCACCATCGTTAACTGTTTCGATACTTGTATCTGCATCTTCCTGTTCTCGTGACACTAATTTTAAAATCTGAGATTCATCCCAACGCCGACGTCTTTTCTTTTAAAACCCTTGAAATATAACAATGGCCAATCACTGAAAAAAATATCAACTACTTTTCAAGGCGCCTGTTTGTTTTATCACGTCAAAGCTACCATTAGTTATTCAACTTATTTTATTACCCACCGTTAGTACAGAGCTCAGATGACACATTTTTTAAAGAGAGGAATTATCGATGTTAATTCGTCCTTCTTTTGCAAATTGAAAATCATCGTTCCTAGTTGTTTTACATTGCTGCAACGTATAAAAGGCTGTAGGAAAGCATCTTAAGGCTCCAAGGGGTTTGCACGAGTCTTGCTATTATCGTCGGTTTCAGTCTTACCTCTGGTGAGCAGCTCATAATGTTTCGATAATTTTAAAATATTCGCCCTAGTCGATGTGTCTCGCAAAGTAAAGAAAATACAAAGTGCCAATGTCAAATACAGTATTGCCCTTTCACAGCGAACACTTAAACTTTATCTTACATTTAAGTGAGTTCACGCGCGTGTGATTGATTTTTTTTCATAACAAGTCAAGGTCTCGGACAACTTATCGGAACACAACGCAGCTGAAACCAAATATCTGCGCATTTCGGTCGTTTCATGATAGACAGATCATTTTTTTTTTAAACAACTTCAACTCGTCAATTTGCTGGGTCAAGTTTGTCGAAGTATTTCTGGAATGGTATACGTCGCCGGTTTCAGTGACTCTTGTACGTATCTTCGGAAAGATTAGAAACAAACGGAAGATATATATATATGTATATATATATAGGGAACTTATAACATGTACGAGTATCTGCAACCATTTGAAAAACACCGATATAGTTACGTCATTAATATTGCCAATATTGCCATCATCAACTTTGTTTTGGTTACGGTTTTTCTTTTTGAATACAACGAGTGCTTTCCCTTTTTCACACACCCTGCCTCGACCCCAGGATTCTTCAGGAGTCAAAATTCAAGATGGCGGGGAGGCAGTCCAGTCATCGCTTACACCGCGGAAGAATAACGACAATTTTTGCCACTAAAGTGAGACTGACAAAGGTGAATCTCTTTCTGTCTCCCCTGTACCAATGCTAGAAATAGGTGTTTCGTTGCAAGAGTCCCAGAGAAAAAGATGTTCGTTGCTCTATATTTGCCAGTTCCTTGAGTTATGTTGTCACAACAGCGCGGAAAGGAAGTTGTTGACTGGGTTTTTTCTCTATCACAGTCTCATTTTCCTTGATCCAAAACAACATTTCCTTCAATATTTATAATGGTCTCAACGAAGTGTGTACCAAGGAAATACTATACTGAAAATTCGAATCTATCTTGTTAGTCATGTAAACCTTTGCCTGAGGGCTGTATTCCACTCGATTTTGTAAAGATTTGAATCAGTTGTATTTCAGTTTTGCTCATCAAATATGGGACATCTCCACCCTACCCGCCTGGCTTAAGAACGGAAGGATATAGTGAAAGGAAATGAACCATTGTTGTACAGGAGGTGTAACTTACGTTAGATTTAATGTTATAATCTGTGCCGATATTTCTGTAAAGATCAACGAGAACGGGAAACTAAAAAAATCGATGAGCACACAGGAATATAACTCAGGAAGTGTAAATAATTTTTTTCGAGTTCAAGATACTCCTTAAAAAGGAAACTGGTCATACTATGCCTAATGTCACATCAAACTGAACATGTCATAAAGTGTTGTGTTGTAAAACATCCTAATGAGGATACATTTTGACTTGAAAAGTTGACATTAAATTGTTACCAAAAATTGTCGCCTGCACATGTCAAATTTCTTCCCTAGTTAATACTCAGCAATCAGTACAGCAAAAATGCCTTTTGACATTATTTTATTAGCTGTTAAAATGAAAGCACTAATATCTATGTGAAAATTTAACATATTCTTATACAAACCGGTGAGTAATATTCGGTGAAAGCTTTTATTGGCGAATCAGTATACACTCAAGAAGGGTAATTCTTGTACCTTTTAGGTTAGAAAGTTCTATGTATATCAAGTGAGAGTCAGAAACGAGCAATTGTACTCGATGGCTGGTTATGAATTGTCACATAGAAGACGGTTTCTTTTCAAACTTGGACACTAGCCAACTTTCCATCTTACACAGCATAACAGAACTTCATGAACTTAAGAGCTTCTCAGTAAAACTGAATTTAATCACTTCAAGATTTACAATCCAACAGTTTGATATCTTTAATCATCGATCAAATAAAACAGATCTCTTTTCTTCCACATAAATTTTGGACACCAGATACTTAAAGTCATGTTATATGATTCACATTTGTGACGAGAAATTAAAATATAAAGAAAGAAATTAGAATTTGTGTACCAATAATACACTGACATCTACTGACAACAGATTCAGTCTTGATCGAACCGATATTAGGTATCTACAGGTGCTAGATAAAAGCAGTGATTATTTGTGCTAGATAAACTCAAGCAGTGATTATTTCTGCTTGTTCACTATATCCATTAGTGTCTAACCTTCGCAGAATACTCTTCGCATTCCTTAGTAACTTTTGGTACGAAGGTGTTACGAGAATCATGTCCCTGTCTATTCAGAAAAAGATACTTGAGGGAAAGAAACAAAAAGGACACAGAACGTACTCATTGAAAGAAAGTATTTTTGCGAACTGTTACATGACCAACAATTCTCCAATTTCCTCTCTGTGATAAATTCTGCTTCTTCTTTTTCCTCCTCGCAGGATGGGCGCGTTTAGCCACAATCGATTATCACAGCGTTCGCCTTCCATTTTCCCTGCAACCTCTGCATCCGTATTCACGAAAAATTTCACTCTTTCCCAGGCTCCGCGAAACACTGTTGCACGGTGCACTCTTTGATACACGGCGCCGGCACAGCACACAAGATTTGACGTCACCCGGTGATCATTTAAGTTGTTCAAAGAGGAAAAAATGACGTGAGTTTATCCTAACACACATACGTCGCTATTTTTTAACCACACTTGAAAGCTCTCGAACATGCAGACTAAATATCAACATACTTGCGTCTTGCACCGGCTATTTTAAAACTAACAAATATGTATCCGCGTACCTTAAATTTATGCATGAACAACGTTTTCACTGTTCATTTGCAGTTGCCTATGATTGTTCTTTGCCATTTTCCAATGAGAAAAGCATATTTTTGGTAACTATTTTCGAATTTTATTTCACGGCTAAAGTCGTTGAAAGACGAATGCAAAAACCATATGGCGTTGAATTCTATGTATACGATTTTAGACCAGTTCATAGATAGATGAGTTCAAAGTTCAATGAATTTGTCACAAGACTGGAACAAAGAAAACTTGTGATGTCCCGCTGAGGATCCAAACTCAGTTTGAAGCTTAACCATCAAGCGACAGGGAAAGAACATGCAACCATTAAACATGCAAATAACCTGCTTTTACAAACGTGTCTAAAGGGTGTGCTTAAACACATATTTCAAGTGCGCACAAATCTTACATTATCTTCCTAATTAAGCCATACGGAAAAAATTCATATTTCGAGTAACGATTATGATTTCTGGAGAAACATATTTCGGCCAGCTCATTTCTAAGACAATATTAACTCAAGGATTCAGAGCGTATGTACTAGTTTGTTAACTTAGGCTGCGAAAGAGAAATAAAGTTATCTCTGCATCGATTTGTTGCAGTTTGCGACCTAAACAGTTATTCCTTGAAGATGCGCTCCATTTAGGTACCACTCGTGTTTTTAGTGCTAAATTTGAGCACTCTTTGACTCGCAATCAATGCAATTTTCTGATGGAGATCCAAGAAAATTAAGATTATCAAGCTCTATAAATCCTAGGGTTCTCAACATAGCTTTGAGTGCTTTATTAGAGAGAGGGAAAATTAGGAATTAAAAAACATGATGAATTGTTATGTTCTGCTTTTTCGACGAATATCAGTTAAAGTGTCTTGAAGGACAACAAAAAAAGGATATTAAAGGAAAAAATAGAATTTTTCATCCGGACATCTTGAACGCTATCACTTCCTGTAACTGTCGCCTTGGGCCATTTCTGCTCTTATTGTTTCGATAAATCATAACATTACTTGTCAATTTTATTTTATTGATCGAATCGAATTACTTACCAATGAAGTATTCCTTCATATGTAAATTGATTTACGACAAACTATGTTAATAGCAAAACCTGACTCAAATGAGAGAGAGCGCTCATCGACTACCTTTTAACTTAGCTCGAGCCTATGTGACAGTTTGAAAGCGCTTTCCTTCGATCAAAGCTGAATCTTCCACGTTAATATGAAGCGGTTAATTTAATCCCAAAATGATGTCCTTGCCCTCCTCTCTTGGAAATAATTGCAAGCATCACTTTCGAACTGTTAAATATATCTGTGATCTTAAATAGTGTAAAACTTTAATTGAGAATGTCTGGATTTGTGATACTGTTTTTAAATTGTATACGAGTAGAAAACAATATCGGTAGCTGATTTAGTGACTAAAAAATGACAGCATATAATTTTTCTCGATCGATTTTCGCGCTTCAGGTGAAATCCTAAGCGGTTTTACACGCTGGCAGTTTCGTATGACTTTGTTATTTTTTGTGGTATAATTGCTGATCGCTGCAAATTGAATTTCTACCTAATTTACATGTAAAAATTTCGTTTTGCTTAATAGTGTTTGGTGCTGAGTACAATCAATATTAAAAACTTCCTATGAACGTTTTGTTATAACAACAGCCATAAACTGATACCCGTGTTTTCTTTGCTCAGTTTCGAAAACAACATCGAGCTTTCAATACCCGTGGAGTTAAGCCGTTTCTAAACTAAGTTCTTTCTGACGCGAGGGTATAATGGTATTATTCACGGCCGCCAAACTAAATTTACACGCGCAGTCTATATTTAGTGGCAAGCTTCTTTGCTGGTCCGATCGAGTGGGCGAATTGACGCAAATCACATTGCGGAAAATCGTCATATATGGGTCTCAGATCTTGTTTTGAATGGCAAACCAAGACATCATGGACTCTCTGTTTATCATCACATGGAGAAAAATAAAATCGTGGTCCGACTTACTTTTAAGTGGAATTAACTGTATTTGGTACAAAACGTGTTACCAACAGGTTGTGACAGTGTTTAAAGGATTGCTGTTTTCGATTGAAAAGACGCCAATTTGGGTTCCATGTTAAATGCAGCCGCGAAAACTTTTTCTCGCCTCGTTGCCTCAAATCACTTCCTCTAAAAATAAAATTGCTATTTACAGCTCGTAACAAGTGCCCAATTGAACTGCCAAATTAAATGACAACACCAGTATAAAGGCCCTCAAAGGGACGTGTATTGTGTATTGTGTTTGTTGACTTCTTGGAACATTGTTCGTGCTAAGAGCGAACAAAAGACGTAATCAAAAGATACCATGATATCAGGGTAATTGGCCGTAATCCGTATCACATGACCTACTGAACGCTACCTTAAAGCGAATGAGCTATAAATTCACTTCGCACCTCTAACGGTTTCAAATGGTCCGCACCATCGCACAGACTAGCACGTGTCGCATAAAACCCCTCATTGATTTTTCGGGCTGAAATTTCATCAGTTTTGAATTTTAACGTGATTCAACTTGTCAGGTTCGAACTAGCTTTCGTTGTCTCGGTTTTTTGGTTGGTTTCTTCCTTGAAGTTCCTTGTAATATTGCCATGCCAAAGTCCTTCCTTGTGAAAAAGGCGAAGCGCCGACTCGACGAAGTCGGAGAGAGTAATCTCTCGTGTTCTGGTAAGTAAAGCATATAAATATATTTTCCTTACCGTGATAGCGGGTTTCGAATGATCCTAGTTTCCTTTAGTAAACTGAACTGAGAAATCGATGGTGGTAAGTTGCAATTTTGCTTGTGGATTTTTTTGTTACACCGTTATAAATTTGTTTGTTGCGACCGATTTCTTGTACTCAAAGCGGGGAGTATTTGCTGACCGATTATTTAATCGTATCAACATTTCTATCCGCAATCTTTTTTTACGCAACGAGATGTTTTCTAAAATACGCATGCCGAGGTCTTGTTTTTCCTCGAGGGCAAAAGGGTCACGAAAGATTCCACTTTGGACAATAGCGACATGTTTTTCTTCTTCTTTGTCTCGTATTAGTCAATACCTAGAGATTTTCTACCACAAATATTCAAGCTCTTTCGATTTTAATCGCTGAAGACACTCCAAAGTCACGGAAATCTCGTTCTCGTCATAATTATTTCAAGGGCACGGTGGAATCCAATCATTACTGAAGCGCGCTACAAGTCCTTAACAGGTTGTGCTAACACGGGCTTTTTGTATTCTGTGGATGGAACAAAAGGCAAGCGCTCGCCAAAGAACACAACTGAATTGCCGCCCCAGGGGCTCACATTTTATTCTGCGCTAGTGGTGGCATCAACCGCGGATCGTCACGAATTTTTTTTTTTCAATTTTGCGGTATTTTACACTGCACGTAAATTGCTTTGGGAGAAATTGTAAAATCACTTCGATCAAGAGTTGTCTCAGAACGATCGGGTCGACGGATTGCAATCCTTTGTAAATGATCGGGACAAAAGTGAAAATTGGAAATCCTTTCTTCGAGTTAATTGACAAACGAAACTTAATAGTTCTTTTCAATGGGCTTTCATATTCAAATGCGAAATAAAGATGGTTACATAGAAAAGTTAATGGAAATTGCTATTGACATCTCAAGGTTCGCTTTGTTTGCTCACGGATGTTGCACGCGTCTTCTAAAGGCTTCAAAACGAAACAAATCAAACGAAAGCCTGTCTTCTTTTTGTTCCACTCGAAAACCGTAATTTACACTAAATGAGCAATTTCATTTTCTTTGCAGAGACTTGAACCGGAAACTTAGTCTCGCCACAATGAATTATCATTTGGAACACGATGAAATTTTGAACTGCAATTAAAAACAATTGCCTGAAGTGTTTAAATTTATTGGGAATTTCATATCAGCAAACTTGCGCGTAAATCTAAGTGATGTAACGTTTGTATTTTGTCCTGTAGGTGGCGAGCAGTTGAATTATAACTGAAAATCATCCATCCGCAAAACTATCGCGTGTTTTGTTATACAAAGCAAACGGGCGGGAGAATTAATCCTTTAGGAACCTTGTTTTCTGAGGGGTTATCTCTGACATACAAGATTTAGCCAAATTGGGGTCAGAGGGGCAGGTCTACGGGAAAAACTTCTGCTCAAAATTACCCAAGATGTCACGAAATTGCTACATAAACACGAAAAGCTTGCCAGACTTCTACAGCTGGTTCGGGCAGCGACATGACAGCGTTTTGTTTGACCAGCAAAAGCACACAGCACTCTTAAACTAAACAACGTTTAGTAATTTCCGTTTCTTGCACTTACTGATCACAAACCGTTCAGTTTCAATTGAATCATTTCTGAAAGTTAAATGTTTAAAATGTTTAAAAGAGCCATATACAGTATATATTTGAGATAACACGTTCCGCCCTGTCGACTAAATTCGCGAAAACTTCGCGTCTTTCCTTGAAATAATCCGCTTTATTTCTGAAGTTGTTATGTCGATATGTCAGCATTTCGGGCGTAATTCTGCTAACAACAATTCAACCCAAATTTACATTTTCGTTTCGATTTGACAACGCTCAATTTCTATTCACATATCATTCTGATAGGAAGCGCACACCTGCCTAGGGGATAACGCGTTTTACAGTGTTTTCATTAATAATTCATCCTCGAAGTCAACAGATATAATAAATTGGGATTTTGTTCACGAAAGAATTTATGTACGTTTGACAGGCCGTCAGTTGTTTTTGTTAGCTAATCTGCCCCGTTACATTTAAGAAGCGCCGCGTCATTCTCTTAATTACAATTCACTTAAAACTTGAGATAAGCAATAACAAAGACATCATGCACGTTCAAATACCAGAGTAAATTAATCAGACGGGCAATTATTAAAGCATTTGGTCCCTAAACGTTTGCGGCCAAGTCAAGATTTCAAAAAAGAAAATTTCTCGAGAAAGTTGCATTTTCGTTGACGCGCCCTAAACAAATATAGACAACAATGGCTTTCTGAAAAGCGCTGAGGACTTCGGACCCTCCCGACCAATTCCTCAGCCAATTTCTCGACGGTTTCTTCTAGAATGCTCACACTTTTGATCGTTTGAAAAACAGTTTTAAAATTCAAACAATAAAAATATATTAGTAAATTGAACAGAATGGACTAGTCTTGAACCACACTTCTTGAAATCCCAAGATTTCGAATTTAGGACATAACTTGTGGCCCCTTAAGTTACCGCGACTATCGAGAAACGTGCCTCTCTTTGGAAAAATGTTCTTACATGGCCCTTAGTAACTAATGGAAAAATGTTTTGTTGCAGACAAAAGAGAGCCTTGTGAGTCCCCTACGTCAGCGCTCTCCATGTTGAATCATGGGAAGCAGGAGGAGGACACACCGAGTACGTTACACCACATCATGAAAGACCCATCTAAAGACACGACAGATGCTGCGAGGAACAGTTCAGTTTATAGGGGCAGACCAGCTGAAAGGTTGACGGAAAATTGGCCTTTATTGCCCCACATGTTTTTCTTCCCATCTTTACCAACTCAAGGTAATCCTCTGGCGGAATGTTGTGCGCCTCTAAAAGTGCAAGTCTTGACGAGCAACTCGGTCAAAGATGGCCATTCTCCACCCAATGAAGAAAGCAGAGAACGTGCGCGCAGACTTAATAAGATCGCCGAAAAGATACCAAAACATGCAGAAATACAAGGAACAATCAGAAATAGTGAAATTTTCCCGCCTTGGCTCCTCGATTCTGCGCCAAAGTTTTGGAAATCTGGACTAACCGATGGAGCGCGCCTTCCTCTTCCCAAATTCAATTTTCCCGATTCGAGGATGAACAGAGAACGTGTTGAAATGAACCGTCATCATTTTTACCCTTTTGAGAGAGTTCTTTGGTCAAGAAAGAGAAAAATTGCGGGTACTGAAAGGGAAATCTCCTTGTCACCTCAAAGTTATAGGCTTCTCGAAACATCTCAACTACCAGCGGCCAAGTGGAAAAAGTATAGGAAAAGCCGAGAACACGGTGAGGGGGAACATCAGAAACCAGAAAAAGACAGAAATATCGGACAGGAAAAGGAGTCGAACAGAGTGCATGATAAAGATAACATGGAACAGAAAGTACAGTCGAGAAAATTGCCAGGCCGAGTGCTCACAAATCGCATGGAATCTGAACACAACCCCAGGAATATTAAACACCACCAAGATCCTACCGATTGGCACATCGTCGTGCCGAGCAGATTGGCAGAGGGAATGTTCAATTATCATGATCCGTATTCGTTATGGGGACAAAGCGCTGCCGTAACAAGTTCTGTGTGGGTTCCTGACGTTTTAAAGACTGCATCGAAAGAAGATGTCACTGGAGATGCGAATGGCTCCAAGGGAACTGAATTATGGACGTTTAAAACAAAGAAAGAAGGAGAAGTTTCTTGTAAAGCCAAAGAAGAAACTGCAGTCTTTAATCAGAAGGAAGAAGACAGGAATACTTTCCAGCCCAAGCTGAATTCTGAAAACCAAATGGCGTGGTTCAAAAAGGGCTCACTTAGTCCAAAACTTATAAAGGAAGATTCGTGTGACAACAAATCTGTTCTCAGTTTCTCTAACGACGAAGATCACGTTCGAGATTTTCAAAGGAATCTAAGGAAAGAAGAAGAGATTTTTAAAGATGACACAAGAAGTTCACCAGATCACAGTACTATCAAAGATGTTAATTTGCATAAACTTGTGACATTTGGTCACCAGAATGCAAACTTATCCAGACGTTTTAGCCCGGTGGAAATTAGAGATGGGAAATTATCTTCTGTGTCGTTCAGATCTCCAGAACGGGTAAGCCCAAGCAACGACGCGATCAACTTAAAGAAAAGGAAAGAATCTGACTCTTTGCTGCTCCACCAAGACGCCAAAATGAACGTTGTTGAAAAGTCAAACGACGAGGTTCTTCCGTATTCCTCGTCGTTTTGGCTTCTCAGCAAAGAACCATCCAGAGTATCCCAGGGTAGTGTTCGCCCAAAATTACCTGTTGTAGCTTCCAGCCCTTCCTATTGGATGACGAAAAATGGAGCTCATGAAAATGCGAAAAAGGAATCCCCGAACGGAACTAACAGCCACAGATGTGAAATATGCAACAGTGCGTTTCCACTTCGTCGTCTTCTCAACCGCCACCTTAAAACACATTCATTCTATAAGCGTTACACTTGCTCCTACTGTGACAAAGGCTTCAATGACACGTTTGACCTGAAGCGTCATGTAAGAACACACACTGGAATAAAACCTTTCAAGTGTGAGCAGTGTGACAAGTCGTTCACTCAACGATGCTCTTTGGAGGCACATCAAACACGGGTACACGGCATAGTGCACAAGTTTGGTTTCCGTGAGAGACGCTCGAAGATGTTCGTGTGCGAAGAATGTGGAGCCACGTTTAAAGACAGCCAGTCAGAATTCATGACCCACATGGCGAGTATGCACCCAAATCGAGAGAGAGGTCCATGGATGAACAAAAACACAAACCTCTGCTCACAAGTTATAACATTTTGAAACACTGAATACCTTTCATTGTTATCATCATCATTTTTGTCGTTAGTATCATCATGATTATCATTAACACCATCTCAACATAGCTATACCGAATTTTCTCAAGCTATTTCTACAAATTTTTAGCTCTAGTTGCCTTCACCGAGGAGGGAATGATCGTTTAATCATACACATTCCCAGTGTAACAGTCTTAGACGACGGTTTCGCATAAACTGATCCAAACAGATAGACAGATACGCTGTTGTCCATACATTTTTAATACCGCAACAGAAAACCGGCAAGAATTTGTTTAACAATCTTGAGCATCTTAAGTTGGCGATCGTTCCCTTCATTCTTTTCACTGTAATGCTTGATTTAGCAGCGATACCTTAGGGAGAAATCAGACGCTGGTCACCCTCAGGGGTTACAGAGTTAAACACACAAACACCAGCGCCGCAGAATATCAGTCGCATCTGAAATTCATACTATGAAAATCGAAACCTGGGTGCTCTTTTCAACTAATTGTATCAAGTTTTATTGAAACAATTTCACATCACAGTTTACACTTCAGCATTTTCGAGTCTGTTTTCGATTTAAATGACATCAGAGATTTGTGAAATCTTTCACTCTCAACATTATGATATCTATACTTTCTAGCGCAGTTTCATTCTGTAAATAAATAGTTCTGTGGAGTCAGTAGTCCTTTAACGAGAGAGCATCTCATCCTCTTTTAGGGGAGGGAACAGATCTCGAATCCTCTTGAGAGTTAAAGAGAATGCAAATTCAAGCTTACAACTTAGATTTATAAATTAAAAATTGGGTCTGACGAACAGTTCTGCTGTTAGTAATTCAACATCAAATCACGTCTTTGAATCATGTTTTAAGAGAGAATAAAGATGAAATTACCTATGAGTCTATAAGGAAATCATCGATATTTTTGTCAAACTCAAGTACCCAGTCTAACATACCACGAAAAGGCAACTTTGGTGACTTTGAACTATATTGCCAGTTTGGTCTGATAGCTTATTTTGGGACGAAAATTACTTCTGTTAAAAATTAGGGTGCATCACGTGGGATACTCACAACTGCCGTTCTACAATTTTGACGAGTAAAGCGGTCAAATCATATCAGACAAGAGAGTATTGGATTTAATTGAAGTATAGCCACATAACAGAAGCTATTTTTGCCCTGAAAGTGGCATTTCCGACCGCGAAAATTAATCATAGAATTGAACTTCGTAAATGCGGAAAAAGCGAAATGGGGTTGAACACTAGAACGGCTTAGAAAAAAAGCAATCTAAAGAAGATATTGTCGGGACAAAAGAGGAACACAGAATCGTAGCTGTCCCATCGAATTAATGGAGTGTTGAAATAAAACGGATTTGGTTGCCACATTTTAATGCAGGCTTAACTTATGAAGACATTTCCTTCACATATCAAATATTGAAAGACATAACAAAACAGTTATTGCGTGCGCTAAATCCAGAATTTTCAAGATTGCAGTAAGTGTTAATATCCGCCGACGGCTGGCGTCACTAAACAACCTAAACACCTTGCTTTTGATCGTTAATGTTCCAAGCATTTTTACAAAAGAAAAAAATTCACTGTTTACTTGTTTATCATCGGCTTCTAGCAACCCCGAGACGTTGTTTTTTCTTTTTTGTGGTCAATGATTCGACCTCATAGTGGGATGAAAGAGGTTTCATAGATTGCTTCAGTCATCATTGTCAAGTTGAGTGATAAGGAAATTTGAATTAGGAAATAGTGGTTCGATATTCTGAACTTGAAATTGTGATGTGTCGTGACATCGCCGAACCGGAATACATCGCCGAAATTTTTTCAGTTGGCAACCTATGTTGCTAATCTCTAATTCTGCTTCCTGTTCGATACTATGCTAGGGAGATATATCGATATATTTTCTAGTTACCATCTAAATATTTGTTATTATTTATTAGAGACAGCATTCTTGTTCTTATCAAGTTTTCTTCTCAAATCATTTACCCCGAAGTTCAGGACTCAATTGTAGCGATAACAACTGAAACGAAAAGACCAAGCTTGCATGAGCACGGAAGTTTATTGGGAGATTGTTCACCAACAAACGCCAGGGAGTCTATATTAACAAGGCAACGTTGCAAATTTAATGCTATGAAACTTAACCTTTACCAATTATAGCTTACATTGCTCACGTACAGAAAACTTTACAAAGACGTTTTGATTTGACAACTGCTCACACTGTTTTGAAAGCAACGTATGGTAACCAAGTAACGATACTATTGGCTTAATCCTTAGCATACAATGCGTAGAGTGGCCGATAAGTCATTGATCAGTTATTTATAAAGTCTATCATGACAGAAATAATGAAATAACAAGTTAGCTTATTATCCACCGTTACTGATTTACAAACCCGTTTATCTTATTTCATGTGTCAGCTAAAATGGTTATTGAGGTCACCGCATATTTTGGCAATAGAATTCTGACAGAATTCCGGTAAGATTGCAAGAGCTCTAAACGTGCAGATCGTTGGGAAAGTTTCACGGTCACACAGCATAGACAAGGGTAATTAACGATTGTTAGAGATGAGCCTTTTTAGGCCTGCTGGAAAAAAAAATGGGCCCGAAATGCAACCCTTTTTTCAGTCTGCCCAAATTTCGCCAATCTTAGCCCGCCTCTCGCGATTGGAGTTTCTTTCGCATTCTTCAGCAGTTGTTAGGCGTTTCAACGATGTTGAAACAAGTATAAGAAGTATGAGTAGAACACACTCGCTATGACAAAATTATATTTAGAGATGTTTTGTTAAGATGATAAAAGTCGAAGGTCAGAATTCGAATTACTCGAGTCAAACTTGGCACATTCAAACACTTCTCTCTTCTCTGTCAACAGTTCGTTATCTCAAGTTGACGTACGAACCCAAAATAAATTCCTGATTTAAAAAAGGCCAAGAAAAATAATGGTGAGACAACATGACGTCACAAGAAATCTCTTCCGCCTTGACAACAGTTAATCCCAATAAAAATATGACACTGTGGTGTTATCGAGGTACAAAAGGTAGTGAAAGCATTATACGCCCTGGTGTTCTAAGTGTTATCGTCTCTTCATCCGTTGGATATCATTAATCATCTTTAACGGTGCCAGTTTTAAATCGCTATCCGGTCTAAATGACAATAGGCCATTTCCTAGGGTGTTTTTAGACAGATTTTTAAAATACTTAGACGATATCCATGTTTATATAAAAGTATTAAACACGGTTATGACGTTCAAGATTCCCACATATCTTTTAGAAATATTTCAGAAATTAAAGCAATTAAGCAATTTAATTTTCCTTGTTTAGAAAGGCTCATCTTAATTATCACTCGAAATACTTGGGGGGGGGGGGGGGTTAAGGGATTGGAGGATTTTGGATGATCACATAGTTTTCAGGGGGGATAGGAGGGGAGCGGGGGTCAGTTATCACCAATGAAGTGGGATCATCAGAATACTAAAAAGCCTTAAGAGCGGATCAGGTAAAGTTATTGTGACACAACCAAAATCCTCCAAACACCCCTACCCCTCTCCCCCGGTGATAAATAATGACCGTTTCCCAACTGTATCCAATTCTGCTAACTCTTCCCCTTCCTCGACGGTAGGGTGTTCAAATGAGGCTATCTGAACAAGGAAAAACTGTTATGGTAGAACACGCTTTTGAATGAATGAAGTTGTCCATTTCTAACGAAAGGTAGAAATGGAAAAAAAGAACGAGTCCTTCACGAGAATTAATGATCCTAACGTCTGCAACCTCTGCAAGTTCTGGCGATGTAATACCAACTAAGCTACAACGAAATGTACGAGTTAGGGCATATACCAGATCATTGAACATGCGAAAAGCATGTGGCAAGCTGAAAGATATTAATAGTGTCCTGAATTGAACTATAGATAGATAAAGAAAAACAAAATAGATTGACGACATAATCCGAGGGACTCAGGTTGGAATCCTCGTGGGAACTCAGAATTTTCGTTTTTTCGCATGTTCGTGCCAAAGATAACTTGTGGGTCAACTTCTTGGACCAGGATTTTCTTTTGCAATAGAGTTTATCCAGTGTCAGAGAAGGGCTACCACAGTGGCAATTGAACGAGGCGAGAAGAGGGCCTGGGAGGGAAACTGAGCTTAAAGTCGACTCAGTCTCTTGCTTTATTCATGTGCCAGATGAAAGTGGGAAGTTTGGTGATGAAAGACAAAAACCTCATCTGCAGCGGGCTCAAATCTTAGCATTTCGATAACTAAGGGATCAGTCTCGCCAAAACATTAGACTAAGCATTAAATGGAGATTTTTAAGCGTCACAAATTCAATGCAGCAAAAGAAAGATCTTCCATAACGATTTTAATATCACTTGTACAAAAATACTGCTTTTTTCACACTGCCCTCCTTGCATGAAAATAATTCAAATGGGCGATGTAACATTTATACACAATCAAGTAGGAAACTTAAGCGTGTTCATCAGCTTTACAAAAATAGAACGCTATTACTTAAAAAAGAACTTATGTACAGTCCTCGTTCGTTTCTGTAGGTGCAAACTGTTTCCCTGCTTCAGGGCACTCAAAGTTCAGTGTTGCGTATAATAAAAACCGGACTCAATAAAGCTTGCTATGATATAAAGCACTTGAACTCCTTGGACCCATTGCTGATACCGTGGTCTCTTAAACAAAATTAATCGATTACAACATTTTTAAAGAAACGGACAATGATTTCACCGAACCAAATTCAATTTGGTGTCGATCAGTACTTATAGCCAAAGAAAGCGAAGATGACAAAGAATCTAGATCGAATCCAATGGTTCCGTCATTACTTTCTTTAAAACAGAGAGCTGTGCATGATAAAGTATGGGATTATACGGAAGTTATGACTAAGTGGCTCAGGTAACAGATGTCCGACGCATTAAAATTGAATGAAATCGTTTTCACGAACGAGAAAGGATTTTCCAGGAAGGTTCCTCGTAAATAAGGTGCAGGTTAATATCACCCTGCCCCCTTCCCCACCTCTCTTTCAAACAAATTTTCCTAAAATGTAACAGAAAAGGAATAATATGAGTTGAACGTTTTCACTGCGATGCTTCTTCAATTTTTTTCGTTTTTGGATCTCGAATGTTATCTCTATGATTCGAAAGGGACTTGAGCACAACGGATCGAGGTCTCCTCCGTAGCGAACTCCATTTCTAGTGAGATGTCAACCGTACCACACAGCCTTCACACGAGATCACGTGACCTTAGCGTGATTATGTAACGAGAAGCTTGTTGCCATGAAGACGCCGCTGCTCTTACTCAGGCTCAAGCCATTTCTTGCAAAGTAGAAACCCTGAAATAGGTGCTTTTTCTTTGCTTATGTTTAGCTTCTTTCATCTTTTACTTCAATCAGTGCACCTGGCCATCTGAAAAAGAAGTTTTGATATCGATTAAACTAATACCGGCAGCAATGTGACATAAATAACTCTACGATTGCAAGACATGCTACACAGAGGCTCTTCTCATACACAATTGTTCAATGTTTTCCAAAATTTTTAATGTAACCGTGTCCAACGTTTGCGACTACAGAGATTTACTCTGTGCTAGGATCGTCTAGAAAAAATCGCGAAAACTCTCCTCGTTAGAAACTAAAACCCATCACTATAATAAAAGAGATGTTATTTATTTTGTCTCGTGCGTAAGAAAATGAAAGATCTGGGCCTCCCACGAAGAGTCTAACCTCAGACCTCGGATTTCGCCCCACGATTCTCTGCCACAGAGCTACAGATAACGTTATAGTGGGCTAGACCACTACAACTTGTTACCGTGGCTCGCGTTTTCCAGCGCTTTCAGGAAATTCGCTTGTTATTTTTTTTAAAAATTTGAGTCGTCAACATGCAGTCTCTACTGATATTTTCCTTCGTCATGATCGGGCGCTGTGATTATTATGGTTTTATTTGTAACGATATTGAACCCTTTACACCGTTAGAACAGTATGCATATTCTCCATACTGTTCTCTATAAATTTCCCAAGGTGCTGATAAGGAGAATTTGTTGAACAATCAAGAGCTAACTTAGTTCGTGATCATTTCCTTTATTCTCGTAACATTAATGTTTGATTCGAGGGTGATGTTGTTGGGAGAATTCAGATGCTTATCGCTCTTAGGGGTCAAATGGTTCATCAGATGTGCTCTCGCAACTGACCCAGTGCCCCCCCGGCCAACATAACAATATCCTGAGTAGTTTATCACGGCGACTGACTTCTGTGTCAAGAGCTGAGTCAACTCACTTGGTTCTTAAACAGTGTTCCACCTCAGATGGTTCTTCCCCGAATTCGTCATCGGAGCTGAAAATATCTCTCGTATCTGAAAAAGAAGAACCTCAGGGTTGACTGACACGATAATTGAGTTGGGGAAGGGTAACTATATATAGTATGAGGGGAGGGGGTGGGGGATTTTGTTGATGTCACAATGAAATTTACCTCCTCCCCCTAGAAAGGCTCCCTAATATTCTTATGATTTCCCCCCACCCCCCCCCCCCTCCCCGCACTGGCTGTTAATTGACAGCCAGTTCTCTATAGTCCACCCTTTGTGGTCTGTTGGCAACGACTGATACCCCCTCTGTTGCCCCCGAAAACCATGTTAAACCCCCCCCCCCTCCTCAGAGGATAAACAATGAATGGTCCCTGAGCCGACTACATAAAAACTATGTTTTCATGGTACTTAAAACTAATTAGAAGAAAATTGTGATTCACATATCTTCACAATGTTGAGCCAGTCGGTTTAGGACTTAAAAAACACTTTGGTACCTATAATAAATACACTCTCGTCTGCACCATTGTTTCTTTTAGCTGATCCAGTACAGTACAACAACTCAAATCTCCTCTCGAGCTTCCTGTAAAAGGCAACAACAAAACCAAATTATTACGACGAGGCCATTCCCTTGTCATTTCTTACTTTTCTTTTGAACTCATGAATCACAGAGAGTATCGAAGCAACTAGTTTAGTTCCGCCCGTGTTGTTTGTGCAAGTAATTAAGAATGATACTTTTATTTACAATTGTAAGCTTCTTCAACTTGTTTGCATTTTAAAGACTTAAAGGCACTTAACTGACCAATCATTAACGAGTTCCTTGTTGAGTGAAAACAGCACGCCGTAACGTTCACCTGTCTTCACCACCCAAACTGGAAACTTGGGAGTCTTGAGCATGCTACCAACCTGGTCAGAGATTGATACAGGAAACAACTTGTTATGTTTTGTATGCACCAGTACTGTCCCAAAAGCTAAGGGAGCTATGAGATGACATGGCTAAATAGAGTACAGTAGAATCCCGCTAACTCGAACTTTCGTACATTAAGTTTGTTTAGGAGCTTTTTGATAAGGACGTTAGTTTGGGAAGTTAAGCTAAATGTATCACCTTTTTATAAATGTTATCAAGTTTGTACCAATCGCGATTAAAGACTGGGACGTGTTAATCAGCTATGTTCTCACACTTTGACGTTTACTGACCGACGTTTTTACTTAAAATTCGAGTTATCAGAGTAAATTTCAGCTAAGGGAAAGTAAAATTAGTTCAAGTCGCGGGGAGTTCCAGTAAACCGAGTTAAAGTTAGCTGATGGTAAATGACTGGGAAAATGGGGTCAAATCCAAGGGAAATTGGTTCTTGATCGAGTTAGCGGGGGAGTTCGAGTCAACCGGATTCAAGTCAGTGGGGTTCTACTGTATCATAATATTACCTGAAAAGATTTGGGATCAAGATGCTCTTCAAGAGATAAAAATCCAATCTCACTCCGACCTTTAATGCCATTCAGCGGATGGGGCTGTGTATAGGAGAAAAGTTACTTGTCAAGGGTGGGTTTCAGAGAAGAGTTTGAAACATCCGTTGTAATACGAATTAGGCTGAAAAGTGTAAGAGTTAAGTAACCCTTTGGACCCTATGAGTAACCAGCATCTAATTTCTCGTTACTATGATACCGCTCAATCATCCATCAAGATCATGGGAAAAAAGGAAATGATCACCAACTTAAGAAGCCCTTGATTGTTAAACAAATTCTCCTTGTAAGTAGCTCAGGGAATGTGTAAAAAAGGTCATGGAGAATATAGATACTGTGTTAGTGTGTAAAGGGTTGAAATGATGATGAGAATCGCCCATAGCCTTTGTAAACATAGTAAGTTACGATAATTCTTTCCTAGATAAACTGTTGTTTTAAAGATTAATGTTCTTTACAGGCAATATTTTGGCTTAAAACGGCAAAGGTAAACTTAAAATGGCAAGCTCCGGTACTCTAGCTGCTTAATAACAACTAACCAGATAATAAGCTCCGAAACAAAACAAACGATAACAAGACAGCATCCGATCCTGTAACGTTCTCTTCCCCTTACCAGTTTTCGTCCTCTTTTATTGAACTCGATATCACCGTTAAAGACATTGGCGGCTGCTCTGCCAGTTAGCATCAAGTTAATCATGGCCTGTGTTGTGAGGGAAAAGAAAAATGAACTACACAGTCAGATTGAGAAAACACGCATTTACTAAAGTTCACAAAAACAGGTATTCAGATCTTAAGTTTCTCCGCTCACGATGAGTCCATACCGCGACTGTTGCCAATTGAAAAAGAAAGCACCTTGATTCGAAAAAGTTCTGTATGTTGAACTGTTTCGAAGGAACTTCCTACCTGAGAGCATGAGTCGTGAAGACCCATCAAAGTGGAATTCGGGTCTCCTAGATCCTCAGTTACCCTGTAAATACAAAGATTAGAAATATTTAGCAAGTTGAGAAAATGCTGGCCACGTTGTTAAGGATTACCCGATGGACTCTGGATCGAGGGGTATGGGTCCGAGCCCTGACCGGGTCGTTCAGATTTATTGCTGGGAAGGTGGTTTAGTTTTCTTTACTTTGCTTTGTGATTGGTTCTGAAAACTTGCGCCACTTTCTCAACCAATCAAATTCAAGCTAAAACCAATAACGACTTAGTCGCCTGTGTTTTCCCGCGCTTTAGGTAGTTTGGTTGATTCTACTTTGAGTTCTCATTTTCTCTTTATAGCCGTTGTGGCTGTTGGTTTTGGTTTTATGACTTTCAGTGGAAAAGAGCTCTAAAAGCTACATGTTTTATTAATTGACAGAATGTTTACAGCACATCCACGGCGTACCTTTCAATTGATCTGGACAGAATAACCGAATACAAAAACAGAATGCAACCATTTCCGTTTGTGCTTTCAAACTACAAAAGAAAACATAAAGAAGTTACCAAAGATGACTGAACAGCATAGCAAAGACGAGAAAGAGAGAAAGGGAACGAAAAAAAAAACCTCGAAGGGAAGCGCGGACTACAAAAGCTGACCGAGAAGGGCGAGGGAGCTATGGGGCCGGTTTACGGTTACTTCGCCCCATGGCTAGATCACCCCCGGTCAGATCGCTCCTACGAGAGTCAATTCGCTCTATCCATAGAGAAATCTACATTCAGCGTAATATACGTCACTTAAGAAAGGCCACAGACTACAATACACGCCTTCCACGCAAAAGAAAGATCCGCCATTTTAAAACGCAGTCTACCCAGCTTCACCTGGAATTGGGTTTGAAATCGATTAAAAATGGCGGACCTCGTTTAAAAACGCACTTTCAGCAGCAATTAGGAACTAGAGAAGATGGAGGAAACAATATTTTAACGCAATCGTAGATAGCACAACAGATTCGCTTCTTTGTATTAAATATGTTGTGTTTAAAATGGAACATACTGTGATCTCTAGATTCGTCATAGAACATTTCGACAAAAAAATACTAAGATACAAATAAAAGATAACCAAATACTTTCCGTTAACACAACCATACCTCTCTAAATTTTCCATTAAAAGCTAGAATCAGAAAGCGCCGAGTACTTACAAATGATAAGTGCTTCTTCGTGAACCTTTCCAGGTGGGAAAACTCGGTAAATCTGAACTGATGAAGCTGTAAATTCAGACGAAAAAAACCTTTTTTCCTTATAATCATATCTTATAAACTGTCTGAGCTTTCGTTTCTCACTCAATACCCAAAGTAAAATGAAACAACCTAAGTGGAAAATGTTAGAGAACCCCACCCCAGCGGGACCCCACCCAATCACGAGTACTTGGGTGGTTGAAAGTATTCAAATCGAAAAAAAACTCTACGCCAGGGAAAACCACCGCTAAATTTATGAAGATCGAAGTGAATAGAGGGTTTTATTCCACCCTTGCCCCAGCCTGCAGTGCAGGTGTCTTATTTCGGTGAGTTAATGTTAGGAGATCGCGATCGGTTATCCAACTGGCCATGGTTGATTCAGAGTTAGAGTGGACGGTGAGGGAGGGGGCAGGGAAATGCGAGGTAATTTCTATTGCCCCACCTCCTCCCCTCTCCTTTCTTTTAACCGACGCTCACCCCCTTGATACGAATTTTTTTCTCCCCAGCGTTCCGCTGCTGTAAAAATCAAAGATGTCAGCAGCAACTTTCACCAAGAATATACTTAGCACTCGCTCGCCAAAACTACGCCTTCTTTGCCAACTACCCACATCCCTTTTCAGTCTAATACACAATGTAACAGCGTCTGCAACTGGTGGTATTACTCTTTGCGAGCAGCACAAGCCCTCCCTTTTTTAATTACGGCTTTTTTTATTAATAATTTTGCCAACTTTCGCGCAATACTGATAATCGTGCAATTTACGTAGCCAACTCAAAAAGAAGCATCGAGTACCAGCTAGTAAAAGCAAGTGACGACAGAATCGAATAAGCACATTAAGATAAAAATCAAAACTTTAGTGATGTGCACCTTTTCCGTGAGCTGATCTTCTCTGTAGTCGTCCATTGTCGCCCAGTTACACTCACCGCACGGCCTGAAATAAAAAATTTATCGATCACGGGCGCTCACGAAATTGGAAAGCGCAGAGATACTTACGGAGTGTGTACCCATTGAAGGCTAAGGAACTGGATGATCGATACACTTATAAATTTTCTGTTATGCTGACTCAACCTCTATAGCTTGTTCCAGGCGTCCAGTTAGTAAAACGGAACGAAATAGTTAACGGCGCGATAGTGGCGGTAGAGGTTGGGTCGGGTCATTCATTACGCGACCCGTTCCAGACCTCCCTCTCTATTTCACTTCCCCGCCGCTATAGCGCCTTTTATTTTCGCATTGAGTTTTACTACCTAAGCACCTAGAATAGGCTTATTAACGATTTCTCTGAGCTCCAAGGTGTGGGGTTCGATTCTCTATTTTGCTTTCCCACGTTCATGACATAAGGAATGAAGTTTTAATCAAAGTTTGAAATTTTTCTTTAAGCGACAACGTAAACTTTCGGCCTCGTCGCCTGACTATGACAAGCAGTATAGCAGCTGAAACGCTTCAGTCAATGCAATTGATTAGCCTGAATCTTATATCGTGAGACAAACAATCAAATGCTTATTTTTCTACGAAACCACGATGAACAACAACATTTCCCATAACATACAATTTGTAACACTCACAGTACTACCGTTGCGCGCTGTTGGCCTCCTGCTTGCCAGAGGATCTTCGTCATGGCTGTAATTAGTGCCTTCTGGCGGTCAGACGACATTGGTCTCAACATACTACGGAACAAAAAACCAAAGGTATTTCTCATTCAGAGAATTTCCATTCAAATACTTCTCGGTATCTCCCTATGCGAGAATATCAAAACCATGACTTTGCAACTTTTTTTTTCTTTAACAAAATAGCTATTCTGATTGATTCAAACAAAATTTAAACTTATTTCGTGACACTGCATAATCGAGACTCTACTAGTTACTGATAATTTTTCTTAGAGAGAATTCGTCACGGTTTGTCGACAAAGGAAAATCTGACCTCAATTTTTTCAAATTCTTCGTTTGAAATCCGTGTTCACACTCAGTGAGCCATTTTATGTTAGAGAGGGTTGGGTAACTCGGCGCTGGATCGAGTTTGTTTACTGACAAACATTCTTCACAAATCTCTTTTGTACAAGCAATAATTCAGAACACATCGTTTCCAAATGGCCCAACAACCCTAAGAAGTGTAAACACAGTCTCGACACACGTTTGGTACACGAAACAAATCAAACCAGTCGACACCAAAAATAAGATAAAATTCCAATCCATGCGGGGAAATCAAATGATCTTTACTCTCTTTCTCAGAATGGCACTTTGAGAATAAAACTGACCCCATCTACTCAAAAGCTTGAGATTTCAAACCACATCTCCTAAATTTTCCTTTAATCGATTGTTGTCCTGGTTACCTTTTCACGTGTTCAATGGACGGCTGGTCGTACAACAAGAATCTCAACAGGAATCCCTGCAAACATGCCATGATCCCGTCAGGCCCCAACTACGGAAGTGAGTGAACAAAATATTAAAACGATAGTCTCCGTTTGGCTCAAAAATAAGCTTGGATAACATTTCATTTTTAATCATTTAGCGATCCAATAAGTTCCCAACGCTCATTTGAAAATTGCTCTCGATTTAATACACTGGGCCAGGTTGTTCATGATAAGATGTAGCTGAACTATATCTCGGTTTTGTGTGAATTTTTCAGATGGTTTAGTAATTTTTTTTCAGACAAATTACTATTCGTATCATGTAGTTTTTTTCAAATCTGCCTCACAACTGACCACTGCATAAAATCTCACTTAAATTTAACCCCAATTAATACTTCGCGCACGGAAAGTCAAACTATAATTTGAACCTCAGGTTGGCGCTGACCACCTCTCAAACAACCGGCTCTCTTTACCCCCCAAGTTACCTTATGGAAGCTTAGAGCGTAAGACTTGTGCGAAAAGAAGTTGATATGTTGTCTTCTCCAGTCAGAGTTGAAAGACGTGTACGGTGTACCAAATAATAACACACGGAGGGCCTGGAAAGTGATTGAAATGACGTTTAAACCTTTCCACTGAAATATTTAACCATCAAGGTTCTCACAGTACACTGACGGTCATCGATACTGTTCTCAAAATTTCAGATCTTAGAATTTGGTGGTAAATTAAACAACACCCTCTCTAACTGATATTTTTCTTTCATCTCGTCAACTTTACAGTTGAAAATCATTGTTGATAATTCCGTTTTGGTCACTCCTGGGAGTGAGTACATGGTGAGGATCTGAACTCTGACTATTCCCCAGTCGTCTTCAAAGCAGAAGCCAACCAACGCGAGTAGAATTGGAGAGAGAAGTGTGCGCCGCGCACTTTTTGGAGGCAACCGAGGATGAGTCAGACCCGATCCCCAGGCTGTACCGACTTATTTTGCGCTCGGAAGCTCTAACAACTGAGCTAAAGAGAACTCAATGGTAAGCTTGTCCAATCAGACAACATGAAAATATAACAAGGGGCCACCAAGAACTGAAACAAGGTTAAAGCCTGAAGCGTGAGAAAACGCGAGAAAACGCGCGAAAACGCGGAAACGCGAGTGACCAAGACGCGACTGATTTGAGTAATGAATCTGATTGGCAGAGAAAGTGGCGCAAGTTTCTGGACTTAGCGCATGGCGAATTCAAAGCAAAACAAAAGCAATTCCAGATAACTTGCGACAATCAAGTTAAAATTATATTATTCTATGTAAAAAGCGCCTCAGAAATTCCCAGGAAAGGTTATCTCGCATGTGTTCTAGGTAGAGATTGAATAATAATCGGCATGTCCCGAACGGATTCGAACTCCAAAAACAGTGGATCTCACTCAAATCAATTTTTGAAGATTTGCCATAGAACTAAAGCAATATCTACGACGCATGTCTTACCTTGGCTACCTCCAATGTGATTGGATCCCCACCCGGCACAGCTGGTTTAACAGATTCTGTGGCGCGTTCTCTTTCCAAGGGCTTTCTTTGACTGGAAGAATTTTGTCTCTTAGGGCGGGATGAAGGAAGTAACGGTCCAATGTCTACCGGTTAAAGTAAAACAAAATCATTTCGTAAGTTTAAGGGTTGACATAAGCAGACGCCTTGATCGGAGAGAATATTCTACCCAGGTTCCTCTTAACAAAGTCATTCGAGATTGCAGTAGTTTTTCTTAATTTCGGGAGTCGTCATCAAATTAAAAAAAAAATAGCTTTTGGACACAAGAGGATTCTAACTCCGCATTTGTTGTAAAAAGTAACTGGTTTGAACAATACCAAGCTAGATGGCCACTTTTGAGAGGCTGCTCACTTGTAAACTCATGTCCTCATTCAATTATCTAATAAATTTTAGCCAGTGAAGATGACCGAAAAGGAAAGCGCGCGAAAAACATGTGAAAAAGCACAAATAACGGCGAAGATCCTTTCCTTAACTTCTCACCCTCCGCCCCCTTCTCCCTTCCCCTCCTCCCCCCCCCCCACCTCCTCCCCCCTCCCTCACTCACGGCTACGAAAAAAGAGAAAGAAGGAAAAAAAACAGCCAGATTTGTAGCAATATGTGATCCAGTCGTAACCAGACAAGTATTAGAAACACCCTCATAGGATTGGCGGGGGGATGTATCCAGTCTCACCGGACCCTCTTCTAAATCCGCCACTTGGTTGGTAACATAGCAACAGTCTACGACCTGCCTCAAATAAACAACAGATCGTGGAAAATTGCGCTAGTTGTTACTCGCAAACTGAACATACAAAGTTGAAACATTAAATTGATCTTAAGTTCTGCTAAATCAACTAAAACATGTCTTAAAAGGCAACAAGACTGCTAAGTTGAATTGTTTTCACTGATGACTGACAAGTAATTGCGTTCTCCAAACGTTATCCAAACTGTAGATTCAAAGTCCAGAAAAACACGACGTGTTCGAGAGAGACATATAATAAAAAGACAAAAACAAATGGAAAAGATACCAACCGGATCTGTACCACAACAAAGTATTCATTTTCAGAAGCCGCTTGTAAAGTTTTAATTCAACTACATCTCAATATGTTCTCCTCTACTTTGTGATATACCCGTAAATTACTCTTAACCAAAGTGTCTAAACCAGTAAGTATAATATCACTAATATCTCAGTCTCTTACGTCAAAAGAAAACTGTATACAAACTGTGTTAATTACCCAATGATAGCTCCTTAACGAGTTCCTGTTTCACTTCATGTTGAGGACATTTTTCTGGTTTAGGTGCAGGCTGCACCTGAAGAAAAAAACGCGTTAAATCTGCCATCATAAACGCTGAAACTGTATAATGCTTCACTGATACTTTTTAAAAGTAGAGAAATCGACCCTCTGGACCACTTGCCCGCGTTTCCCGCCCTCAGCCGGTTGAATGTCTTTTGTACTTCGAGTTCTTATTGGCTTCTATTGGATTTCCTTTGATTCTGTTTGGTCGTTGTGATAACTTAAGATTTGGTTTCACGACAGCGAACCACTATCGCTCTAAATGAAGAACTCACCATAAGTTCTCGCATTTTTTCACCTCTGTGATAAAATTCTTGGAAAAGAAACCAAAAACACGAAGCACCCACGTTATGATGACAGCATTTCCACACCTCTAGCACTTTGTTACATCAGACTCTTAAACCCTTTCAATTTCAAGGTTTCATTCTTCTTACTGCCTGTCATACAATTCTCGTGATGTTAGTTGGGAGAACCAGGTATTAGATCGACTTATAATTCCTTAACTGATACTGGTCTTTTTCTATATTCTCATTACTTAACTACTTAACATTGTATTAATATTCTAGGGAGAAATTTTGTCTTGGTCACCTATGAGAATTAAAGGGTTAATATTTTGATATAATAGTATTTAATGTTTTGTTTCGCCCTAAGCTATTCTTAAATTGTTCAGTTTATCATCATAAGTCACTCACCGACGTTTCCGCTCTGTTACCAGATTTTACAGCAGATGTTTCTTTTGGAGTGGGTGCATGAAAGCTCGTTTGTCTAACAGGTTTAACTGGTTTGGGTTGGATAGATCTAGAAGGTTTGACCGGTTTCTGCTCCAGGATTTTTGTGCGTTCCCTTCCGTGTCTTGAACACACATGTAAAGTACTTCTGCTTTCTTGATGTATTGGAGGTGCCAGCACATGGCCAGCGTCTGTGCAAGGATTCGAGAAAAGAGAATATGATCACTGCCTACTCTTCTCTTATCTTTCACACACTGCTGGGTCATGCAGTCTTAGGAGAGACTTGCCGGGAATATTAAACTGTCAGGACAGCAACGCTGAAGACGAAATCGCTTTAAAAACGAATTTATATTTTTGGTTAGAATTTTGCGAATAGTTGGACGTGTTTACCGTCTTTTGCGCCGCCCTACCCGGCTATACATCAGAAAAACGCATGTGAGCGTTGGGTCCCAATTGGAAACTTAAATAATTTGCTATCGCGGTTTCTGTTATCAAACCACACAAATTTTAGTAACTGCACGTTGTTGTTTTGCAGAAGAAGGCTAAGAAATGTACATATTTTTAAAACGCACGTGGTGAGCTATTGTTCTGCTCATTAGATCTTTTTGTTTTGCCACGTTCTCGGTAGTGCCTACTGCTGGCACTACCACGACGAAAGGAAGGATGGGAAGGAAAGAGACAGTGAGAAGAGAGTCTTCCCTTTTTCTTTCTACCCATCTGAACCCCACCCCCTCTCCCCGCGCACTTCTTGCGTGCATTCCTTGTCAGCTCGAGACTTCTATCGCGCGAGAATTTATGAGGGCGAATTGAGAGCGAATAGCCAATCAGATTGCAGCATTTGTGATGGAACGCTTGTGGTTCTATACTAATGAAAACTAGAGATACGGCTGAGAACGAGTATGCTGAATGATTTTGAAAGTACTCGTTTCTCTCTTTTCATCATTTCCGAGGGTTTTTTTGGGGGGAGTAGGAAGGTACCAGCTTCTGTGGTAACTTTTCGACCAGTCAAAGTTATAGTGTATCTATTGAAACTGGCCCACCCGGAAAGAGGACCATTTACCGCTTTTTTTAAATTTAACAGAGACACTCTTTGACAAAGGTTTTGCTTCGGTAGGAAATTAATGCAACATACAAATCATTAATTTGTACCCCTACAACTCTTGGACCTCATCAGACCTTGACGTTCAACCAACGATCCGTGATCACTTAAATATGACCGATCAACGAACATTGTGTTGAGATTTCATAGTTTTGTGCCATACAATTGATCAGCTGGAGTTGAAAGTGCCGCAATCTATTGTTTAAGTTCTGCCCTGTGATTGATTCTCGTTGTCTCTGAGGCCTCATGTTCAAAAGGTACTCAGTAATATTGCTAGCTCGTGTCACCAACACCTGGGTTGCCTATTTGACAAGAGAGCTTCTACAGAATGACTGGGTGGGGAAGGGAGACCTATTTGGTGGGGAAGGGGGACTTATTTAATGGGGAAAGGGGGGCCTATTTGGTGGGAGAGGGGGGCCTATTTGGTGGGTAAGGGAGACCTATTTTGGGGGGGGAATGGGGCTTATTTGGTGGGGAAGGGGGACCTATTTGATAGGGGAGGGGGGCCTATTTGGTGGGGGAGGGGAGCCTATTTGGTGGGGAAGGGTTTTTTTTTTTTGGTGGGGAATGGGGGCCCTATTAGGTTGGGGAGGGGAACTACTTGACAAGAGAGGTCCAGGCAGCCTTTACCTATATCAATGTCTTCAATAACATCTTCTTGAACATCCTCTAGCTCCAATGTGCTTGACCTTTTAAGGGTTAACTAAAAAATAACAAAACACAATGTTAAGTCCAATAATACAGTTGAACCACCATTATTCTACAAATTCTTTCTTAAGTAAAGAGACCATACAAAACCAAAATGTCTATGAAAATACTTCCAAATTAGAGACAATTTTGTATGTGTGCAAAATCATTTAATCATTATTTCATGACTGCATTTGCAACAAAGGTGTTGTATTCACAACAGAATGACTCATAAAGGATCCCATTTGGCCATATATCTCCTATCTTTTTTCTGTGCATTACCTCTCTGTCTCTAAAACAATTAAACCTCAAGGCATTCTTCATATCCAGGCCCTTGTTGGACTGTGCTATAAGACACCATCCCTAGTTTCCAAATGCTGGGTAGCACTACTCATAATCAGAAATTTACACACAAGTGCCTGAGGAGCTGCTTACTAGTAGGGAAGTATTAGATCAACATGATAAAAAAAACCAGCCATGTTTGGATTATGGCCCTTCTTAAGAGGGGAAAGAAGTCCATGGGATTACAAGAGGCTTTTTGACACTGATAGAGGGCTTTGCCAAAAAAATCGTCACTTCCTGTTTCTATTTCAGGTCAATTGACTTGGTACTTCCACATTGAAAGGTAATATTCATTTACATACAAAGGTCAATTTCGATACACTTGTTGTACCTGGTTTTAGAGTCATAATCTGTGCAGAAATTAATCTGTAGACACTCAACCCTGTTATAATGAGGAATATTTCTTAGACTAGAAATTTGAAAGATATCTGGTCTTTTAACATCTGTTGCATTGCAGTGTATCATTATATCAGGCCTTTCAAAAGACTTCTAACCTACATGTGAGGGAAGAGCAGATCAAAGAAGTTATATGTAACTACAACTAACTCTAGTTTTTAAAGTTAACGAGATCCATTTGTAAGCCACATGAGTATAAAACTAATATTCTAGTTAGCAATAACAATATACAGTCATTATAACAGTATAATACAGTTTGCAGTTTACTACACTTACTGTCTTTGGTACTGGCTTTGCAAGGCTGTAAAAACAACAGAAAGGACAAAATTAACCCTGAGTTTTTATCACTATGTTACCAAAGTGTTAAAAAAGGATGATACCTGACCAAAACACATAGCTGGAAAGTAACGGAAAGTTTCAAAGAAAAATTCCATTAAAGTAACTATTGAAATCATTGTGAAAGATTGTAAAATTAGTTCACTCATTACATTCATATTAAGTGGTATTTAGTGTTATTTTCTGCAACCCTAGGCATACAGGAATTTGGATACCCTTCTTTAACAGGATGATTGCCAATCTAGCAACCTGTACTCAATCATCATGTAGCAAGTTGTGACATTTTTTAAGTTAGCTCATGTCTGTTGGCTAAAGGGCTCTAAGGCAGTTACATGTACTTTGTACATTTTAGAGTGTAAATAACACTTGTGATGCATGATGTGTCACATGGGGTGTCAAGGGAAGCATAATGGAGAGGCGTAAAAAATGTAACAGAGATCTTTGTAACAATTGTGGTGTTTTTATATATATTTTGGGCATGGGTAGCATATATACTCGTCATCCACAACACCCTTGACCAGTCTACAATTATACTTCCTCTCTGTGATTAGCTGATATTTACAAACCTTTTGTCAAAAACTTTTGCCCATCTATCCAGCATGTTGTTGGTTTCCTCAGCATTCTTTGACATGCTAAAATATATGAAAACTCTGGTGAATATGTCAGTAACACAGCAAAGCTGTGGCACTTGGCAAAGCTCAGACCAGGTTATATGAAAACACTGGTAAATATGTCAGTACCACCGCAAAGCTGTGGCACTTGGCAAAGCTCTGACCAGGTTTCTCTAAATATTGAATTTCCAACACCTAACTTGGGAGAAATTGGCACTGCAATGTCTAAAAAGGGTATCTGATCCCTTTTGTTCAGTTTTTCAAGCTAGTATCCTCCTTATCATCATTATTATTACCAGCCGTATTATTATCATGTATTTTTTACTGTCATTACTGTTATTTTCATGATTATTGTTGTTTATTGTTATTATTATTATCATTCATAAACAGCTTTGATTCATATTATTCATTGAATTTAGCCTGTTACGGTATATTGCAAAGGTAAAGACAATTTGTTCATCGATGATTCATTCTCTAATAAAAAGCAAAGTTACAAAAGCAGGGTACCGTTATGTAAGCTGCAGGACAATCGGCTACACTTAGTAAAAATTAAAACCGAACTCATTTGGACACAATGAAAAATATCCATTTCACCTTTCTTTGTTCGTTTCTTGAACTCTCCTTTCAACTCCAAATTTTCCCAAAGGCACTGTACTCGTTAGTCACACAAAGTGGCTTTCAAATTTGCTACTAACCCTCTTCCATACTCTCCTGTTTAACTCCTGACATCAGAAAGAGGATCTAGAGAGTCCAGTTCACCAAGTGCGATTTTCACACGTATCTCAGAGAAAACAGTAATTCTTCTGAAATGACATTTACAACATCTTGATAAAGTTTTTTACTTCTTTAAAACTTACATAATGAACATGACATTGCAATACTGAGAAGGCAAGCGCCTGCCATCTTTGTTTCTATGCAAACTGTTTGTGGTACCCAGGTTTCCTCAGGAAGAGCTATATTGGAGATTAGTCAAGATGAAGGGGGAGGGGGAGGGGAGGTTTCATGGAATCACACGGTTGTCATGGACAACGGATGGGGGGGACCAGTCGTCGCCAACAAAGTGCTAAGGGAGAGCTATGGAAAATTAGGAGGGGGGTGGGTCACAGGAATATTACAAACCTATAGTGGGGAATCAAGTAAATTTTATTTCGACACAACCAAAATCCTTTACCCCCCCCCCCCCGCCAAGCAATAAGCAATAAAAAATAATGACCATTCCTTTAATAAATTCCTAATCAAGTTTCAGAAGAAAATTGCCAACGATTATGTGTAAGGGTTACGCTTATTTTTCCCCTCACTGTTACTGATTGAAGGTGAATGTGACGTTTTCCTAGAAATCATGGCTAAATAACTTTTTCTAGTTTCCCGTCCCTAAGTTTTAGACACAGCAGGTGCGAGGTGCAGTTTACATAGCGTGACTTGGCTAACCTCTTTCTAATACCGACGAAAACCGCGATCATGAATAATAATGAATTATTAATAATGCTAAACATTTTTAATTAAGATATGAATTTGCCGGTACTCTTTATACGATGTTGCTAAGAGTCTTACTCAATGAAATATTGGCAATGTATTTTTGGACCGAGCCTGGCCGATGCTATTGGACGGCAATAAAAGGAATCGACCATCGAATCTCTGAAGTAATTATAAACGGTACATCGGTCTGGGAAAATATCGGGGATAATAATTAATGATATAGATATATGAGGCGATCGGAAGGAAAAATATTTGTTCCTCGAATAGCTGGCCTTTAATTTTAGCACTGCATACTTAAACAAGGAGCAGAAATCGCGACCGATCGAATTTGTCAGTCAGCAGTACGGAATTATTTTTTCCGTGTATTTAAAAAAAATAAATTTTAACTTTAAAGCCTGAGGCTTTATTTCTCGGAGGAGGGAGATGAACTAATGATGATAAAATTAAATACGACCAAGTGGGAATAGCATATGCAGTCTAAATACTAATAACTTTGTCTCTTTTATCCATTTCGAAGAAGGTTGCGGAAAATTTACCTTTTTCATGCAGAAAAAATTCTAGTAATTTCTTGGAAATATCGTATCCCTCTCCTGACAACTCAAAACTCTAAAAGCTAAAATGAAAAAATGTATCTACAATTAGATGATCGGAAGTTATCATTGGAAAAATAAATGAAGAAGAAGAAGAACATGAAAGAGAACTTTCTAATTTCCTGGTTCTGGATTATTTTTTTAAGCTACCTTTGAATTTCTGATTCCTATCTCGCAGTCAAACACTTTTTTCTGTTGAGGAAGAAATAACCAGCCGATATATTTCAAGTTAGTAAAGGCTCATTAACCCCTGAACTCCCAAGATCTTATTTTTAATTCTCCTCTCTAGCTGCTAGACATTTCCTTGTATACTGGTTACGAGAATTTGGTATTCAATCAAGATAATAACTTGTACCTGATGAGTTTGAGTATTCTCATCACCTGATTGCTGAATAATGTGTGGATGTTATAGGGAGAAGTTACATGTTAATCACTTCTAGGAATTAAAAGGTTAATCTGGTGACAAGACAAACGAAACTATTAAAAAAAAAAAAAAAATAGAAATGAGCTACAATAGCGATGATGAGCCAAAAACAAATTGAACAATCACAAAATTCAAAACATCTGATGTACAAATAGACCTTTCAACTCCCAGGATCTGATCGTTTATTCTCCCCTCTAGCTGCTTCCCATTGCCGTGTAAATTAGTAACGAGAATTTGGTGCTAGATCAAGATAAAAACTACTTGATAAGTTGAGTGTTTTGGGGATAATGTACAGATACGATGGGGAGAAGCAATTTTTTAATCACTTCTGGGAGTTAAAGTGGTAACGACATGGAAGCTCAATGAAACAAAATATATATATATATATATTTTTTTTATACTCAAAATGTATTCCAGTGCTTCCAGAATAATGCCAGTGTTGCTAAATGGGTTATTTGGAACAGAATTAACCAATCGCATTACAGCAAGGAACGTACTCAAATTTAGTCCAAAGCCAGGAAAGATGACAGATAATTTTAATGGTTTTATGGCCCGTTTCCTGTATTTGAATTTTTTTGTTTCGTGCAAATGACCTTGGTAAAAATAGTTGCATTGTAGATGCATAGAAACAACAATTAACTATCAAGTGGCCCGCCCATGACCGTCTATAACATGAGTGTTTTTTGCATACCTCTAAATTACTTCTAAAATTTGAATTCACGCTTATGAATATCAAAGAAGAGTTACTCTTCGTAGTATTATTTCCGGCGTGGTAAAAGTACCGAAATCCTGTTAGAAATTGCATTCAATCCATAATGATATGCAAAGACTGACAACAATCTATTTCCGGTTTTAACGTGCCTCCTGAGACCTTGAACTTTACTATTCGCCGCGCAGGACCAATTAAGGCCTTTTACTTCCTTAGCTTATTATAAAAGGACACATGGCTGAACGAGTACAATTGTAGTGTCTACACTTCAAATTGAATGCTTTAGTTTGTTTTTCGCTGAAACGCGAGTTTGTGATATGTCAACTGATTATTGGTCAGTTCTGGTAACATTGGATCCGTTTGGCTTGAGTTTTGAATGGACGTATCAATCGAACGAGTTTCGTTTTATTCAGTTGCGAACCCGCGGACATTTTAAACCCCGGAAGGATATACTTGCAACGATTTACGGATTATGTACAATACACGACGTTGACGTTAGCTTCATCTAAGAACATGCCACTCGGACAAGACAATCGATTACCCAATCTACGATAGAAAGATAAGAACTGATTGTGCGTCATGCGCGCGTGTCTTTCTCGAGAAGGGTTTGGAGTAATGTATTGTATGACAAGCATTTGTCGTGGTTATTTTCATTCGAAGCGGTTCTTGACGCAATAAAGCTTATAATTCAGGCCTGAACCGATAGAATTGGGGCCCGTACCAAAGCGAGGCCGGTACATTGTTGTGATACAACGTTGACTAGGTTCTGAGTCAAGCAGTTTTCGATATTTTAATTGTTTTCACGTAAGTTGTTTTTCCCGTTCAGTTTTCCTGCGTAATGGTGATTTCAAGCATCTGTTTCCCTAAGAGGACATGAGTGCTTCAGTGGCTATAATTAAAATGTAGCAAAATTTCCGCAGACAGCCAAAAACATGCATGACTGAGGATAATCACGGATTTTCACGAAATTCAGATGTTATATTTAGCATCACCACGGAAAAACGGTTTTCAGAAGGGTAAAACCCACAACAACGTTTTCATTAGTTTGCAACCAGTTCTGTCCTAACCTTAGCTGCGAAACCTGCCCGTACGTGTTTATCAGCACTCACCCAATATCAGTTGTTTGTATTTGAATTGCAAAAAAAAGTTACTCTCTGGGAATGATAAATATGGCGAGGTTGACGTCGCACAAATTCTTTTTTCGCACGCCGTGGCGATAAACAAAGGCAGAAAAGAGTATTCTTTGAAAGAAAACAGTCGAGGGTGACTTAAAACTGATGAAAGAACCATTGATTACAGCTGAGAATGAAATATTCTAATCGCAGTGTTTATGAATTTACCATTGGTGAATTTGCCCATGCCGAGGTTGTTTCCGGTTTTTGGTAAATCAAAGAGTCGCTAAATATTTACGCCATTTCCTGAATAAGCTTTGAATTGCTTTCGGTGTTCGACATTTTAAGATCTTCGTGAAAAGAATTGAAACAAAAAGGGTTCTTGTAGTTTTTGTTCAAGTTTCCGGTTATTTATCAAGCGAGTCGATAAAAGATGCCTTTCTCAGCGAAGCTAAGGTCGTTGACCGCGTACTAAAATGAACAAAACAAAGCTGGAACTCTTGCCATTTTACACGGTTCAAGTTTTGTTTGTCCTCCCAATCGTTCGCTTGGTTAAAAATATTCGAGGTGTTTCGGACAGTACTCATATGTGATGGGCGCGGTTCTTTCGTTTACCGCAGCTATGCACACGCGGACGTTTAGGTCCGCGGCACGCATGCCCGCTGTCAAACTCCCTGTTGGTACAGTATGTGTCATGGTCGCGTGCAGAAACAACGTTTGACCTATGCTTTGAAGAAAAGTGGGATATTTTTAAATTCAAACGCGTCAAAAAGTCACCGTAGAGCATAAAATGAACGAAGCGTTCCTCAACAGATCGATCCAACCTCCTACACATCTTCCCAGGTTTGTGCTGAAATATTTATTTGAACAAAACAATAGTTGAGTTTCTTAGCATGACAGAAGCGAAGAGAGATGCTTCCGTCAGCAGTGACCGAGTCGTACTCCACAGAAACTTGCTTTCGTCCTCTCTCAATCGAAATACGAATCGAGCCACAAACTTATTTGATTATCTTCTATACATAGTGTTGGCGTTTGTAGTAAATTAAATTTCAATTTCGGCGTTTCATAATGACCCGAAATAACACTGACGGTTTATTTTAAAACTCCGAGAAAATTATGCGTGGTTGTCACGTTCAAAGCAACGCCGGTTCGAAAATTGCCAAGATTGCATATATCTATTCTTAACTTTCAGTTTTACTTCAAAGATTAGATATTTAGTTCATTCAGCGAAAACAAAAGGCATAAATCTTATCAACGCAGTCTTTTATTTCTGTTTATCCAACACATTGGCCGACTGCCTGAAGTCCGTGACAAAGTTGTACAGCGCTCAATTTTGTGTCAAAATTGTTTTCGGTAACAAATTTTAAGCAACACCTATGAGAGAACAACATTTCTTTCTTGGTGGTACGTGCGAAGAGGCGGGTAAGGGAAATCACAACTAAAATAAAGTCCTTTAGATGTAGGAGGTTTTAGAATTACTTGGACGAATTGAATCGCCATTAAAAGACAGGAAGTTGAGTCACAGTTTCTTTTATCGCTTTAAAGAAAGCAGGCATTTTAACACACGTGCGTGGGGCTCACAGGTAACTACTGCAATTAACAGTTTTGATTTTGTTTGACGAGCCTCGTTAATAATTCGACGGACAATTTCCCCTGAGAGATAAAGTTTTCGTAGAAACAAGGAGGCTTGATTTAGCGCTTCAATAGTCAGGAAGGAAACGTGGGTAACTCTTTGTGTGTTTTGTCAGAACAGTTGTGCCTGGCCGCGATTGAACTTGTAAATTCACAAAACCAATAATCACAATCGTCGTCGTATTGCGGAGGCCAGTCAGAAATATCGAAAAAAAAAAATTCAATGAAACTATGAGTTGGTGGAACAAAGAGCGATGAAGTCAGTGAGGTGTCACTTCTCTTTTTTAGATCAGTGCTTTGAATAGCATGAAACAACTGTTTAATAATTGAGTTAAAGATCTCTATTTATTTTTGGCTTCGTTACAAAACTTAGATATCCTCTTTAATACACAAAATTTTCGAACTTCAATTCAAGACGCAGGCTAACTTGTTTTTTGTTAGAGTTTCTGAGTAATGGGCTCCCGGTGGCATTCTGCTGTAAAATCGGAGTAAAAAGTTCCCAACTGCTAGCGAAAGAGAAATCGTTTTCCTTTTAAAACCTGCCCGAGCAGATCTCCATCAGGGTCCTTTGAAAGGTTCTCACTCTGGGAAGCTTTACGCAACTGGAAGAAAGAGATTTTGCAAGAGTGTCAACTGTAGTTAAAAATTTAATGCAAGACGTGCGTCTGACCACCAGCTAACAACACCTTTCAAAAACGATCATGAGTTTATCAGTACAAAGAAAAGAAGCACAGCGATAAAGAGAGAAAATTCTAGAATTGCACCTCTCGTGTGAATGCAAAAAACTTGAGAAAGAGTGAAGAAGAATTGAAAGACCCACTTTACCTGTTGCATTTTGTGTTTTCGTGATCATCAGATCATCAAGCACCCTCGGAGAGTTCCACAATGCAGCTCTTTTTTCCCAAATCTCGATCATATGAGAAAAATAGCCATCATAGGAAGCCACTGATAACAAAACAATCACGAATAAAAGCTAACACTGAACATGGGGAGACCGAAACATCATCAGGTATATCTGTAGGAGGTAAAAATCAGCGCGCATTTTTTATTTTGTTTAGGCTTGCATGATGAGGTGTTTTACCCTTTCGGCAAGAGACCCCGGTCACGAAATTCGTAAACCTGATCCTGCAGAGCACGAAAAGAAAGATTTGTTCATGTTTGACGAGTTTCTTCGATCAAATAGGTTTCCAAAGGAGGTACGAAACGTATTATAGTGGTACTTTAAATTGAAAGTTTCGTGGTCGTAAATTCAGATATGCTCAGAGAATTCTGGCAGGGTTGTTGTTTTAGTCATCTTGATAAGAAAAATACATCATTTTTCTTCACTGAACGCTTAGATATGTTTTAGTCATCGAGCTGAGGAAGTCTACAAACTATAGAGTAAATGTGGTCGGATTCCGCAGTTGAATATACGTGTTGATATCTACGAAGTCTGTGACTGTCTCAAACTCAAGAGGGGTTCGATTGTTTACAGTATAAGTAAAATCGGGCGATAGCATGTTTATTGATACATTAGGAAGAAAAAAAGATTTCCAATTTTGGTATTGCCTCACCTTAAAAGTCAGTGCTAATCAGCGAACACAGGTGACGGTAATCAGCAATGGAAATGTTTGCTAATTAAGATTTTGCCGATCGGAGATCTAAGATCACGAGTCGATTCGCGTTTCATGGGAAGGAAAGGACTTCATCGGCTCCTTACAGAGCCGACAATAAGTTCGCCATGAACACATTGTATAGTTTTCTAACGGAACAAACAGGGCCTAAACAACGGCTGGGTTTATGTAAGAAAGTTTGACCTCCCACGGAGGAAATTGCTTCAGGCCCCGGCTTTTTGGTTTATGTTTTTAAGCCAAAAATGCACGAAAATGTAGAGACACGCAAAGGTCTTTCCACCGTCAAGTTGAAAGTTTGAGATGTCTGCCATAACGAAAAACGTTCTTAGAAATTACGAGTGACTCATTTCCTTGTTAATTCAAACGGCGGCATGGGAATTTTGCCGTGCCGGTTGTGAACTGTCACAGTCATTGTGTTACCACCTCTAAACACTTAAATCAAACGCGGTTGCCTTTCTTCGATTCCTTGTTCTTTGACTGGACAGCTGGAGATTGAGAGAGCCGACCGTTTGATGCGGTTTTGTGGCATTTGACCACTCTCCTTCTCGGCCTTCTGAAGCGGAAAAGCGGACAAAGGCTTAACACTATTTTAAATCACTCTCTGTGATGACGTAATCGCGCGGGCTGAGGCCAAGGTGCACGATCCATCACGTACTCGCGTGATGCGTCACAAGTGGCTGAGTCACGAGTCTTAATTCTCGATGAATATGGAATACTTTCCCCTTTCATTTCCGAAATTACAAAGAAAACTTATGAAATTGACATCTTTTTATCATTTTCCGTGACTCTAGCCAGAATATCATTCGAATTTCGCTTGCGCCATGACCCTGACCTCGACAAGTAATTGATGACTCATTGTTATGTAATTTGAGCCCGCGCTGTTTTTGTGATAGTGAGCATGCGCAGCTTTTTGTTGCCAAATACAAAATTCCCCTAACTGCTAGAAATATCGGGAAAACCGTGTTTGCATCGTCGGCTTTGGCGTACAAAAACTTTTTTCATTCATGATTTCCGCCTCTTCTTGGTAGGTATTTGTTTACTGACCAGGACACACCAGAAGGACTCATTCCAAAAATGATAGTCCCAGTCATGGGCAAAGATCCTCGGTGGTTACTCGTCGAAGTTTGCAGGGAATTTCAGCGTGGAAAGTGTTCAAGAACAGAGGACGAATGTAGATTCGCCCATCCACCCGCTCATGTGCTTATACAGAATGGAAAAGTCACGGCGTGTTTCGACTCTCTGAAGGTATCTACGTTTTTCTCTTAAAGGGAATATTTGTGTGGAAAAATTGGAGTAGTTGTGGTGGCATTTCCGCGCTTTATGGCCATAATCTTCAAACTTTCTTTTGTTCGTAGAAATTTTCGAGAACTTGTTGCGTCGGTCACTATGAAACAAGTGTTTTGCGGGCTTTTCAACTTCCCCTAAAGTTTACGAGCTTGTTATGGGTGTGCTTTCTGAGAAGGCACGTTTGGGAATGATTTTCTACGAAAAATTTCGGAGGAGTCTGTCTCTACGATATCCTTTATTTCACAATAAGTAAGGTTATATAGGCACTAGGATTTTTTTCGCTGCGTTTGGCTTATGCAACATCAGCAGTTCAATATTTTTGAGGAAATGAGATGTGTTTCTCTTAAAACTACTTAAAACTTTGATTGTGAATCGTCTAAGTGGCTATGCCAGGGGTCTAAACGATGTTTGTGGCTCATTTGTTTAACTGGACCAATATTCGTTGCTAAACTGCGTAAAACCGGCGATGAATACCATGTTGTGGCATGTTGTGTGGGTGTCAAAATAGTTAAGAATTTGCTCTTTCGTATGTCATGAATCCAGCATTTCCCATTGCGTGTTTGGGTTTCGTTAAGGACTCGTGGACTCATCCGAGTAATTGTTGATTAAATTTTCGTGACCGATGGTCAAGTTCGTGAATCTCTTTCTTCTGTTAGACCACGTATCTCAACTGTTGAGAACAAAGCACGTCAAGTTAAAATTGATATGTCGTTCTGCTCACGAAACGGAGAACACGGGTTTCCTATTGACAAAATCAAAGCGTGCAATTTGTAAAACCTTTTTTTTTCATGTTTCGTGAGTTCCAGGTCGGAAACGCAGCAAGTGGATTCGCTTATCAACATATGGGTAGACACTTTCTTTGTTCTTTTCCTCTAGACTCACGATATTGAAAGGAAGGTTAAAATTTACCACTGCGTTCTAAACGTGTACTGAAATTTAAAGAATATTACGTAATTTGCGAGATAGTGCACGCATTTTCGTTTGCAAAAAGTTTCGTGAATTTTGTATCCTTTCTCAAAGACAAAAAAATAGCGTGCCCGGGGTGAAATTTGTTTTCTTGCAATAATCACGCGATTGTTGATTGGATCATTAAAAAGTTTGCTTTGAGTATTGTGAGCATCACTGTTTAATTTCTTGTCGCACGCGGTTTGCGTGACAGAAATTGAAATTTGCTCAGTATTGCTTCAGTCCGTGTTCTTGAGACAAAAGAAACTTGACTCTTGTTTAGAACTTCCTGTGCCATCGATTTTTGGGGTCGTTCTCTTTTGGCAAAGGGATTTCCGTGTCGGTGTAAATCCTTTCAGACCCTCTTAATCTTAATCATGATTAAAAAAAAATGATTATATATCTAATATAAATGTGGGCTATAACTCATCTGACATAAATTGCCTGATTACTGTTGAATATTGCTGCATGTTGCAGTTAATGATTTGAGCTTTGACTGTAAATTTATTTCAAAGAAATATTTTGGCTAGTGCTTCCTGAAATGTGCAGCTTTTAAATTGAATTTTGATCAATTAGTTATAATTTCCTGTGTGAATTTCAGATTGTCATGTTAGAAAAAATTATTTGGTGTTTTTGTGGTGATAGAACTAGTTTTTCAGAAGTTTTGGGAGTCTTTTTGTACCTGTGTTGCTGTTTCTTTTCTAAGAACAATGATGTCAAGTTGCCAACATTGTGAAGATTTACACTAAAAATTTTTTTGTCAAATCGAGTCTTTTGTTTGGGTTGCACACAATGACTTGTCATATAATGGTTCAGTAGACATTTCTAGTTGACATGCATTTTTCAAATTCAAGTCTAAATTGAAGCTTTTTGTCATGTGTAAGGAAAGTTTACTTGTCATTGAAAAGTACCATTGGAATAAACTACATTAAAGCAATTGCTCATCATTGAAGATAAGTGGTACCAGTTCTGCTTGTGAAAATATTTGTGTTACAGGTTGGCTAAATTCTGCGCTAACGATGGGGAATGAAAATTTAAAATGATTTCCAGCACTTCTTGGTGTCAGTTCACTAATAATAAAATTATTTAATAGATGCAATGAATTTTATAATAATGTTAAATTAATGGTATTGCTCAGAAATTAGGAGACAATTTGAAAACAGTGTGTAGTGAGCTATTACTTGGGAGTTAAATTGATAAGGAGATACACATTTTGTTTGAAAGAATTTTTATTTGCATGTGTTGGGGCTTGCTATTTACTCCTTGTAGTCATAAGCCCTCTTATGTTAGTCTAAGCGGGTTAGGTTGTCTTGTTGAGATTAAGCCTTGTCTGTCTGGTCTTAATGTTAGCAAGGGTAACAAATCTCTTTCTCTGAGGCACCCAGCTTGACTGGAGTAAAAGACAGGTTGTCATATTTTCACCTGTAGGTGGTAAATCTCAATAGTAAGACTAATTCAAATTTGTCCCATTAATTCTTGGGAAAAACAACTACCAAAAAAAAAGAGACTCACTCTTGACATCAGAGCACATTTTTAAATTAGGCAGTTTATAAGTGTTGAAGTTTTTTATTTTTGTTGCTCAGGCCTCATTTGAAGGAGGACATCTTTCAACTCTTTTAAACTTTTTGCAGTTTGTAGTCTAGAGGTTAGCAGTAATTGACTTACAAGATCAGGCTTGCTAAAAAAAACTGTCAAGTGTCTTTAAGAGAGATATGATAAGCTTCTTTAGAGCCACCCATATTAATCTGACTATATCGCATGTATTAACTAAGAGGCACTGTTATACATCGGTGAAAGTTCCAAGGTTAAAAGCAAACCTTTTTAATGATCAATTGTGATTAAAGGACAATTACTCTTTTCAACCTTCACACTAAACAAAAGGGTATTGATTGAGTCGCATTGACTTAAATTTCCCATGATTTTTTTAGTTCACACAGACTCACAGACTCCATGTCTAGACAACATTTATATAAGATTCATTTCTTTCAGTTTGTAAAGGTTAACCCTTTATTTTGTGTAGTAATGGGATTAGAACCCCCTGCCTAAGGTGGTAATCTCAAAGCCTTTCTTTGGTTTCAAACCATTTCATTTGTGACTATCCATTGATTTAACTGTTGGCCAGAAGTAGTGTCATGGAAAATTTAGGGCATGGAGATTGATAACTAACACATGCATGTGCTGGTTATTCTAAAATATGAGCTAAAGTTATCGCAAAGATAAAGTTTAAAAGGAACAGGAAACTAGTCATTAACACACAAGAGCTATGCATTATGAGTCTAAAGACACTCAAACCAACCAATGATTTTGCGAGAATTTTGTGCTTTGCACCTTGTGTTTTGACATTTAATATTTATTATTGTTTCAGGCTCGTTGCCACAGGGAAAAGTGTAAGTATTTACATCCCCCAAAGCATATAAAAGCTCAAATGGAGAACAATGGCCGCCTTCTACAACAGCAGCAGCAGCAACAACAGCAGATAGCTATTCAGCAGCAAGCCTTTGCACCACTTGCTCAACAGATGCTGACAAATCCCTCATTTGTAAGACACTTTTTAGCTAAATAAAGTTATTGCACTAAATGCAAACTTAAGTTCTTGAACTGAGGCAAAAAGTTTTGAAAATAGTGTACCATTTTTAAGACACAATGTATAACAAAAAAGTGTTTAGGAATTCTTACAGAATTGTTGAATGAGAGAAAACCAGCCCTTTGTCTAGGAAGGAAAATGAGAAATAACAGTTATTATTTTAATGTGTTCTTTGAAAAGACCATGTAAAAGTCAGTGGAAAAATATGCTATCCAGTTCAGTATTGTAGTATTTTTTCCTTGCAAGTGGTGTGGAAAATTCCTACATCATAGTCTGTTTTCAGGTTTCTGATAATTGTGTCTTGAATTCTTGCTTCATTGTTACCCAAGTGAATGGGGGTAATTTTTAATAAGACATTCAAACCCAATTCCTTTCAGATATCTGCATGGCCATTAAGTGTTCCTGCTTCAAATGGAACATATCTTCAACATCCTGTTGCTTTTCTGCCTGATGCATCAGCCTTGGCTCAGAGTCCTTCCAGACGACTAGACAAGTCTGACAAATTGGAGGTCAGAGACCTTAAGTCTTTTAAATATTGTATATTAGCGTAGGTTAATATATAAAAACAACTATCAAGTGATCTCTTAAGTTGTTGCAAATTGTTTTAATGTAGGAGAAACCATTGATCATCAAGTCTAATATCCTCATTGTGAAGGTTGCCCTGTAAAGGTCTGTTCTGGGCAACAGTGACTGATGTTCTGAAAGCTTAAGGGGAATTAATCAGGAGTAAAGTTTGGAGTTACAGTAGTCAAAGTCTTACAACTAAAACCATTACAGCAAAACTGAGTTTTCTTCAGTTTTTGTGAACAAGACTTCTAACCCTCAACTGACTTTCATCCTCTCACTTCACTTTGATGGCAACTTCTGCTCAGTTGTCAAAACATTAAATACTATCACTAACAACAGACCCTATCAAACCTGCCCAGACTGTATCACATGATCAGACAGCATAATCACATTTTCACATAGAAAAAAAACTGTACTTTATGGTTTACATGGATGTGATAAATTGGACCTTATCTGGCCAAAGACTACCTAAGAACTCCCTGTGATACTAATGTAAAAAAATAAATAAATAAAGAAATAAAATTGAAATACTGAGGGAATTGGAGGGAAAAGAAGATTTAAATGGATTGATAACAAAATGGAAAAGCATAACTTCTCAATCTTTAGAAAGCCACCACTTTTCACTTTCATAGCATGATTTTTTAAATGGAATTGTATCTGCTTTTCAAGGTGTGTCGAGAATATCAGAGAGGGTCATGTTCGAGAGAAGAGTGCAGATATGCACATCCTCCTCCACATGTGTCTATTGATAGTACAGATGGTATGATTACAGTTTGTATGGACTTCATGAAGGGAAGATGTCAAAGGGAAATGTGCCGATACTTTCACCCACCAGCACATCTTCAGGGAAGAGTCAGAGCTGCACAGCAGCAGTCAATACCGGTGAGTAGTGTGTTCTTCATTTTTAACAAAGAAATGAGTGTCAGGTTGGAAGGTAAGAACCTTGCACCTGGTGACTGGTTCCAAGTACTTGTTTTTGACTTGATTGACACATAATTTGATTAAGTTGATCATTGGGCCAAAATCCTGGGTGTTCAGTTTTATCAATCTATCTCACCATCCAAAGATTATCCCAGCCTCTGGGAATGGAACATGGTTACTATTACAACATCACTGATCCCCATGTGCTTGTATGAAACACATTCCTTATAATGCAAAACAAGGCCATGCACCCATGCAAATTAATCTCCTACACAATATCATGTAAGCCAATGATTTAACTTTAGTAACTGGCCCTCATCATCAGATGAAGTGAATTATAAGGAACATTTATTGAGTGCATACCATGTTCCTTACAATCTATTTCAGGACCAAGGGAAGTGTTATCATATTATTTAAAAGCACTTATTTGTGCCTTTTGAAAAATAAATCCCAAAATAATTTGGTGCCTTAAATTGCAACTAGACTTAAAATATTCTTGTTAGTTAAATGTACAGTTTAAAGTATAATTTATTATACTGAATAATTTGTCCAAAGTTATTTACATGGCTGTATAGCACCTGGAAAAATAAGCCTAAGCACAAGTGTCAATTCTACAGCAGAAACCTAGCCTTGCTTAATGCTAATAAAAGCCACTTTAAGTTAAGATAACAATCAAGCAGCTTGCATGCGATTCACATTAAGAGGATGGTGGAGTATGTAGCACCCTGTTTATCTGGTCACTGATTTAAAACTTCATTATTACAAAGAAGTGGTTCTATAGTATGACAGTATGTAGAATAGCTACTTGTATACAGCGCAGAATGCATTACAAGTGCAGTATTTGACTTGCATGCTTGCTGACACAATCACTGAGATGTAGGTTTAGTTATATACATTATAGATTACACAAACTATACTCACCAAGTCAGTGATTAACATCTCACAGCCTAAATCAGCAACCGTAAGGCTAGCCAAGGCAAGGGACCAAGTGTTCTTTTTTCTAATTGTTATTATTCTTAAATGCAAAAGGTAAAAGAGAGCAAAAACATCTTGGACGCATGGAACCACACAACAATATTTTTGAGTCATGTTTTATTATGTGTTCCACTTGAAAAACACAAAGGAGACATTAGGAAAATGCAAAAGGGGCAATGATAGACCAAGAAAGGACAATTAATGCTTAGGTTGCACTAGATTCAAATCAATTTGTGATTATTTGAAAAAGTTTGGCAACAGTTTCCAAGATGTACAAATTGTGACAGCATTTTTAAAGTGTTAGTTCTAATTGCTAGCCTTGGGTTGCTGTGCAGTAACTGTCACCATGCATGCTTGAAGCTTATGAAGTTTAGCAGCAATTTGCATAAATCATGACTTGCACTTTGCTTGTCTCTTTTCATGTGCCGTTGCTGAAATTGCTTACATCATGCTGCTGGCTGGCTGGCATTCCTTTTGTGCTTGCACACCGCCTTCTGCTGACTTAGCTGGAGGGTAGCCGCAAGAGGCCCCATGATACATTGACTGAACTGGTACTTTATAGCCTTTTGCTTTTGTGGGTCTAAATAGCCAGAAAGCTGTAGCTACTAGATTAAGATTTAAGCAACTTGAGTGACATCAATGGAGTTGCAAATTTTTTTTGTCACTGTTAGTTTCCAACCCCTTTTTGCCTGCACCACACCTCAGGCTTTCCCTACTTGGGGAGTACAGTCTGGGGGACTGAAGCAGGCCTTCACTGTGTGCTGAAATTGGATGCAAAGCTATTTGTCTCAATTTCCATATATTGTCTAGTATGAATTAGTATCTTCATGACCCAAACAATGTTTGAAAACAATTTTCTTTTGTTCCTGAACTGGCCCAATCAGATAGACCTCTGCCATAAGTGCTCATAGCTTAAAGGTTGGACCTCTTATTGACTAGAAGGATTTAGGGGTTAATTATAAGTCCTTGGACTGAGCTGTCAATATTCTACCTGGACATTTTGTTACCAATAATGGTCATCATGGTAAGGAAATATGGGTACTAAAAGTCTTTGGAGTGTTCCTGGAAGACACAGTGTCTGTTGTGATGGTCAATACCAGATGGATGTGTTACTCAGTGACCTAATCTCAACCTTTCTTTAGTTAATATGGAAAAACTGCATTCTTGAGACAGACTATGCCCTTTGAAGTGTCTCCTACTGTTCATCCAGGAGTTTATAAGCACTGTCTGACATGAGGTAGCTTTTATGGTCAACTTCATAGGGTGACCTTTGAGGGAGTAACAATATAAATACTGCACTGGGACCATAGGTTTACTCTGGTACATCAGGTCATAGAGAAGCAAGGATAAACAATTCTCTCTGCGAGTCACTTACTGTATGTCAATTACAGGCATTGTCATAAGGCTATTATAATAATGTCTCTGTGCAAAAAAAGTATCTGTTTTAACAGCGTTAAAAAATCCATAACTTTTGGGCTGGGGCATGTTGAAGATCAAAGAACTAACTTTGCAGTGTTTGTTCACAGACTTTTGGAGAACCATTCAAGAAACAAACTGCTCTTGAAGTGCCTCTGGTCATGCCAGGAGCGGCGGCTGCTATTCCATCCTTTAATCAACCTGTAGGACTGCAATTTGCATCTCTTATACCAACAAGTAGGTGAAAATTTTTGTTTTAGGTATTAATTTTAGTTAGGAGGTAGTGTGGCCCTGTGGAAAGAGTGTTCAAGCCCCTCACTCTGCCACTCCCTGGATTTGTTCTCAGTTATGCCAAGTTCAACTCCTTGCTTGCTCCTTGTATGTAACCAACTGGTCTGCCTTCAGTCAATTGTGATTTTTAAACACTATGTTTATTCATTCATTTATTCATTTATTTGTGGTGGCCCTGATTAAGCAGTGGTCCATTAAGTTTTCATACATACAACATACTTACATTCACACATTAATACACCTAGGTTACATACATTCACATATACATGTGGAAAGAGGACAGTGGACAAGAGGAGCCACCCCAAGGAATATCCACTGCTAAATCTCATTTATGTTCTTGTTTTTTAATCATGTTTGTGTTTCCACTTCAAAAAGTGGTTGTCTAAAGCTAAATTGACATGTATTGAAGATGTTATGTGACCATCTTTCAGTGCCGTTACTTACACAAGGAATTCCCTTGGTTCAACCACAAGTACCTCAGGTAAATATGCTATGCAATTCTCTAAACATTATTCTATAGTGATTATTTATAGAGCTCTATGAGAACAAAATGCTGACAGAAAAAAAACTGATTGAAAAATGTGCAGTTTGTACACCTGTGATTTAAATGAAAGGGGGCATTTGAAATCAGCCAGAGAAGGAATTTCCCCCTAAAATTCCTTTACTAATTTGGTGGCAATATGGTTGTATGTTTGCATGACAATCTCTATATACTCTAATGGTGTAGATGCAGTTTTAAAGTTACCAAGGTTTGGGCCAGTTGGCTCATGAGACTTGAACAGTTTCTTTAGAAACTACTCGAACTTCCTTGTTTGCCAGGACTCTAGGGCTAGCGAGTCATGCTAACACTGGTGTTTCGTTTCATGTTCCTTGTTCAATAGTGGCAACAACAGGTACAGCCACAGGTCTTAGGCTATATGCCTGTGGAGTCAGCCGCGACACCACCACCTCCTCTAGCTCCTCCTCCTACTCCTCAAACATCCTACCAAATCATAGACCCTCAGCCTGTCCAGTCAATGGACGTCCAGTACTGGAACAACTACACGTTAGCTTCCGCTCCCACCACACCCACCTTTGTTATGTCGCCCCATGCTATGTGATCCAGGGGCGATTCTTTTTATATGTGCTAGGGGTGTGTGTGTGTGTGATTGATTGTTCCGGGAGAGGGCAAGAATGGAGGGATAGAACAGGAATTTAAGGAATGAGAGATTGAGACATAAGAGGTTGTAAGCTGTGGCTTTGTTCAAAGCAAGAAACAAAGCTGGCTGCCATCTCGGAGATTTGCATGTCCAAGATGCAAGGCAATATTGAAGGACCATTCCATTCAGTCTTCAAGAAGACAAACTTTATTCAGAGGAGGAGATCAAGATTACTATTACGTTCTTTTCTAAAAAAAAATGGCCACTGGAGGAAAAAATTGGAATGAAACTTCAGAACTGTCACAGTACTATTATTGATTGATTAATATATGACAACAGTGTGTGTTATCATCAGCTACAATTGTATCTCAAAATTGTTTAGGTCTTGGACCAGAAACAGAGATAAAAAATTGAATATAGCAAGCAATGTTCTACTTAGGTTTTCTTAATTCTAGTTTAAAAACAGTGACAGAAAGTTAGTTATGACCACTTAGTTATCAGTTGCATGTGAAAAACTAGCATGAAAAGAAAGAGGAAATATTTTATAAAATTAAGATTGAGTTGCAGCTTCCCAAAGCTCTGTTAGTGTTTTGTGCCTGGTTTGAGAGAAGAATAGATTGTTGCTTAACACTTACAGTGCTTTTGGTCCCTGCGGAGAGTAAAACTTTTATTCTTTATTTGTTACAAGAGAGAAAATGTTATCTGTTACATTCATTGATTTATTTTGTACATTCTAGAGAAGTCAACCGGGGTTTTACTCATTCACATATTTGTATGTGTAATAATTTTATTTGGGATTGTTATTTACTACCTACTCTTACTATTTAAGTTGAGAAATTGTTTTGTACGTACTTAAGAAAGATAGACTATATAAATGTATTTTGTAAAATACCAGCTCCTGGAATGCAGCAGATCTAGATGAAGAATGACGATATTTGTACTTAAAACTACCTTAATTCACGTGAGAAGTCACATTTTTTTGACTGACAGAATAAACTTTAAGTACGTAAAGATATTATTGAGCAATACAAAGTAAATCCATGTAGCTGATGACTCTAAGAGAGATGAAGATTTACTACCATCTGAAATTTTGTGATGAACGAGAGAATATAAACTTTAACAGGAATTAAGACAGCATTTCTATGAACCATTTTATTAACTTATGTTGCAATGGATGTGAAACAGATATTGATTTGATTTTTGTGAAATGAATGAACTGGTGGCTGAGCCATTGTGATAAAGATGAATTTAGATTATTAGAGTTGTTTTATCAAATAGAATTTTTCATAATGGAAAGTTTATTGCAAGACGAGTGAGAGAAAAGACAACATCAAATGTTTAAACTCAAACATTTTGAACTGTTTTGGTCAGATTCTCATGTGAAAGTCTTGCAGCAAAAGTTTCATTTTCATAGATCAAAATTACTTTTTGTAGGAAAATTGTTATTTATGTGTTTATATGTGATTGTAGAGTTGAACTGAATCATATGTTGAATTAAAGTTTGTCTATGTTGTCTGTTGGTGTTAATTATGTGTAAATATCATGCTTAAATGTCCATTTTACTATGAGATTTGTGTCCCTGGCAAGTGCAACATTCTACTCATGTTTGAAAAAGTTATCTTACATTGTAAGCAAATTGGACTTTGATTCCATTTTTAGGACATTGAATTTGGCAATAAGTGTTTCTGCTGACCTTCCCTTGTTAACATTTTACAAATGTGCAATGGAAAAAGGAAGAAAATTAAATTTACATTGTAGGCATGATAAGTATGTTGCACTCCTTATGATATTATTTAATGTGTTCAATTAATTCTAGAGGTGATGTGTCTCCTAACCTTCCTGTTGCAGGAATTAGGTAACCCCTGTTAAGGCTGCAGCATGCAAGCTTGTTGCAAAATTCCTGCCGCTTCCTTGCCCTGGCTGGTTTTCCCTAATGCTTGCCAAACTTCTCTCTCTAAGCACTTCAGCAGCCGTGTTGTGTTTTCCAATTGACTTACCCATCCACTTTTCATCAGTTATGAATTTGTGTTAGTTAAGAAGTATATCTTTTATATAACTTAACACATTTTTTTTCTTTTTCACTACTGGCACATTTTTACTCCTGACTAACTGACACCTATCAATCAATCAATCAATCTGAGACCCTTTCTTTTTCCCTTGACAGCACTCCAATGGGTTGCCAGTTTGTCGGGACTATAACTCTGGCCAGTGTCACAGAGAAGCCTGCCGCTATGCCCACGTTAAAGACAGTGAGCTCTCTTTCTTGTGTTAACGCTTAGCTGGTTAGCCCTTTCAGCCCTAGTAATAATATTCAAATTCTCAATGGTAAAGAAAGAGAGAAATTAAGAATGTCTTTTTTTCACTTTGGTATTTATTTAAACTAAGTTTTGTCAAATTCCCTCAACCAAGACATGAGAATGAAATATTGAGCTGTGTGCAGAAGGGGCTAAACTGTGCTTAAGAATTCTTGCCTGGCAGGCTCCCACACTATGCTAAATGGCTGGCCTGTGCTTTTCAGAAAAAAAAAAGGATAGATTAATTTAGTACCTTTATGTCACTTTTTCTGGTGAGGCAGCTGCATTGAGGGAATGTTTGGTGAGCTAGCTGGTCTCTAGACTGAAAATTCAAGTCACAACACTGAACTTTTAGTGTGCCTCCCTCCAGTAAGACAGGGTTTTCAATTAAAGCTGGTTACTGGCAGTCTGCTGCTGTCTATAAGACTACATACCACCGTCTGTTTGGTATGCAAGTGGGCTCTCATGTTTGGGGTTTCACCTAGTGTGTTCAGTGGGAAAACATGATGGACCAATGAATAGTACCTTTGGTTTTCTATTGACCCCTTACACCCTAACATCAGAAGGCATATTCTCCATACTGCTCTCCATACATTTTTAAAGGTGATGACAGAGAGAATTTGCTTAACAATCAAGAGCCTTCCTAGTTGGTGATCATTTCCTTTATTCTTGAGACCTTAATGTGTGATTCAAGGGTGAGATTGTAAGGAGAAACTAGATGCTAGTCACTCTCAGGTGTCAAAGGGTTGATATTCTTGGGGTTTTAGCTCTGGTTGGGCTTAACATGTTGTGTTGTGACTCTCTTGTCTCTAATGAGGAGTTTAACTCAACTTGTCAAATGTCAGTCCCCCCGGGGTTTAAATTAATTATTTTACAAATTCCTTTCCCCCATCTTGGCAAAAAAATTACATATTAAAAATACATGCAACTACATCCTTGAACAGATATCAGCTCACTTTTTTCCTTTAAAATCAAGATGAAGTAAATTCCCTTTTTCATTGTAGTATGTGTCCAAAGTTACTTTCATCCATGAGATCTAATAAGCTTTAACCCTTTAACTCCCCTAAGTGACCAAGACAGAATTTCTCCTTACAATATCAATACAATATCAACCAGATAAGTGATGAGAATAAAGACAAATGTCAATTCAGGGATGATTATTTGATCCAATACTAAATTCTCTGAACTAACATTATAAGAATTGTATGGTTGACAGTAAGGAGAATTACAAATTTGATGTGGGAGTTAAAGGGTTATGGGAGGAGGCAGGAGACTAACTATTCTCTACTGTTGTGAGATTCAAAAATGACCCAGTAACGGATGGCATTCTTTGTGTTACAGGTAACCTAATTTTTTTCTCAATGGTCTGTGACCCAGGTTCACAAAATGAAGTCATAGGGACTGGGGAAGTGATTTTGATTCATCATCATCATCTTTTCATTCATTTGATTTTAAGAACCAAAAAAAAAAAAAAAGACTTCCCTAAAGCCCCAAGCTCAAATGGAAGAAAGAGTACACTTTCTTTCCATGTTGTGAGGAACCATTTGCCAATGTAAAAATGATGAAATTGTATGCCACTGATTGTTGTTTTCCAAATTCCCTGCTTTACCTCATCTCTCAAAATCTTGACCATCTTGGAATTTCCAGTACCTTTCCTTTTGTTCACTCTGTTACCATGCCTTATGATAATAGGCCTGCATTTGAGCTAAGTTGCTTCACCAACATAGTTTATATGCTTTCTATAGCATCAACCAATTAGGTGTGCTACTTCCCCCACTCTCCCTCCCTTCTAGAACCTCTCCCTCTCCTTCTAGAGTTTTTTTGGTTTCCCCGACTTTAGTATACCCGTTGAAGGTCACGTGAAGATGATCAATCCTTTGACACCAAAAGTGACTATAGTATCCAATTTCTCCTTACAATATCACCCCTGAATCACACATCAAGGTCATAAGGGAATGATCACTTACAATAGAAGCTCTTGATTGTTAAACAAATTCTTCATGTCAGCACTTTAGAAAATGTTTGGAGATTAGTTACTGATGTTAGGGTGTGAAGGGTTAAGACTCAGTCTTTAGGGGTCTGGGTCAGCTTTGACCCAGACCCCTAATCCATAACTGTGGGTTAACCATGATCACTAACTAAGGTATTCCATCTGGCTTTTGTAAATTGATAATTTAAGTAGTGTCAGGGTTTAGACATCTGCCAGTATTGTTCTTGGCAAAGGGTCTTTTCCTACACAAAATAACAATAAAAAGCATCAAAATATATTTTTGCCATCATGCCATAATTTATGTTAAATATATAACCATGTTAAAACAATTGGAAACTTGCACTAAAACTGATAACTTATGTCAGTGTTTGGTTTCATGAAGAGACTCCCATATTTAATATGTTGGCATGTGATTGCAAATATAAACAAGGAGTGAAGTAAATTGGGATTATGAAAACATTGGATTTCCAGTTATTTGTACCACAGTTGACATCCTTCCTTCTAACTTCTATTTTTTTGTGTCCTTGACAGAAAATGTAGAAGTTGTGGATGGCAAGGTGACTGTGTGCCGTGATGCAGTGAAAGGAAAATGTTCAAGACCCAACTGCAAATATTACCACCCAGAGGTTGGTTCCTCAGGCACTGCCTCATCAACAAAGTCATTGAGATAGGGCCAGCTTGATAAGTACCTCCAGTCCAAGGATGTTAGGATGGAGGTGAAAGTTGGATGAGAGCTATTTTATTTTTGGTAACAGAAGAATGTCTCTATGGTTATTACCAAAAATTCTGAAATTCAGGGGGGGTCTCCCCATAAGTAAACTTTTGATTCACTTTTACGCGCCATTGCTAAGCATGCATTGCACAAAATTTCATGTCTTAGATTCCAGGTTTGCATAGAATGCTGTGCCTGTAAAAATGCAAGAGTAACGACTTAAGTGCTTAACAAAACATGATAATGCTGAAAGCATACACTATAAGGCCAAAAATAGTAGAGGGAGGGGAAAAATTGCATAATATAATGGTTGCTAGAGCTAGCAGTGTTTGGCACTTTGGGTGTTAGAGATGTTTGTCTCTTGCAAAGCAGTCAGAGTGACCTTGCAGTGTGAGCATGCAGCCTTCAAGCTACTGCAAAGAGTGATCATGGTAAAATGATTTCATGCCTTATGAAGGAAGGAAAAAAAACCTCTGTTTTCTGGGAAACCTGAGTAGTAGGGGTTACCTGTGCAGGTGGGTGAACAGCACAGCTAGGTTACTGTGGTGGAGCTGGGAACCTTAGCAGGTTACCTTAGCAGCCAGAGCCACCTGTGCCACTGGGATCCCAATAATGGAAAGATATCAATGTAATAGTCCATTTTACAGTTGTGTACTTGGTTGCCAAGCCTTGCAACAGGAGTGTGGCTGAGGGTGACCTTGTTATGATACAAACGTTACTGCTTTTCAAATCTAAATTACCTTGTTATCAGGCAAACTACACACTGGTCTCTATCACAGCAAGGTAAACTTCAGCCTCACTCCAAATCAAAGGCTTGGTAACTAAGAACACAACTGTAAAACGACCTACTGTGAATTACTTGACTGTGCAGTTTGTTGTTAACTAATGGGCAAATAGGCCAAATAATGGCTACGTTTATGATCAGCAACTTGTCACTTTGAATATGACATTGAAACTTGAAGAGAATTAGTTTTGCTTTAAAGCTTACAACAAAACTGGCAATATGGTTAAGGATGACAGGTTGTTAGTAACTTTGTTCCTTGCCCAAATGCTCACGATAATGCACTATAAGCTAGTAAATGCAATTGCCTCTGTGGTTATTTGTGTTTTTGCTTGCATGCAGATATTTCCTATTTCCTTTTCTGCTTGAATTTGTAAAGGAAATAGGAAATATTCGGAAAAGGAAATATTCGGAAATAGGAAATATTCGGGTGTTGGCTATTAATGTGTGCTTGGTATTCATTTTTGTATTTACTCTTCAAGAAAGACCTTCAGAACTCAAGAAAACTGACAATCCCCACAATTTCACATTGTATCATAAAAAGCTCATTCTGTGAGTATGAAGATCTAGCAAAGTCATAAAATTCACAAGCCCAACTTTTGTAATCATTTTCATGATCAGAAGGCATAGAAATTTATCATTCTTACATTTACCAACTCTGATATTTTTCTGACCTTGATTTTTTATTCCATCAGTGCAAACTTAATGATGACAGTTAGCATTTTTATTCATGCTATTTGCATGTAATGCAAATTGCACAAATTAGATCAAATCGCACTTTCGTGTATTTTTTTTTTGAAATGATAAAATTTTCATTGTAGAATTATCGTTGTTTTATGATCATACACAATTGTATTTAAGTGCCATAATGGACAAAAAACACTCCAATGAAAGAATATAGAATGAAAGAAACTATCAGACGAGTTTAAAGAGTACTTTTTTACTATGGAAAGAGGAACAGAAACTGGTTTTCTGATTTTTTTAAAAAACAAATGTTATCTTCTGAATGGAAAGGTCTATAAATACAAACAAAAGAGAGTTTTCCAGGAAGCTGCTTTAGAACTGAAAAGTTGGTATCAATATATCATGATTCCACTCACGGCTATTTGATAAAAAGTTGTCCTTGAAAGAACTTGACATTATTACAGAACTGATTGCACTGGACAAGGTTAGATTAAAATTACATTATAGAGAGTTCTTTTGTAAAATAATCTAAGTAGTTTTAAGTTATCTTTCACCAAGTGAAATTGGAAAGTTTATTCACATGTGTGTCAACCCTGAAAATTCTCTAAATTCAACTTGGAGAATAATTCCTTTTGGCACAATTTAAGCCAAACAAGGTATACTTTTCGCTCCATTTTGAGCCTTGGATTCATCTTTACCAAACTAGAACCAGGAAGCAATGTTTTCTGTGAATGTGATCAACTCTTTTCAACACCAGGGTGTACAATCATTACATTATTTTCAGTAAGACTCCTTGTTCATTGTTCATATTCCTGGTAAAGTTTGTACCATAGAAGTGACTTCAGCCCAGCTGTTTTTTTTTCTGTTGTTTATTTCTGTCTTCTGCATAATGATTACTTGTAAGCATGTATGAAAGCCACTAAGTGAGAAATAAGCATCTTCAGCTTAATCCATCAACCCCAAAAGTCTGGCAAATATTTCATCCTTCTTGCTGCCACACATTTTGTTGTAAATTTTTATGACAACTTGGTTCTATATACTAGTAAACAGTAGCACCCTTGAGCTGATAAGTTTGTCAATTCTTGCAACCTGTCTGCTGGATATTGTCCAAAGATGGTGTTTGGAGAAGTTTCATGTTAAATGCTTCTTCAGTTGTATGCATGTTACTCAGTGACACAAATCTGATCAACAAATTGCTTCTCCTGGCAGAATCAAACAAAGAGATAATGAGAATTTAGATTTAAATCAACCAAAGGATATTTGCTCGACATCAGAACTTAATAACAAAGTTCAGAAATGTATGACTTTTAAGAGGGAAAATTTGACCAGCATTCAGATCAATTATAGTGAAAAGGTTCATGTTTGAACTCCCAGGAGTGATCTTCATGTAACATCTCCCCATGATGTCTTATCTCAGTGATGAGAATACAAACATATTCAAACTTCTCAGGTAGAAGTTGTTATTTTGATCTAAAACCAAATTCTTTCAACTATTTACAAGGAAATGTGTAGCAGCTAGAGGGGAGAATTCAGATCTTGGGAGTTGAAGGGTTCAGTGGCAGAACCTTTTGAATTTGAAAGGGTGATATAATTGCAAATATTATCCTAAAGGCTAGGAAAACATTAAAGAAGAGGGGAAGGTGAAGAGAATTTATTTTTGTATCCATGTGCTAATATAGAGTATAGCAGCAAAGCTTCTAAGCATGCAGTGTCCGATATTGCTGGCAATAGTTTAATGCTTTAATTAATCCTTTTTAATGTTAAATATTATTAAACTATTACTGTATCATTATAATCATTATTGTAAAGTGTATTCATGATATAAAGAGTCCCAAAGGTGTAAAGTACAGTGCATGCCAAAAATTTAAGAAGATTAAAGTAACATATTAATATTTTATGATATTTATTTAAAGTTCAAATTTTGTTCCACAATTTGATAATTTTATTGGTGTAGAGTTGGTAAGGAAATATGATTTGGGCACTATGAATATATCAGGTAAGGTTAACATGGTCCCACTTTAAAGGTTAAAAGAAAAAAATTTAAGATTAGAAGATGTTAAAATATTTTAGAGAGTTTTAGAAAAGATGATTTCCGTATTATAATCTCATGGTTGAGGAGCAACTGGCTTGCAGGGAATATGACACACATCAAACTCTCTTCTTTATCAGGGGCTGGCTATTTCATTTTCCAATTGTTGTAATCTCTGTAGATTCCCTCTGCCATCAGAAACCTAAATTTCCATTTGTTATTTGTCAGCCTTCATAGAATCTCCTGTCCCATATGTGCGTGATCCATGTCAGTAGAAAAAGCGCAAGGGTATTGCCTTTTTTTCTTTGAAAAGTTATCCCACCAATTTGTCTTCTTTGCAAGCATAGTTTAAATCAACCTGGGAAGATCAGTAATGGTATATTAAAAGATTAAGCACTATTGGGTCTTAATTGATAATTATCAGATCAAGAGCAGGTTGTTTGGCTGTGCAATAACGGTTTATTTACAAGGGGTGCAAATGGTAACTTCTGAGGCTTGTGAGATGCTGTGACCCCTGTTTTAAACATGTGAAACACAGACAAGACAATTTTGGCTGAAAAACTTCTTTTATTGAGTAAAAAGTTCAAGAGACCTACATTTTTTTAAGGTACCATTTGCTACCCCTTGTGAATTTGCTGGTTTATACCTAAGAGAACCTGCTTATGAGCAAAGGATTGGGGTGCTCTTTAATCTCAGCCCTTCAAGATAGAAAATTCTATTAAAGTGAATGATTACTGTTGAGCTTTAGTCACAAGTTTGTAAAATTATGGTTAATTATTATTTCTTTTAAAAGGCAGCACCGGATTTTACAGGCTTCATTTCATCCTTATTTATATTTTAAGGTAATTATACATGCCCTGGAGGCTGTATACCACTCATGTTGTGTTTCTTGGGACAAATAAAATCTTTTTCATCATCTTGAGATCTTGTCTGTGTCAACAAATGTACTGCATTGTGTAATGAACTGTAATACTTATGCTACTGACATCACTTCCTCGTGCTATGGAAACTGAGCTCAAGCTAGATAGGCCACTTGGCTTGGTGATTCAGAGTCTTCTTGATTCAGAGTCCTGAATGTAAATGACAGTAGTCTCCCTAGCATCCAACACAGAAGTTCTTTTGTTCTTTTGGGGTTTGTCACACAATCATTCCTGCCCATGTGAAGAGGAATGACTGTGATAATTCTCAACATCTCTAAAGGAGACTAGGTCTCGGAAGCACATAACCCTGCAAAAATTTTCCTTTCACTTTCCACACTATTTCCCCAGAAAAATTATATATATTTTTGCGTTGCCACTTTAACTGTTAAGCCTTGTGGATTTTATTATGATTTTATGGTATAAAAATTAGGCTAGTATGGAAAAATCAACCAAAAAAAACTATTTTGACAATGATGTGTGGCTTGACTAGAAGTATTTTATTGCTCAACCTTTGAACAGTTTGTATCAGTGTGTGTGAAAAATTGTATGCATGTACTGTGACTACCAGTAGTTATTTTTAAACTTTTCCTTTTCTGCACCATCTACATAAAAAGATAGCCAATGAAAATGCCATTTTTCTTTTACAACCAGTTATTTATTTGACGACTCATACAATACCTGCAAAGTTGCAGTTCTCTGACTTCATATTATGACATCATTGTAAGGTAATTTGTTGCAAAAACCTCTAATTAAAGATTAAAACACTTTCTGAACTATCTCCAACATACTTGGTTCAGTGATTTCTACATTTATAAAACGTAACAGATAAGTACTTAAAACTTTAAAATATCACTAGCCTTGCTTTGGGCTTGTGATTTCAATGCACTCACAAAAACCTAGTTCACATACACAATAGAAACCAATCTGAGGGCAGCAATGAAAATGTAGATTGCAGCCTTTGCTGATCCTGCTTATCATTGCCTGGTACAAAGGACATGTGAAAATTGTTGAACAGGGATATTTGTGTGGCAACAATGCCTGTTAACTGAAAAGTTCAAACAGTTGGTTTTACATTTTTTGTGTGGTTAACCCTTATGCTTAACACCATAACATCAGTATGCAGAAGAGTCAACACTGTTCCTCATACATTTCTCATGATGCCAATAAGAATTTGTTTAACAGTCAAGAGATTTATTAAACCTTTCACCCCCAGAAGTGGTTAACATGAAACTTCTACCTATAATATCCATACATTTTTCAGCAGACAGGTAATGAGAATATTCAAACTTATTAGGTAGAAGCTGCTATCTTGACCTAGCACCAAGTTCTCATAACTAATTTACAAAGAAATGGGTAACAGCTAGAGGGGAGAATAAACAATCATTTCTTTTTTCTTAACCTGTCAGTAACCTGTTGGTTAGCTGTCAGTAGACTGTCAGTAACCTGTTGGTCAACTGTCGGCTGACAGTTGACCGACAGTCAGCTGACAGGTTTTTTGGGGAGCTCTTCTTCACAATTACCCTTATCTTAGGAGTTAAAGGATAAACTGGCAATCATTTCCTTAACTCTCATGAACTTAGTGTTTGATTCAGCAAGGATACAATAAGGCTAAACAAGATAGGTACCAAGCAAATCTACTGGCTGAACTGTTTAGAGCTGCAGGAGTACAAAAGGAAATAATTTACCCTTCAACTCCCACGATCTCACTAGTAATTCTCCTTACTGTCTGTCATATAGTTCTTGTGATGTTAGTTTGGAGAATTTGATATTGGATCAATTAATAATCCCCTAATTCATATTTTCCTTTAATCTCATTACTTGTCTGCTTGATATTGTATTGATATTGTAAGGAGAAATTCTGTCTTGGTCACTCATAGGAGTTAAAGGGTTAACAATAGTGCATGCTGCACTCATTCAATTACTAAATAATGAATAAATTAAAAGTACATCTGTGTAACAGAGTATCAACAGTAAATTTGTATAAACAAAACACAAAAGGTGTGAATCATGGCACATCAAGATTGAAAAAAGTGCTTGAGACGGTCCTAGTAAGTTGGGCAGTGCAGGTTTTTATAGATTCATGGTAAAAAATGTCTCCTAATTTGCCTCATGTTTACAACATCAATTAAAAGTCAATCCCATCCCTTAATCACATTTAATTGGCATTAACTACCCTATGAGATACCTAAAGATAAATTTTCTAAACTATTTTTTGCATTTATCGTTGGTAGCTCTGGTAGTTTATAAGCTAGTTTATAAGTCTAAGACTTTATTTCTTGAGTTATTAGTTCATGACCTTCTTATAAGTGATGTGCAGATGTTTTTGGTGTTTTGTGTTGCTTGTTTCCATGAAACACTCCATTTCCAGCGTATCTGGATCCTTTAGTCTGAAGATCCTCTCCACCTGAAACATTAAAATAATTAAATATAGTTAATTTAATTTGACATGACAATGACAATCATTCGGAGCCCAGCTGTTCAAAGGCAGATTAGCACTAACCCAAGGTTAAATTTTATTCTAGGTTTCTTTATTCCTTTGTTCAAAAGCTCTTGTTAGATGATTTTTTTTATTCCTTTTAGTGCATCCAAACATCAAATTGTAGACAATAAAAGAAAAAAGAGTTTACTGAATTATTTTTTAAAGCTTTCAGATCTGAAATTGGATTTCACACTGACCCTGAGTTATCTTAACCCCACTAAAAACAGCCAGGCCCTGAATTCTAAAATCTTTCAGACCATAAAACAAATCATTGGGCAATTACTGTAACTATAATGGTGCATGTTTGAAGTAGATGGAGGTGTTGGTTATATTTTTATGTTCATTTTTTAACAGGTCCATACTTCCATACTTTCTTGTTTCCTCATTGAAAGTGGTTTTTATTGTTAATCAACCAGTTGATCACTTGTCATGATTGCAATAGTTCAGCCTCTTGGAAAAAACCATAATTTTACCTGTAAATGTCTGTACTGACTCAAAAATAAATTCACTGACCCCTTTTTTCAAACAGCAGATCAAAATTAATTCTGTTTGCAAATTTCTAAACCAAACTGTTTTGTGAGGATTAATTTAAGCTTGATGAAATGCACTTTTTAAAGCAACAAACGTGAAATTATGGTATTGTTTTAACTCACTACATGATGTTTTATTGAAAAATAACAAAACAGTTTTTAGCTTCCTGAGAAAAAAAATTAGCCCTTAAGTTATCACCAACAATAAGTTTTAGACCTTTTAACTTGATTTACCTTTTGGACTTTTGGGTCAGCACCAAAACTCGCTCTTCCAACTGAGTGAGAGACAAGATGAATCTCATGTCCCTTAACTTCACCCTCCTCAACTTCAGTAAGACCTGTGAATGAAAAATTAGTTGCAGCATAGACAAATGAATGAAGGGAATAAGATTCTAAAGAAACTGTGGTGCTACATTGGTGGGAGAGTATAACAAGGTAATTTAGTATTATCAACTGAGTTGGTAAAGCAAATTGGCCACCATTAAGAGTTTCGAAACTAATGTTTTGATCGTTACTATAGCCCTTTGTCAGAGTGAATGGCATAGGGCTAATGGCCAATGGCCAATTTATGTTACCAACTCAGTTGATAATGAAGAAATGTAAAATGGTTTCCGTGTTTACATAGCCTGATGTAAACACGGGAGGTTAACCATGACGCGAAGCGGAGTGGTTTCCAGCTTATCAAGTGTTCTCCCAACCTCCCACACAGAAACCATTTTACATTTCTTTTATTAAGTAACTAATGAAAGAGGAATGAAAACGGTGTTTACATACACTCATGTAAAATGATTTTATGGCCAATCAGAGCGTGCGTACTATTTGAATTATTTTATAATACTAAATTACCCTGCAGCATACACAGTCTTACTTGCAGTATCTTTAACCCCATCTTGTCTCTGTGGTTTAAACCCTTTATGCCTTACATTACATATCCTTATATACTCAGTAGCCCACTATACATTTCCAGTGGTACTGACATGGATCACTTTTTAACAATCAAGAGGTTTCTTATGTTGGTGATCATTTTCTTCATTCTCATGACCTCAATGTTTGATTTAGGGGAGATTCTGAAAGGAGACAGTGGATGCTGGTCACTCTTAGAGGTTAAATTGAGTGTTGATGAAAATCTACTTTGATGTTAGTTATGAGAATTGGGTTTTGTATCAATGATAAGGCAGTTAGAACAGTGGATGACAATGGGTTGGGTTAACTTTCATCTTCTACCTAATTTTCCCCCTTCACCCTCACAGGTTTGTTCATTGTGGTTGTAACCAGTTTTACAAATCAAACATGGCCCTTTTACTACTTGATGGGATTGTTGAGCACTATACAAGCTTAATATGACATGTCTACCTGTATTCTGTGCTATAATGAAAGCAAGTGATGATGTTTCCGGTTTGACTTTAAGAAATCCAACTTCATGGTGCATTGGAGCTCCTTTTTCCAGATGCCACGTTCTGGAGCTTAAAGAGTGTATGGAAAAAGGCACAGAGTGAATCTTGATCTACTATTAAATTTGCTTAATTTTTTTTCAAAATAATGAAATACTCCAAATGATTTGTAAATACAATGTAATTGTTCATCAGGAGTCTGAGGCATTCTTCTCCAGCACTTAGTTTTATTATTTTGGACATTGTATTGAAAGATCATAGCATGATTTGTATGATCAATTGCCATGAGAACAAGTGATTCCCTAGATCTAGAGGTTGTTAAATGGGTCTGCAGGAAAAGTCCCTATCTCTATAAGGTATGACCTGCAAACATTCCTATGCTTCTGTAAAAGGTAAACGATAGTGTCCATTAATGCATGACATTGGTTAACAAGCCACAAATGAAATATGTCATTAGAGCCAAGAAAAATTGGAAAAAAAAATTTAAAAATAATGATAGGGCTAGACAATTAATTTCAGTTTAATTCTGTCAGTAACATGAGTTATTAACAAAAAAAAATAAAACTGGAATTTTCAAATTGGAAATAACGGAAATTAACATGAGATGGTGCTTTATTCCACCTTGTCTCACTTGCTCATCTTCATTGAGAATGGGGCAGCCAGTGCACACTCTCAACAGTGGTGGAGAGAGAATAGGGAAGGATAGGTGGATGAAACCTGTCATGAGAGGCTGCAGGTAAATAGAGAGGGTATGAGACCAGATGAATTGCACAAATGGTGTCACTACTGCCACAACACTTAAATTCCACCACATGCAATTGAAAATAATGGTGAATGCAAATTAGATTCTCTATACATCCGCTCTTGTAAGACTCCAGAGAACTTAAGCCTCCTCTCACAATGGGTGATGCATTTGAAAAGCAGAAACTCATTTTTCCAAAATTAAAGCATGCGCATCATATGAAATGTACAGTACACTCTGTACATATGCTAGATCTGTTGTTCTAAAGTAGTTTCGCTGTAAAATGCGTATTTTAAAAATTGTTGGCCATAATTTTCTTACCTGTAAGAGAGCATCGGCTGTCCCACGTGATCAAAGATGATCTCTTCACCGTACATGAAAGGAGAAATTGTTGGATAAACACCACAGCCTTCACCTTCCCACTTTCCAATAAGCCAGGAAACCTTGCTCAATGCACCGTGCAGGGCTGGCTAGAAAAATTTCGCCACATTAGTCAAACTAATGAATGTCGCCCATTACAGGTACTGGCCTCTAAACCAAACATGCATATTTCGTCTGACCAACATTTTGTTTTCATCTTTTTACCGAGTTTATTGATAACAATTTCAATAAAACACTGATAAAAAAAAATAAATATGGGTTATCCACATTATGAAAATAAATAATTGATCGCTAAGAAACGGTTTAGAAATTTCTTTTATGGAAAGACATAAACAATCGCAGCTACCTGTCTTTCAGCCAAAAAATTGAGTTTCCACGATTTCCTAATTTGCAGCAACTCAGTTTGACACGAAAATACGAAGCAAACGACATCTGCAAATGTGAAACTCACCTTTTCTATATTATCTGAACTCATCGTTCTTCCGGACAATAATTTGAAGACAGGGAAAGTACGACCAACACAAGTGCGTAGGAAGCTTTTGCAAACCTTATGTAGCATCCCTCATCACCTTTCGTCAGCGCGCGAATGCCTTTATTTCCCCACTGGTGCGAGTAAGCTGTTTTAGAAATTCTTCTTAGTTGTTGCCTCTATCTCTTCTTGGATTCAATCGAAATATGATAAATAAATATGTTTCACTTAATATTCCAGACACAGAGACAAAGCCAATCGCATCGTCAAACACCGTCCATTTCAGTTCTTCAAAAAAAAAAAAACAAACAACAGCTCTAAGAAGAGCAAAAACTGACTGACCTTACCCCTCTGAGAAATGATCTCTCTTTGAAAACCGCATAGACACTTGGGAATGATGCGCCGTTGGAGGTAAATTCAAACGAATGTTTGTGTTCGAATTTGGGCACATTTCATGCACGATTATTTATTTTGCGTATGAACTGCTCTTCTAGTCGCCGAAATTGGTACTTCGTCCCAAATGTGAACTAATTATGCCTGTGGTAACGAGATCATGCAGAAAACAAAAGGGAAGACCGAGGATCGAAGACGCAACGCCAGCGACCTCTTGTATCGATCGTCGAAGGTATCCGACACGTTCTTCTGTGAAACGAAAGATACCTGTAACTCAACAAGACAAGGAGAAAAATGATTTAGAACCACCCTCTAAGGTAAGAGATAGTGGCTTTTAAGTTATTCTCTATGTCTAAATGAAAAGATCATCTGTAAGATGTGTAGTCTAGACCTGTTCAATAGTTTTAACGGCCTACAGTTGAGAACTTAAAATACTTTTTTTATAGCAAAAGGAAATTGATTAAATCAATTACTGTCAAAAAAAAATTCTTAAAAAACATGTCATGTACTTACTAGGAATGCATATTTTTGAGATGCATTTTGTCGGCAGTATAATTTAACATAACCACTGCGATCTTTGACAACCTGCGACTGATGTATGTTGACGAAAGTAAATTTTCAGCGCATAATTATATTATATCAATTACTGAAAAAAATTTTCAAGGAAAAAATTTACAATGATAATAAGATCAGAAGTTGTCTTTGGAATATGAATTCACCATAGCTACTATACGAAGCTAAATTAACTATATTTGAGATAATGGCAGCATGCGAGTCAAAATTTCTCTCTAAATTTAAAACTTCGTTTGAATTTTAATTGTAACAGAAGGCCCCAAGCAACAGATCTTCCAGAAATGTTTCTAAAACTTCCAAGAAGTTACCATTTCAAGATATCAGTAACACTTTAGACCAAGATCAAGGTGGTGGTAGTAAGTCACATGCACGCAAAGTTTCAAGATGTGTGAGTCACAATAATAACAAAAAAACAGCCAAGTCACAACCTAACAGAGAAGTTGTCAACAGCGAAAACCATGCAGGAAAAGGAAGTCCCTCTTTAGAGAAAAACGATGGTGTTCCTGATGACAATATTGTGGACCCCAAAACACCTGCTGGTTGCATCGCTGCAAGAATCAAGAGTTACAGTGCCTTTCGTCGCAGTCAGAAGAAGAACCAAGTCAGAAGTGATGTGGATAAAGAGAATGCAAGTTGCTCTCCAGTTGACCCAGCAGCAGTTACATCTCTCCCAGAAGAAGTCAGTCCTAGTTCTATAACAATGGGTGAGGAAAATGAATCGGAATTTAATTCTGATCCTGAGCGTGATGAAGATATTCTCTGGAGAATAAGCAGGAGTTGTAATGTTCAGAAAGAGGATTCCACACCAGATAGTAAGGTCAGCAAAAAATATTTAATGATAATCAAATAATGATAATAATAAAGATACTTAAATGATTTAACAGTGGACAATCCAGGAGGTGGCTCTTCCTGTCCACTGTTTCCCAGTTGAATTGGAATTTGGAATGTTGCTTTTTGTGGAGGGGGAAAAACTGGAGGACTCAGAGAAAAACCCTTGGAGCAGGGATGAGAACCAACAACAAACTCAGCCCATATGTGATGCCAGGTCTGGGAATCGAACAAGCATCAGGGCCTCTCAACAAATCATGCACTTGGTAGAGGTTAAGATGAATTATACAAAATACATGTTATACTTCTATCAGATTTTTTTGGAATGTGAAATTGTTTCTAAGGCTAAATATTGTTGTGGGATGGGGAAAAGGCAGAGGCTTGATTTTTATTCTTGTTTCCTGTTTGTTGCACCACAAAAATATTTTCTGTTTATTTCAGGTTATACATACTTCGGTATGTGTTTTTTCTCAATCGAGCTTCAAAACACCAGCTATCAGTAGCTTCATTCCTTGTTTCTTTATTTATAAATTTTTAGTCTGCTGATCAGAGCTCTTACAAGGAAAAGTACTTCACCCTGCTATCCGCAATGAAGCAAATACAGAACACATTTCTCAGGGCTCAACAAAATGCAGAGAAGAATGTAAAAGGTATCTCTTAGATAATCAGCTCATTATTTTATATTTGTGTTTGGCACTTATTTCTGTCTGTGTTAAATTTATTTTGGAATACATACACCATACTGTTTTGAAATCCATTTTGGATGGATGCCCACCTTGAATACAAAGTTTGTCTCATCAAGAGTAAGCCTTGATGTGTAAATTGTGTGATTATTTATTTTTGTTTGAGAAAACTTAAGTCTTGTAAAAGAAAAATATTTAGTGTGGTCAGGCTTTGGAGACAAGGAGGAATGGTGTCATCACAACTGTTGGTATTTTTATATCTAATAGAAACACTTACAACAAGTTCCTTGCACTGGATGGTTTATACAACAGGATTAAACTACAGCTTAGGGTTGAAAATGTCCATATGACTTGTCTCTTCTGGTCAATCATATAATTATCTTTTAAATTCATGAAAGAAGTCTCTTGTATGTGAGAATTTACATCCTCTCCTTTGTTTCAATTCTTATCATACTACTAGCTGAAGTCCCCCAAAAAAGTTTAAATTGTTTTAATTTCCTTATCTTTTTCTTAACCAGCATATGACAATTTTGTGAGCAATCTGAAATCAACCCTCAGCACAGAACAACAGAAAAACTCTCTCCTGAGTGAAGAGCTAAGGATGAAGAAGGGATCTGTTGAGAGATTACGCAGTGAGCTTGAAAATACAAAAGAGCAGTTGAAATTTATGAGAGAAGATAAAGGTAACTAAACAGAAAAAAAGTGATGTTGTTTAGACTGTTTTTAGTGTATTCTCAAGTGCTTCTAGTTCTGCTAGGACCTTGCATTGGCTTCTCACTTTTATTAAGAGCTTTGTGTTGTTTTAAAGTTAGTAGCAATTGCAGCTATTTCTTGACAAAGGGTGGTGGCCGTACACAACAGAGGACATCCCTTAAGTTAACCATGCCCTTCAGATTTCTTAATTAAAGATTTTCTGCCATGATTTGGTTTTTAAATTTGTAATTTTTGTTTTTATGAAACGGACAAACAAACAAACATAAAACAAAAAAGGCAAGTTGGCTTACTAATGAAGGAAAAAGTTTTTCAATCAACTTTTATTTAAACATTCTCCTTGAGTTATTGCCTCAGGCAAACAAACTTGCATGTGCAGCTGATGCAAGCTGTTTTACTTAGTTGGCACATTTGACATTAATAAGTGTGAATTAATTTCTTTACTTTTCATGAAAAGCACTCTTAATAATGTACATGTAACATCAAAAAATTCATTTAGTTTTAACTGGCTTTGATTAGGTAATACACTAAAATTTTGCAACAAAAACTCACATTACAATGTGTGCCTATCAATTGCATTTTTCAAATCTAATATTAGTCAATATGGCTTTATTTTCTTGTTGAAAATTACTTTAAACTAAATGAGAATATACTAGATAAAAGATCTTGTGATGGACGATATAGAACTTTACTTTGGTTGTTAATTACTTTACTTAATATACAGCTGTATACAAGAGTACATAATCACTACATTCAGTAACAAAACAAAAGGTCTTTGCAAGCTTTCCTCGCTTGCCCTTCTGTTAACTAACTTGGTTTGGGTAGGAAGGGGGGAAAGTTACCCTGGAGCAGAATCTGTGTTATTAGTTAACATAACAAGTTAGGAATCGCGCATATCTATACAATATTATACCAGCATGTTCCAGTCAGGCAGGTTTGGTTTGATATAATATCTTGACTAGTGCATAGGCCGGAATTAAAGATCTCCATTGTGGATTGTTAATAGCTATAGATCAAATTTTAGTTATCTTCCACTATTTCGTTAAAGGCTTGCTCAGCTTGCTCAAACAGGTCTTGAAGCATGTTTTGTAAACGGACCGCCTCGTTGAGATCCCTCCGCAACTTTTTCAAAGTTTGTTGTGACAAAACATATGTTCCTGCGTTGGCCGCAGCAAGGCCAGTAAACACAGCAATGCTTGTTAGTGCCAAGCCTCTAGTAAAGGAAGTAAGGTTGTTCCAGGTGTGGAAAAGTTGGAAACCTTGCGTCCCGGCTGTTACGAGATTGACAACTCCATCCACTGCGGCGTAATCAGCCATGAGGTCAACACGCTGTATCTGGCCATCAATCTTAATTCGTAGGTCGCTGATTTTGGAAAGAGTTGAGTGGAAATGTGTGTTGATTCTTCCCATTTTCAGGGGAATACCGCGATTTCTCGGATCTCTTTCGCAAGTATCCACGAGGTCTGTGACCAGCTGTTCCATTCTTTGGAGCTTGCTGTTTATCGTGCTGAACTCATTAGGGTTGCTGTCGATGAGATTTGACGCGGTGGAGATGGTCTTCCACGCCATGTAGAGCTTCACGCATTGAAATACTGCGACGAAGGCTGATCCATAAACCATATCTGTGATAACCTTGTTGCTCTCTTTCTTCTGGAAATCTTTTATTGCGTTTAGAATCGCCTCTTTTGTTTTTTGATGGTCAGTGATTTTGTCTTCTGCAATGCGCTCGTGCAGTTCTAGGAGAGGGATACCGAGTTCATTCCAGCAATGCTCTAACATTGCCTCTGTGGCGTTTTTCTTTTGATAGTCGACAGCTCTAAGTATGGCATCTTTACCATCTTCTGTTATTCTTCCGAGCATAGCTTCAATGGTTTCAATGTGCTCTCCCAAAGTGCACATCTCTCCGACATTCGAAAGGGCTTGGCGAAAGGACCATCCGCTCTGACAGAGATCAAGAACGTACCCGAGGATTTTACCCATGTTTCCTTTGCGTTCTTCCTCAGGAAGTTCATCCCGCATCCTCTGTATTGCAGCAGCATCGTCCATGTTCAGCGACTACGAGTAATGTTGGAAATGAACAAATTTGGAAAATCGCCTTCTTTAATTTATACGTTTCACATGGGGATTCCCCAAGAAAGCGTGACGCAACACTCAATAGTTAGTCACGAGAAGTAATCAACGGCAGCCAACGATACCTGTTCCTCTTTGCAAATTCTACTGGTTCTTTTAAAGTATGGAAGTGTTATTTAAACAATATTTTCACTGATCACCTCATACTGTCACATATATGACCATACTTAAGGGATCTTTGGCGTTTATTTTTGTATGGGAATTTTCCCGGCTCTAAGTCGGTGGCTATTTCGGTTTCGGATTTCGGCTCTCAAAGATTTTATCAAGCAAAACAAAAACTAATCATCAAAATAGCACTATTTATACAGATAATTCTATATTAAAATCCTAAATGAGTCACACCATGAGGTAGAAGTCGGAAATCAGGGTAGAGAAAAATCACTAACCCAAGAACGAAGATCAAAAGTAGTGTTACTTGCTTTCTCCATCTGCTCTTAGGGAAATTTCCCAGTGTAACACGTCACAGAGACAGGGTCTTTTGCATTGACCCACATAGACTGAAATTATTTTCGTTTATAATGGTAATTTTCCCAGAAAAAAACATTGCAAAAACATGCTTTCAGTTGAGTTTTTCTGCACACGTAGGCAGAAAAATTTGCTGCACAAAACTTCGCTCACATGTAAACTTTTTGTTGTCGGGCAATGAAAAACCACTCAAGGAAATATTCCTTGTTGAATTCACAAAAAAGAGAGAAAAATTCCGTATTGCTTAAGATAAAATATTTATCCACTTCTCCAACTTTCAAGTCCGAGTTGTTATTCCAAATTTTAGATACTAGTTCGTCGAAAAAATGTTGCACACAAAAATTTTAGGGCCCAATCCGCCGTAAAGGTGAATCGCTTCGTCCATCAATAGAGCGTTTAAGGGAGAGTTGTGATATTTATGAAATTTTTGAGTTACAACAGTTATCCTGACTCAAAGGTAGTGGCTAAGTCATTGTAATACTGGCTATCTTATGGTTGGAAATAATGTGATACATACTGAAAAAACGTTGTGACTTCGTGAAATTAAATGCTCGTATGAATGGACCAACAGAATCACGAATTAAACTTTTATCTAGATACCGCGCTTGGAGGAAAGTGTAATCATAAAGAACTTGCGTAACTATCTTGTAAGTCTGTACTGAAGAAACAAATGTTTTCATAACAAAAAAGTTTTAAACATGTTAACTTCACCAAAACCTCACAGGACAAATATATGGCTAGATGACCAAAGTGGCTCTAACGTTACGTCACGCAAAGTGCCACGCACCCAATAACACATTCATTCAAAATGCATTCGTTTACGGAAAAATCGTTAACTGAATCAAATTATGAACTTCTTTCAAATACTTTTGCTGTTTTCCTTTATTTTTGGATCTAGAACGTGATGAGTTTAGGTGAAAAGATTCTTTGAGTTCGAAAAAAAAAACAGATTATTTTTGAGAGGAGAACAATGTTACCGATAACATATAATTATTTTCTTCCATTAACAAACATATTTGAAATTTAGACATTTATCGCATTTTCAGATTCGATATGGTAACCAAAAATTTTGTTCGTCTGGGCTAAAAATTCGCCTAAGGACGCTGTTATTTTTACTGTTGCGGCTCAACAATGGTGCAAAAGCCTTCGCTCATACCATGGATGCACTTTAAACAGTCCGAGCTAGATGAAAGCAGAGAGGCCAATAACCTCGGTAGCAGCTGTTTATTAATAGCGTTTTTTGATTCTCTTCATCTGAATGGACTTCTGGGACCACATGCGCGTCTGACTAGGTTGCCAAGTTGTTTTGAAAATGGCGGCGTTCTTGGTCGAATTCCCAGCACAAGGGTCAAGTTTCCCTTTGGAGGCCTAAAAACTAATTCATTGTACGTATACTTTTAAGTACTAAGGTTAAAAATTTCTATGTACACTGTTGCATACTTCTTGTTTAGACCGGCATTCAAACGGCGACAGGTTCGTCTGATAGGCCTCTGTGAAAAACCGAATCTATTTGGGTGTGCTGCTTCCGAAATAAGTCACTGCCACTTCATTTTATCGCACAAAGTCACGCTAGTCTGAATTTGTGCGGTTTTTCGCGGCTATATTTTCTGTCGCTCGCATTAAGATTCTCACAAAACTCCGCCATGTCACACACACACCAGGGGCGTAGTCAGGATTTTTCAAAGACGGGGTCACATTGTGTGTCAAACAGAGGGTACTTACCAGATTGTCATGTCGACCTCCACGCCGTGTTTTACTTAATGCAACGAAAAAAAAAGGCTTACCTAGGCTAAGCCCTTGCACGCAAAGCAAAAGGAGGTTAGGTTTCCCAGCTTTCCCGCGTAAGTTGCGAAGCTCAATTTATTCCCTCGCACCACCTCCTTCCCCACCTTCCCCCCAACCCCTACCCACCTGTCATCAAATTTACATCAAAGCTGACAACTTTCAGAAGGTTTTTGTCAGCGTATATTAAATTTTCTTTTTCCAGTCTTAAACTTTGCGATTATCAAATAAAAAAAAAAAAGTATGAAGAAATACATAAATTGACTCAGGCCAGTTGCTCAGCAATTGTGACAATGATAACTGCAGAGTTGGTTTTGAAATGTTTCTACTTTTTTCTGTTACTTGCAGCAAATATGAAGAGGCATGAGCAGGAGGAAGGTGAAAAGAAAAAGGATTCACCCAGAGAAACATCTGAAACAAATAACAAAGAGCTACTGGTGAGGGAGTAATTAGATTGATCAATCTCGAAAATTGACACAATAGAGTTTAGGGAACAGAAAATATGGGACAAATACATCAGGATTTCTAGTTGTTTATGAGTTTTGTCGATGGGAGATGCGGTGAATCCATGGTTAGTACGTTAGCCTACGTGTAGCCGTACCCTACCCCCCCCTCCCTCCCAGGTGAAACGGTTCCCTCGCCTCTGTTTCACCTTGCGGGGGTAGGGTACGGCTACACGTAGGCTATTAGTGCGTTGGACTCCAGGTAGAGATGTTCGGGCTCATGCCCTGACCGAGAGCAGGCAGTTGTGTTGTTTTCTTGGGTAAGACACTATTCTCACAATTCCGCTCTCCACCGCTAAGGAGTATGAATGGTTGTAAGATAATTCAGGAAAGCCTGACAATTTGTTTGCATGTTTGTTGTTTTGTTGTTGTTGTTGTTGTTGTTTTATTCTTTGGGGGGGAGGGATGGAGTAACACGCGATGGACTGTCATACCTTTCAGTGGGGGAGGGGTTCAACAACAGAATACTCATGGTCGCTTCATGCTTTTGGTATTGGGATTAGCTTTTGGTATTAGGATCAGTCACATGTATTGACGTGGTCTCTGACTTTACCTTTCCATGGGCTTTGCCCAGTTATCTTGAGTCATTACTGGTGTTGAAACTCTTTCCACTCTCAAGAGCCTACCGGCCGCTTAGAGCAGTTTTCCACAGTGTCGAATATAATTCGGTGTTTCCTTGGTCCCGCTGTACTTCGCTCCTCAATTGTTCTTTCTCGAGCAATCAGATTCAAACTACAATCAACCGCGACTTGGTCACCCGCGTTTTCCTGCGCACTAGACGGGCTACTTGAGATCTGACTGGCTCCCTGTGATTTATTCCTTTGATTTGATTGGCTGTTGTTGTTGATTTGGTTTTCATTGTACGGCACATAGTCGAAATACCCTTGTTTATCCTGGTTTCTTTTCTGTGAAGCGACAGGAAGTCTCATGCTGACCACCCCTAATAAGCAAAAAATTCGACTTCCAATCCGATTGAGGCAAAAATAATCTTAAACTTTGTAATAGCAATTTAATGGTGCGCTTTTCGACTGAGTGTCGTATAATCAGAAAAAAGAAAAATAGCCTGAGGGGCCAATGAGAACTCAAAATAAGCAAACTGCATAAAGCGCGGGAAAACGATGGCGACCAAGTCGTGATTGGTGTTAGTTTTGTACCTGATTGGATGAGAGAGTGGTGCGAGTTTTCTGGACCAATCACGAAGCAAAGCAAAACCAAAGCAATACCAGAGTATTTTGGACTCTCAGTAAAAGTTTCTCAAAATACATATTATGCTTTTTATTCAGTCATTAACTTACTTTTTCCAACTCTTTGTCTTTTCAGCAAGTGATTGAAGACCAAAAGAGTTTGATTAGTTTTTACTCTCTTCTAACGGGAATTTCAATGTCACGAGAGAACACTTGTGAAGATACAAGCTCCTTTCACAGCTTCAATTGCACTTTCTTTCCAGCTGAGAAAACAGCTCATCGTAAGTGTGATCTGTTATGAACTTTGCTTTAAATGGCCCCAGTAAAAGGTTTAGCCTCAGGGTGAAACACATTTGCTGGTTTGCCTTTTTTGAAACACATTTCTTCATTCGAAAACACAAAACCATGTTTTACCAACAATAAAGGGGGTAAGTTTCTAAAGAAACTGTCAGTAGTGCTGCGTCTGTGGGAGAGTATAACAGGGTAATTTAGTATTATCAACGTTACTGAGTTGATAACGTAATTTTGCCACCGTAAAGAGTTTAAAAGCTGATGTTTCCAGCTTCAGCCCTTCGTGATAGCGATAGACGGAGGGCTAACGCTCGAAACGTCAGCCTTTTAACTCTACTGTGGCCAATTTACGTTATCAACTCGGTTGATAATACCAAATTACCCTGTTTTACTAACAATACATGACTTGACGTAAGATACGAAATTTACTATTATATAATAAGCTGAATTCAGGATGTTTTTTTTTGTTGATCGAGGAAGTGTAGATCGAAAATGGCACTGACTTTTCGCTACTGTTACCTCACCGCCAGTCAATCTTTTTTCAACACCGTTTAGAACAAGCGAGGTGTTTCTAAACAGAAAGTGACGTCACATCTCACGTTCTTTTTCCTCTCGCTCCCAGTGTCCTCTATCTTGTTCTCTCCAATAAGCACGACATTGGACCCGAGGTTGCTATTAGCTCCCAAGCCCCTCCTTCTTTGAAAACTTATAACTAGCGTCCGGAAGGATAAGTCTTACCCTCTAAGTAATTCACTAATTGCCTTAAAATGTTCTTCCTGATAAAATTGTCCTTATACTAATCTCGTACGTAGATCCTGCCGTGTACGTGTACTGTATTTGGCCGTGGAAGGTCTGGGTACGAGGCTATTGTTATATACCAAATGTGTTAGTATGTTATACACATTCCAACCTTTTTCTTGTTTCCCACTGACAGGTTTGCAGTTTAGGCTGACTCACGACACAGAATTTGATGAGATTGAATACAGTCCTAACCCAAAGAGCCCTGGTTCCGAAGATATTCTGTTGAACTTGCCCAATTATCTCCAGGATAATATGTTTTTCGGTTCTGATCAGGCTACGAATTTTATGGAAAAATTGTTTAAGACAGTTAAGGGGTAGCAGTATAATAGAACTTTAGTTATTTACCAGTTTAGTAACCTGCAAGCAGGCCCTTCGTTTTAAGTGCTTCGGTTCGAGCGTTTCTTCGACCGCGGGAAATTTTGGTGTACTCTCCCCAACTCAATCGTCTCAAATCTTTCCGCGGGCGCAAAATTGCGCGTCCTGCAGCGCTTATGATTAGGGCTCTGGTCGCAGGCTACCAGTTTAGTAAGTTTAGAGTAGTTATTAGGGTTTTTAAACTTTCTTTTGATTTATAAAATTAATCCAAGAAACTGTTCATGTGAAGGATCTGAGAGCAAATCTTCCAATCACTTTGGAACACTTTGGAACACTTTGAGGGGGGGGGTCGGTCAATTGGAGGATTTTATTGTGTCACAGTAAAATTTACCTGATCCCCACCAGTGGCTCTGTAATATTCTAATGATACCCCCTCATTGGTAGTCAATTTTTTTCTTTAGTCTCGCCTCTATACTCTGTTGTCGAGGACTGATCTCCCCCCCCCCCTTCGCACCCTCTGAAACCACGTTATCCCCCCCCCAGAAAAAAAATCCTTCCTTCCCTTCCTTTGCCGCAACTGATGACAGGCCTTTTGTTATTTACCAGTTTAGGGTAGCTATTAAGTTTTTAAACTGTCTTTTGTCCGATGCAACTGATCCAGGAAACTGTTCTCAGTGCCGCAAATTAAGATTCTGACAGTATGTAGAATTTTTCTTTCGTTTAGAGTAACACCTTCTTCCCTTTATAAAGGTAGTACTTAGTAAGTATACTTTGAGGGAGAAGTTAGCAAAATTCTTAGGATTTTCATTTTCTTCAAAACTTGAATTATTTTCTTTACAAAACCATCTCAGCAACTTAATATCGATTACATTTTTACGATGCTGGAAACTTAGTTAGCCTCTTACGGGCACATGTGGCATTCTTCTGACTTTTTCGATACTTAAAATATTCGATTCTTTACCTCTCAGTTGCATATGTTTTATTTTTAAGCGATCGTTTTTTTGGTAGTTGTTATTGCTTTTTTTAACTTTACAAGTATTTTTTAATGAAATTGTAAAGTTGATATCTCCATAGTCAGTCAAATCTGGTCAGTTAATAATCCGAGTAATCATAATCCAGCCCGCCCTCTTCCTTTTCTTTTGCTCTTTGCATGTCTCACTGGTGGAAGAGTGAGACTCCTGTAGCCACCAGGTCCGTTTTGTTTGTATTTGTTTCTTTATTTTTTGTTGTATTTAACGTTCAATTGGAACCAAGTATGCTCTGTATGAAAATATGTACTATTTAAAATGGGTACTATAATCACTTTACCTGGCAGTATGGCCATTTAGCTGGCCAAAATGGTGACTTTGAGGATTGCTTAATTGTTCAGACTGTTTTGTGATTTTATTCATATTTTTTTCGTTCTCAATGCTTTCCAAATTGAGGATAATAGTAGTACAGTTGATGTTCTTAGGCTTAAATTTGTTTTGGGGTCTTTTCTTCTGGGTTAGGCCTCATACACTTTAATACCCGCGAACATAAAATATGTTATATTTTAACTCATTTACCTGAACCACGGTGTATAATTAAATAAACGGGTATATTTTGATTATAGTGGGAGAGCCTGTTCCACACGCTTTGTTTCACATCTCTTTCATAATCCGCTTACCCTTGCCCTGTAGGCCTACAACTGCTTACAAATGGGCTTAGGATATTTCAAAAGGAATCATAGACAATTGGTGCAATTTTTTTCTGAGATATGTAAAATGACGTTCGAAAATGAAAATTGAGTTTAGTCTTCCCCTCGTGACTAAAACTTCCTCGAATATTTTTTCCTATCAAGCTGTAAGTAGCGAAAAATTATACAAAATAGTAAACGTTTGTGCCTAGCGATGCATGTTCTGTATCAACCAAGAAAATTTTTCTTCTCCCATGTTACTTTTCCCAAAAATTTTAACACTTTTTTGCCCTCTGGGTCAGTTTTTTTCATCCGTCAATTAAGGCAGCTTGAAGCGAATTATTTTTATTTTCAATATTGGCCAGAGTTTCTTTTAATTTTTGAATTATGCTTTGATCGATTAAAATTTTAGGTTGATATTGGGTTTTTATCTCAGCTTCCTCAAGTCATGGAAAATTGAACATAGAAGCCGAGGAAAATTGATGAAATCATGAATCTCATGCTGTACATCGTTTTTAATTTTTCCCCACCAGCGGTGCGTCAGACAGTTTTAATTAATATTGGAAGGATTGTTTGAATATTCCTGTTTCTATAAAGCCTTCCCTAACCTTGCAATTCCCTTTGGCAACTCGAAAACATTAATCAAAGTCTAAAGCGTTTGTTTCTTACAAATCATCGACGATCGATCGACGGATAATCGCGCACAACTATTAATAATTTATTAATCTTATATTTTGAGCATAAACACCAAGATGGCGGCTGGTGTTCTGGCGACGTCTGTGAATTATTCTTCTTCACAGTCGTCGGCTGCTCCTTTAAGCCGATCCCAAATTGGAGGTTATGATGCAGATTTTGTAAGCCCCATATCTGCTGATTACTTATGTCCTATCTGTCAGCTTGCTTTTCGTGATCCTGTTCAAACCAGAGACTGCGGCCATCGATTCTGCGAGTCTTGTTTGGAACCAATTTTACGGTAAGTAATGAGGGAATGTCTTTCTGTTCTGAAACAAAAGAGTTGTTCCTCAAAATCCATTTAATTTCTGTTACAGAAAACCTCCAGCGTTTTGCCCGATCGATCGAAGAACTTTAACAAGGGAAAAGGTAAGAGATGTTAGCTCATCTCGTAGAAAATATTTTATTTTGTACTTCAAATCTGGCAAGGCAAGGACGAGTCGTTCCTCTGTTAAACATATGTTTGTAATCGAAGCTATGGTATGTAATCTATGAAATATCCACAGTTTTTCTCCTTTCTCTACACTTTGGCCTCATAGTAAGGAAAAAGTAAAGGACTCAAAAGGTTTGTTTTACGGAAGAAAAATCTTAAAATCACGGCTCTTTTATTCAATGTGTCTAAGGTCAGGGCGATCTTGAATCCACAGCGTCGAATTTCCGACGCTCAATAACGCTCATATTTTGTTAAGGATGATATATGTTTAGGGGCACTGAAAGGCAGTAAACGAGGTTCCTATTTCCCATTATTTGGACTTTTTGACGCTTAAGGATCGAATTTTAAATCCCAAATTGCTTCTTGTGATCGTTTTAATAAATTTCCACCTTCTAGGATCAGTGTAATAGATATGATAACCCTATAGGCCTATGTTTAAGGTCTGCGATCTTTCATTAGTGGAACGTACTTGCACCGATAAACGAGAACAAAAGTATGTCCGAGGTCACATAAGTGATTACAAATGATTACAGTAAAGGCTGTAGGAGATATATCATTGAAGCACAAAATTTTAACCGCACAGTTTTAATTTGAATTTTCCTTTTCGCGTGACTGAATTAACACAATTTCTGAGTGAAAAATTAGCCTTTGTGGTCTACCTCGCCGTCGTCTCATCTCATAATTGCTTTAACAATACAATTTCCTTTTTAATTTTTCTTTTGCCTTCATTATTCTGTGGTATTGAGAGCCAAATCAAACAATGTAATCTTTTATTTGCTCAAAAGCGTTGCGAAAGAAAGTAAGAGGTCATAGATATGACGTGAAACTTCTTAATCTTAACAAATTTTAACCCGACAAAGACTGTTCTATCTTTCATTCACTGTATTGTTTCGGGTTAAGCAAAGTCAGGATGATTTATTTCTATACATTTTGAATTTTTCTCAATGCAAGTAGATCTTTAATTTTTCGTGTTTCGTGTTTCTCGTTAGGGGTAATATTGATTTCAGAGATGTCCAAGTGTGTTAATTAGTTAATCGAATCACAACTTACAGTTAGGCTGCAGGAATTCTGGCAAAATGACAGTTTTAAATGTAAAGATTGCCCTTTTTAAATTTTTCAGAAGTAAAATGATTTTCAATCATATAGCCAAAAAACAGGAAAATTTATGAAACTCATAATTGTAATTATTATCTTTTTTTTTTAATTTGCTTTGAACTTTTGGTCAATTCGTCAGCCTATAGGATAGATTCTGCTATCATCAGAACGTTCTGATTTTTGAACAAACTGCTTTCAGTCTCTCAATACCTCATTCAATACGGACCCTTATCATCTTTATCCAGCAGTGTCTCCAAGCAGTTGGTGTCTCCTGGGTCATTCCCTTGGGGATTTTCACAAAATTATTGTCCATCTGTCTCTGCTGTGGCACCAACTCCTCACACTGCCAAAGACATTACTGACCACACCCATCCTGGGTCCAAGGATCTCTCTTCTTCCCCGTGAGAGAGTAGCATGACCACACTTTGATGGAATCTTTTTTCTTTACATGGTCTTTGTTCACTTTTTCTTCCTTCTACTCTCTCCAATTTTATCTCCCATGAGTTTTTCATTGATCCGATACCAAATTCTTGTAACCAACATCAAAAGGATTGTATAACAGATGGTAAAGAGCATTACTACTGAGATCTTGTTAAAAATCTTAACCTTGATTAATTATTTCTTCATTATTATTTTTTATAAACCTCATCAGTTTTATAGTGAGAAAAGAATTGTGTTGAAGACTTCGGTGGTAACTTCATCATGAAAGCCTAAGTAAGGCTAAGTCTAAGGTTTAGGCCCAAAGAAAAATATTTTTGAACTCTCAAGGAAGTGCATTGTTGGACATTACCTTCAGTTCTGAAGAATGATTTTGATTGTAAGAAAGACATTGTACTCATTCTAACAGCATTTTTTCATCTGCTTGTAATTAGAATAGAAAAAGCCAGAATATCTCTTTATACCATGGAGCTATGTTTTTTCCCCTCGATTAACTATGGTTTTTTATAATAATATTGTAACTATGTGAAACCCATCTCTTTAGTTTTAAATCATTTCTCTGATAAATGTATATAAACATTATAGATATAGTTAGAGCATTCTTGGCTCATGTTTATTGTAAGGATGCTCTGTAATTTCTCTAAATAGACCACCCGTAATAATACAGATGTACATGTGGAGCTTGTCTGATATGCATTTTTTTGATAGCAGTGTCTACCTATCCATTGGCATGGCACTTAAAGATTCTTCAACCATTTTTACCGATCAGTTCCACAATGTGTTAGTAAATCTCATGCCTGGGTGAATAGTTTGAGGATTGCCTTTATGGAACAGACAGAGCCCAGTCAGTGACTTAGCTTGACCTTTTCGCATGTCTAATATTTTCCATTTGTCACACAAATGTTGCAGAACTAATGAGTTGATAGGTAAATTTTGTGGGGAAACTAGCTTTTATCAATATTAAGCAAAGGGTTAAAGGATACATTTGGTTAAGATCTAAAGGGAGAGTCTATCCTGTGTATTCCTAGTGTAACAGATGGGGAAAAAAATAGTCACTGGCCACCTTTAGATTATTTCTCGTAGATTTGTAGCACCTTTCATATGCCATTTTCAGAACAATGACTTGGCACTTATGCTTGACTTTGGGCATGGAAAAACACATTCATTTGTGTTTAGTCTGCTACCTCTCATTTACACATACTTATCATGATGTTAGCTTTTCAAAACATCCCTTGATTAGGTAACGCATTTTTTCTACCCTGTTATTTCACTCTCTACCTGAAGTTTCCAGTCTTTATTCATTCAGGTAGTAGTGTGTAAATAGATGAGCTGTATGTGGTGTGTTTATGACTTTGGCAACATGCCTTAAATTTCCAGTTGTTGTTTTGTTTGATAACAGCTCCAATTCTGCAAACCAAATAGATAAGATTGCTTCTCATCAGTTGTTACCCCATGCACTGAAAATAATCTGTGATATTAGAATAATATCTATAACATATGGTTTATGCTGGTGACATATATTATTAAGCTTTTAATTACTTTTTCTTGTGAACACTGAAATCTGACAGTATTACTTAACTCAGAGTTTTCTTCTTGTATCAAAAGCTGCTCTTTGAAACCTTTGGCATGGCAATGATATCAACTCTAAACTGTTTTCCTTGAATTTCTTTGGTCAAGGTCAAGATTTTTTATCTTACATTTGATCAAACAGTTGGTAAACCAATCTCTAAGAATTTTGGTGTCGAGTAATTGAGATAACACCAGTGGTTGTCAATTAATTCTCAGTCAGTCTCTCATTTATTTCCTTTAACAACAGTTTTTTGTATCGCAGCATGACTGTGATAAACTGTGATTAACTGTGATTAACTGTGATGAACTGTGAATAGTCTAAGCTTCAACTATATTTTTAATTCCCTTGAAAGATGTGCATATGGTACTCTGTTTTTAAAGTCCTTGAAAGTCGCAGCAAGGTTGATGTTTGTTCTGTGTCTCTCTTTAAAAAAAAATTCACTCTCAGACATAATTAGAGGACAGATTGTGTCTGGTTTATATTGAAAGGTATAAAATAACATTTTAGAGACATGTTTGTTTTGCCTGAAGCGTGACCTAAAAAGCTCTTGATTCTAAATTGTGAAGAGTGATTTTTTTAGCTCTGGCAGGTGTCTCAAGGAGCTTGATGAACGACAGGTAAACCTTTCATCAGTTATTGGCAGAAGTGACCTGTATGTTTGAGAAGTATGGCCTTCTTTTTGCTTGGACTCTCAAGCCTAAGAGGAAGCTCTTTTGAATCAATCTTTGAAGCTAATGATGTATAAATGATATTTAAACCTGCCCTTTCTAAATTAGCATAGATCAGACATCTGTTTGTAGACAACACTTGTAGAAATAAGTTTTGCTTGCACTCATGATGAATTTTGACTTGGATAACGTTTTTGTTAATCTTAAATATAAAACATATGTGGCAGTCATTTGATTTTCATTTCAACTCATACTCATTCTACTCAGCTCAGCCTATTTCAAAGTTTATGGATATATCTTCAGCTCATCATTCTTAACAGTTCTTTCCTTTGTCAATAATTGATATACACTCTATTTGACTTACTGGCAATTCCTTCTCATGTCTGTGCAAGTTAGGATGTTAAATAAGACATACTCCAGGTACAAGGTCTTATTTCTTCATGTAGAAACACAATCTCTTAGAAGCTAAGCTAGGTATTGCAGAGAATTATTCTCAAAGTCTGTAGTTAAAAAAGAAATGATATCGTTTTCAATTTGATGCACAGTGATTGGAATAGTGTGTTTTGACTAAAACTAAGCAATGTAATTGAGACCAAACAAAAACAACTTTTTGTTTTAATCTTGGTAGCACCTGAATGATAATTCAGAACCTTTCAAATCCAGTATCAGCTGTTGGTAAATTATGCATAACTGTCTCTATAACAAATACTATCCAATATATTCTGTTATAGATACACAGAAGGTTTTACGTTTGTGAAAGCAAAACTTGAAATATTCGAATTTATCATTTGATGCTTATATATTGGGAACATTGGATGGGATTTTTCCATATACAGCAACATACAGCATTCTGTTATTAGCAAGCTGTTAATTGAAAAGCCCCCCTTTTACAACAATTTGAATATGTTGTATATACTCACTTTGATTTCATATTTCAGGTTTACCCTGATAGAGCATGTAAAAGAACAGTGTTGTCATTAACAGTAAAATGTTACAACAGCGGCAACGAATGTGACTGGACAGGAGAACTTATAAACCTTCCTGTAAGTATAAGACACTTAATAATCTCCTCAGTTTTCTGAAATGCTCAAAGATTCTCAAAATATATTTGCAGTACACTACCTTGGCTCTAAAGCACCCTTAATTGCAATTCTGTTCTTGATCAAAGCAGCAGTTTCATGAACCCTTTACATTGACATCAGTATGCATATTCTCCATACGGTTCTTTGTATATTTCCAAAGGTGCCTAAGATGAGAATTTTTTTAACAATCAAGATCCTCTTTTGTAAGTGATCATTTCCTTTATTCTCCTGACCTTAATGTGTGATACAGGAGTGACACTGTAAAGAGAAATTAAGAGCTAGTCACTTGCAGGGGTCAGAGGGTAGTTTAATAAAGTTGGTGAGTAGTTTTGAAGGCCTGGAGTTTTATCTGCTAAATCATGATTTTGTTTTTCTTTTTTTCTGTTCAGAATCACCTGGAAAACTGCAAACGAGTTCCAATAAAGTGTATCAACAACTGTGGAAGAACAGATATACCAAGAGACCAGGTGTTTTTTTAATTTTGATTGAATCATATGTAGTAGTATTAGACTAAGTACAAAATGTAATCCAACACATATTTTTTCAAAAAATCAACATTGTTATGTTTATTAATGACTGGAAATAGATTTGCAACACTTGAATCTCTTTGACATCATTTGAATTAAGTTTTAAGAATGAGGTACTGTGTATTGATTGGATTAAAAGCCCGACCTTGAATGAGTGCCTATCCCGTGGGCAAAGGTGAAAAAGGTAAAGCCTGAACTCAAGCTAAGAAGTTCATCCAGCTGGAGCTTATTCTGGTTTCCTTATCATGAAGCAATTATGAATATTGCTACTTCCCCAGTTGGATGGGATGTTAGTTCATGGCAACCCTGTAGGTATGAAAATTTTTTTCAGGGCTTAGCCCTAAGCCTTGTTCTGCTTGCTTCTTCTTTCAACAGATGTCAGCCCATGTAGATGCAGATGGGGACTGCCCATTGGCTGTTGTACCGTGTCAGTATACTGACATTGGATGCAAATTTAAGGTGAGATTGCATTGGGGTGTTAAAACCATATCAGCATCTGTCTTGGAGTCTTATTTACATAATTTACTTTTGCTTTAACAGTATGACAGAGTTCTTAAGTTTATTTTCTGGGAAAGTGTGTGATTTTGAACCACAAAGCCATTGATTGTGATGCTGTGGACATTAACTTTCCAGGGGGAGGGGGTGTGAAGGGTATGGGGCATACTCCCCAGCAGATTTTGAAAAAAAAGAAATAGCTTAGATGTGTAGTACTCTATCCTGAGCATTTGTGGATATTCCATGTTACCACTGTGTGTTCAGCATGTGGAACAGGTCTTTAGTGCACTGACTGGTGCATCTTTGTTGTGGCTTTGCACAGAATTCCTGTTGGAAAGAGTTTGAAGCCAGTACATGGGGATTAAGTAATGAATTGTATTTAGAAAAATAATTATTTAATTTATTGATATTTAACTTAAGGAGCAGCTTGCTATCTCAAAATCATTATAGTCTTGTAATGTAATGGTATGTGCACACCATAAGGAAACGTGGGTAGTTCAGAGGGTTGACTCCTCGTCTCCAGGTTTGCTTTGAATCACTAGTCTGCTCAACAATTTTTGTTAAACTGAGATATTCTCATTGATATGCTGGTAAACATGTTCTCAGGGTCGACGTAATGAGATGGACAAACATGTGCAAGACAATATGCAAGTTCACTTAGATCTGGCACATCTAAGAATAAGAGAACTTGAACAAAGACAGGAGTTTGTGTGCACAAACGGAAAGTTCCTGTGGAAAATTTCTAGCTACTCGCAATTATTTCAGCAGTCAGCCACCAAGAAAGAAAAGGAGAAACTGTGTAGTCCGCCATTTTACACTGGACAGTATGGTTACAAGCTGCGTGCAGAGGCTTTTTTAAATGGCTTGGGACAAGGAAAAGGAACACATCTTTCTCTATATGTTGTTATTATGAAAGGGGAGTATGATGCAATACTACCATGGCCTTTTCAGCAGCGGGTGGATTTTGTCCTCATTGATCAAGATGACGATGTTGGTGCACGGCAAAATAAAGTATGGAGGCTTACTTGCGACAGGGACAGTGATTACTTCAAGAGGCCAAACAAGGTTAAGAGTCTTGGATTTGGTTGCCCTAAGTTCGTTTCTCTGGAGACTCTCAGAACTAGAAACTACATTCGAGATAACACAATTTTTATACGAATCGATGTGGAACCTTTGGATGCATCTTGAAATTATTATAATAATGAAATTCTCTCTCATTGCATAGACTGGATTCTGTGCAATGTGTAATCATTTGAAAAGCCATGTTTTATCAGCTAGAAGATGACGCCCAATAGTTATGCATATAAAGCTAAGTAATTACAAATTCTATGACGAGGTCCAAGGCATCTTATCGCTTTAAGACACTCCTCTTATTTGTCTTTGAGAATTATATGAAACGATCATCTAAACCCACAAGTGGTAGGGGATGGCAGTAACTCTCAAACAGATAAGAGAGGGGACTTTGGCCCGTCAAAAACTCTTAAAGGTACCTCCCCCCTTTCTCTGGACATTTGTTTCGAGAAATCTTAGCAGTTTAATTCTTTGTCTCATGAATAGTGGCCCCAGTAGATACTTAGTCATCAAACTTTTGTCAACTGCTAGTAGTAAGTATGGTCTTTGAAGAATCAGCGGAAAAGAGATAATTTACAAAAAATATAATCATAACAGTACGGTTTGCAGTTTGCATCTTAAAATAGCAAAGCTAATTAGAAAAAGTTGGAGATTTCTTCCTGGAGACCTGCAAAAAATAATTTGAATATGTCTTCGAAATAGTGAAAAGGAAACTTGCTTTTCGATGATGTTACAGGTGATTTATCATTTTCTCATGAGTAAACGAAATTTTTCAAATCATAGGTAGATTATCCTACTCGGTGAAGAGATATTTCTTGAGAGGTATGGTATTTTTTATCGAAGCAGAGACAACGTTACTTTTTCATGTTAGGGGTGACCTTGGTGAGGGATCCACGATCAACATTGTAAAAAGACTTCTGCAAGAAGAATAGAATAATAAGCCTTACCGCCTACTTTACTGAATGTCAACGGTAGACTTCTAGTTTCTCAATAGTTCATATGAAGAAATATATGCATGCAGGTCAGGAGAATGAAACACCTGAGCACGAAAAGATATTCTTCTGGTACTAAATTACATTCTCTTAACTAACATATTGTAAGCAATACATGCATGTATGTAGATTAGGGGAATTAGATTCAGTTGTTAGAAATATTAGCTAGTAATGTAGATGAAATAGCACATTCTCTTTTTGTTTAGATTTTTCATGCAACGCGAAGGAGAAAGAGTGTGTGATGTAATTTGGGGAGATCGCAAAAATTCTTGCCTAAAGGAACACCTGAAGGCATATATATATATATAAATTAAGTGAAATTATTTTAAGCCGTCTTGAAATTATGAATTTTATTGTTTACAGTTTATTTTTCCTTATTCAGAGAGATGTTTATTACGGCATAATTATATTAAACTCATTTTAACGTCGTTGCATTCCATAAGTATCCTTGCATGAGAAGGCGAGAGTCGGGATTGCGAGTTTGCAGGGAGGTCTGGGGCAAACCTTCCCGACCTCGAGGGATAATCTGTGGTGAACCGAATTTTTGTCATTTCCTTTTTTTATCCGTCTTACGTAGAATACTTTCCTCGCGAAAGGCTCCGCAGTCCCTACAGGACCACTTTTAGGGACTTATCATTATACCAGGGCTCACGGGATGTTGGGAAAACGCGAGATGTCAAACCGGAGGTCTAAACGCGTCTCGCGACCGGTGCAATAATAACTCCTGCGGGGGGGGAGACACGAGAAACGTTTACTGGTCACAAGCCGGAGGCGAGTGATTTACGAACCTTCCTCGTGTTATCTGGACATCCCAAATAGGTTATTACGACGGTAAACCGATAGAAGGTGCAGTGTATTGCTTTTACAAAATAAGTTGAAACAAAACTGACAGTCAAGATTCCTCCTGACACAGAATGTTTCCTATTTTTCCTATGGGTTTACCGGTTCAATAAACGAAAGTTTTTGACCAATCAGAGCGCTCTTGATATGGATGTTGTTATATAAAACGGTATGTGTCGTCCTAAAGGTTATCATTTTACGAACCGTTTCGGACGGAGCCGAGCCTACCAGGTGTAAAATCAGGCACGCTTTCCAAGGGAAACGGTATAGCGTATAAATGCCTTTTCAACTCAAAATGAATGTTAGAGAAAGAGAGGTTACCAAAGGTATCATTCAAGCTAAATTTTCGGTGAATTTGGCCAATCCTGACAATCCTTGCCTTCGACTATTTACCTATCAACGCCGACGCATATGTTTCTCTATATGATGAGCAGAAAATCGTTATTTTCGAATGAGGAAAGAGTTACTTTCATCTAATTGTGAGTTTCCCTTCAGAGACTTCAGAAGGTTTATGCACCATGTCGGAAGACTTTATGAGGCTAAATTAGTTTGCTTTCGGTTAGATAGTAGTGTTTACATAAGAAAGATGAAGAATAAAATTCATATATCTGAGCTCTTAGATATCTGAGTTCTTAATAATAATAAAATTCAAGTCTTCATGAGGGTTCCTATAAGTTTTGGGGTATTAATTCGAGTCACATTTACAACTGTAAGTAAAATGAAAGCGCAAATGAGATTGTCTCGAAACCTTGACCCCAAATACCTCAAAGGCTCACGGGAAATATGTCCTAGTCATGCGCCGTGCAATCACGAGGCCGAGAGATTTCCAAGATGTCGCTGACTCGGTGGAAGAGGTGTCGACTTAAAGTACAAGCATCTTCCCTTTAACATGTAAACCCGACCATGTCGGGAAATATACCACTAGAGAGATGCTTCAAAGAGGCAGAGGAGACGGGAAGGCTCAATTTGAGCCAGAAAAATCTTCGCGATTTCCCAGATCCGACAGACGATTGCGAGTTGATCGATGTAATCGAAATAGGTGAGCTTTCTGTAAGCTTTATAAGCTGCAAATATTGTCATTGCGTTACCAAAAAAAGTACAAGATTTCTCGTTCACAACTGGATCCTGTTTTTGACTGCTTGCATTTTAATCACTGTTCTTTTATCTTGCAGACTTGTCAAGAAATAAACTGTCCGAATTCCCTGCAGAGCTGTGCGATTTTCTTATGATTGAGAGAGTGGATTTATATCACAATACGATACGGGGAGTTCCAGAATCGCAAATGAGTGAACTGAAATTTCTCCGTGTCCTAAACTTGAGGTAATGCTGATAGTGCGGTTTCAACATGTCTCTCAATTTGTTATCAGATGATATGATCCGAACCAAACTTGAAATCATAACTGCAGATGCTCGTAATGATCAGCAAATAATTTATCAAGCTGTTATTTGCTAATGCTTGCAGGAGGTTTTGATCCCTTTATTAACAATGCTTGGCTTCTTAATTTTAATTTTCGTCCATTCTTTGATATGTATTTATGGTGATATAAAGTACGTTGACATTTACAACATTTTTGTACGATTTGGAGAACAATGCGATGTGTGTTTGTTTACCTTTAATGTTGATTAATCGGTGCGAATGAAGATGTCGAAGGACGGCGAGTGTGAATGATCTGTAATTGGATTGCAGCTGATACGTTTATGTGAAAATGAAAAGCAAATTTTCCTTCGGCCAGTGGCTCGCTAACAATTGTTTCTTGAAGCGCGTTCCTCGCGCTAGGATTTTGAAAGAAAGCTTTTAATTCAGAAATGTGGTTAAGGGTAGAAGTAGAATATTCTCCACATCTGAGTAAAAAATGTGATCGAAATTTAGCGGAAGTATTGTGCAAAGTAACTGGAGAATCTCTCATCGCTAACACCTCATCCTTGAACATCCTACTTCATGTTAATTAAACCAAATGTTAAGTCACTATAAGAGTTTTTTTGCACGAAGAGACTAATAAAAGAAACTTTCAAGCAAGATTTGAGTTTTAATTATTTAGTATTTATCTATGGAGAGGTTTGTGATTGTGATTATGGTACATTGTTTGTTCACAGACGGAATCAGATCACCACTTTCCCCTCAGAGCTCTGCTCCTTGCCTCTGCAAGTCTTGAACTTAAGCAACAACAAGCTTACTTCTTTGCCCGTTGAAATTGGACACTTAACTTTATTGCAAGATTTGGTAAGTAATTTTATAATCTAGTAACCTTGGTGAACAAAATACTCTAGATAACTCAGAGGCCTAATCCAATAAGCTTACATATTTAATTGCAGCATGCATCAACAAGCTGTATTGTTACTTTCCATCAGTGCTTTCATTAACCCTTTAACTCCCATAAGTGACCAAGACAGAATTTCTCCTTACAATATCAACACAATATCAACCAGATAAGAAATGAGAATAAAGAAAAATATCAATTTCAATAATAAGTTGATCCAATATTAAATTCTCTGAACTAACATAATAAGAATTATAAAGTTAACTGGCAGGAGAATGACAAATTTGATCTGGGAGTGAAAGGGTTAACCCCAAGATGTAGGATGATATTAACTTGAGAATTCAAGTCTTTGGTATTGCAAAGCTATCTAAATTACAGTTCATGTAAATCTATATGATGTCTTGCACCCTGTTTTAATAACTGTCCAAAAATCTGGGATTGCCGTGATTTTGATTCACAATACTCTGGGATGTGCTCTAGAAAACACTGCTAACCAATCCAATGTAGATACAAGGGGTGAACTCCTGGTTCTTATTGACTCCTACTTATAAGACAATTTGAATTGGGGGTTGAAAGTAACCTGGTAACACATTCTGTGGTTTTTGTTCTTAATGCTCTGTGATGGATCTGGAAATCAAACACCACCTTCCCAATTAATGATGCAATATTAAGTGCTGCTCTTGCTAAGAGTGGTCCTCTCGACTTCCCGTCAGAAAAAAGTTTTCTTTTATTTTTTGCCCATGAAAAGGGTTTAGGAAATAGTTAAGTTTTCTCCAATTCTCTTTTTATGCATCACAACAAACTAAAAATGATTTTTGGTTAGACTACCCATGTGGACAGTGATCAAAAGTGTAAATTCAGAGATTTTGTTCGGAGCACAGCGACTGCAATAATGTGGTTACAGAATTCTATCTTGCTACAAGTTATAAGATGTATTCAGTTAGTTCAAAGACAAAATGTGGAAACTTCAACTTGTTTGTGTGTTGTTTTAAGCAATGTGATATGTCTGTAAGGACCAAAGTGCCAAATTTTATTCTTTAATTTTGATTCCATACATTATTGCATGAAGTTCAAAGGACACAAAGACTGGGCTCAATTTTGTGTTCTCCCAGAAAATGCTTTGTCAAAATTTAGCAAAATTTCTTGCAAGAAGTTAACCACATGCTTTGGTCTTTTCTTTCATTGCAGGATTTAAGTTCAAATGAATTAGTACACCTGCCAAGTAGTATGGGAGAGATGTTATCTTTAAAGGATTTAAACATTCGAAGGAATCGTTTAGAAGTTTTACCAGATGGTAAGTTGAACAGCCAAATCTTGCTCTCTTAATTCAACAGGGGTACAAGGTCCATTTTTCTTTTTTCTTTTTTCTTTTTCTTTTTTTTTTTTTTTTCAAGTTTGGCTCAACTTTCATTTTCCCTCAGAAATTTTCAATGGATAAAGAGTTTGATAATTTTCCCATAACTTAGCCTTGTGATATCTTTCATCTTTGTTGTTTGATTAATTTGTTGCGTGTTCCTTCCTTTTGCAGAACTTAGTAAATTAAAATTGGTTCGATTAGATTTTTCTTATAACAAAGTGTCCGTGATTCCTCCTGCTTACCGGCTTATCACCAGTTTATCAGTGCTGGAACTTGCGCACAATCCATTGACTTCTCCCCCTGCTCAGGTGTGTGAACTATCCCCCACCTTGCTGTGTATATGTAACTTACTGGATGTGTCACTCTATTGAATCCAGTAGTAATGGGTTCAAATGTTATCAGAATCAATACTTGGTTCTTTTCCATTATTTTCATTGCAATGTAATCCTCAACACTTTGCACCCTAACATCAGTATACACATCCTCTCAATGGTTCTTTATATTTTTCATAAGAGCTTTTTTAGTTGGTGATCATTTCCTTCATTCTCATGACCTTAATGTTTGATTCAAGAGTGGTATTGTTAGGAGAAATTAGATGCTAGTCATTCTTAAGGGTCTAAGGGTAAATGAGTTAGTGTTCTCTTTACTCTAGGTCTGCACAAAAGGGAAGTTACATATTTTCAAGTACCTCAGCGCAACTGCTCATGAACAAGAAAAGGTGACTTGAGAGTGTGCTAATATTGCTCAGTGCAAGTGCATGTACAGTATGGGGTTTGTAAGCATCTTGGAAACTGGTGAAAGATATTGATATTTAAGGGTCCATTTACAAGGCTTTGAAAGTCCTTGAAATTCTCTCATATGATTTAGTCTTTCAGAGTCTCTTTGATTCTGATTGCGTAATATTTTCAAACGTCAATTAACAGTCTGAAGCTCTTATAATACAATCAGCATAAGTAAAATGTGACTCAGATTTGGCTTTTTTATGATCCCAGGAAAGTGGCTTTGATTATGAAAATGATTACCCCTAGGAAGCCTGTTTAAGTCAGAATATTTTTATAAATTGTTTGGGATTTTTGTAAGAAATTGGTTCTTGAAATTTTAAAATACTGTCTTGAAAAGTTAGGTTGGTGTCAGTTTTTAAGTTTGTAAGGTAAAGGAACCTCTTGTAAGTACAATAAACATCTGTGTAATTTGAAAACATCTCTTACAATGTTAGTTTATTTTTATAGTCATCTTCTTTATTTAGTCAACAAAAAATGAAAAACTTAAGCTAGAAATTTTGTGCAATGGTAAAAGTAAAGATTTAAAAAAATCATCGTGATTATATCACAGAGTTTTGCTCTCAGAAGAGTCTCAGTGTTTTAAGCAGTGTTTATTCCAGAAATCCACTCATGGCTCAAATTAACCTGACAATTTTGTAAAATTTGGCAACTATTGATTCTTAGTATCTTTCCACAGAGAAGAACATTTGACAGAGATGTTGTTAGAAAATACTCTTTTCCTCGATCATCAAGGTATGACTTTCAACTATCTTAGGGTATTCACATGCTTTTTTTCTAACAGAAACAAACCAAGTTTCAGTTGAGTTTGACCTTGATTTTGCCTTTGAAAGGTTTTCATCACATATGACAAAAGTTTTAAATAGTGAATGAACCTAAGATTTCAAAAGGAATGTTTACTGTTTTCTTTGTGGATTCTTCATGCAGTGAGGATGCTCCTGAAAACCATCTAATGATTGACAGAGTAAGAAGAACGCATTCCTTAGATTTAGCAAGAAATGCAGCTGCAAGAGAAGTAAGTAATGCATTTAACCTTAATATCACTCTGCGTATTCCTCATACTTTTCCCGATATATTTTCCAAGGTGCTGATAAGGCAAACTTGTTCAACAGTTAAGAGCTTCCTAAGTTGGTGACCATTTCCTTTATTCTTGTGACCTAAACAAGTGATTTAGGGGTGATATTGTAGTGTGAAATTAGATGCTAGTCCCTTGTAGGGGTCAAAAGATTTACCTCTACATGTAGTTACACACAGCCCATGTTGGCTTTGTTTTGCATGTTTTGTCTCTTGAATAACTACTTTCAATCAATTTAATCTCTTCCATCTTTGTCATTTCTTTGTTGAGTGTTATCCCTTCTGAGTTTTTCTATCTTGCAAAACTTGTATTTTGTATTCTTCTGAGGATAAAGGTCATTTTCCACCTGACAAAAACATTTCCTATTTTTACGTGGCTTTTCCACTTATTTGTTTTGTTTTGTTGTTGTAGACTTATGAGAAAGAGGTTTATCGACCAAGCTCATTACGAGAAAGAGAGAGAACAAGGCCCCCATTGTCTAATGTGTTTGAAACAGAGGAGAAGAGACGGGAGATTCAGAAAGAGATAGAAAGAGCACAACAGCTACTTGCAGATGCCCACGAAGTGGAAGATGGTGAAATGCAGTCAAAACCAGATGAGGAGTATAATGAAGGAGAGGAGCTTCTGAAGGTTTGCTTTTTACAACTACTTTTATGTTGATTTGTGACCAATATTTTGTACTTATTGACTGAATCAAGTTGGGCCAAATATTTTCTGTGACTCAGTCAATAAACATTTTAATAATAATAATAATAATAATAATAATAATAATAATAATACTTTACTTAAATAGAGCTTTTTCTATTGCTATCTAGTAGCACTTTACAATGACTGAAATAAACATAAAGTGCTTGAAAATCCCAACTGGTGGGTGGCAGACCAGTTGGCTATTTACACAGCACAGTAGAGGAGTTGAACTCAGGGCAACCCAGAACAAATCCAGTCAATGGCAGGGTGGGGGACTTGAACCTGGGACCACAAGGTTCCAAGTCCAGCACCCTTGCTGCCTCTTCATTTTATTATTTTACTGCCACTCTTTGGCCTCCTTCCTTTCTGCCGGCATTGTGGATCTTGCAGGGTGTATACAGGGCCAAGCAGAGTTTTGTGGCCCCACTCATGCAGGGCCTCAGTAACTTTTGATGTAAGTGGCTGCTGATGGTGCCAAAGCAGCTGTGTTGTTAGCCCAAACTCAAACACAAGAGCTTGTGCGTGGGCAATGGAAGGTCTTATAGGTGGCTGTAGACCACCAGTAACTGGCTTTTATTGAAATCCTTGCTCATGCCACTACCTGTAGTCCTCCTGCTGGAAATGTGTGTGGGTCATATTGATCAGTTGAAAAATTAGGTATATGTTGTCACTTAAAATGAATTTCACATGGCAATTATTGAAAAATGGTTTTTTCCTTTGTTCAAGCTACATTGCCATAATACTTTTAAAAACAAAGAATAGTGCTGATCATTCTGGCGTGAAGTTATATTCACCTGAAACAATTTTAAACTACAACTTTTATGTTGCAGTCAAATTAAAATTCAGGTGAAGATGATGTTGAACTGGGTAGATTTGTATTTTACTTTGTATAAGAACTATGACGAGTTATAAGGAACATAGGAAAGAACATTAAAAACCTTTTTAAACTCAATTTGACCTGAATTCATTTTGCACTGCAATATTTACATTTATGTGTGAAATTTTGCAGCTAATTTATTTCAAAAGGAAAAATTTGGGCTCTAGTGATCAAGTATGCTATAATTGTGCTTTGTGAAATGATTACAAATGAATAAATGAACCCCTTACTTGAATAAGTCAAATCAACATGCTTGCCTCGGAAATAAACAGATAAAAGAACTTGCATAGTGTTAGTGTACCCTTGTAAACATCAAGGATGGTGTAAAGGCCAATGAAAAGATGTTGAATTTCTCTCTTGAAAACTGTGTTGTCTGTATTAAGTTTTTCAACTTGGAATTTTCCATCAGGAAATATGAACCAAGGACCTTTAAATTAGTACTTTTTTTACCAGGAGAGTTATACATGTAGGAAACTTGTATTAGCTAGTTCATTGAACTGGATTTGATTATTTCTGAGTATGTATTTGCAGGGGTGTCTCCTTTTAACCAGAAGAATAAATGTTAAAAAGTAACTTTTCATGTTTCGACCCGTGCAAGTCATGCTAACTTGGGTTTATGATGATTAACCTTTTTATTTTCTGTGGCTACTAAAAGTAACTTGAGCTTCCATAAAGTTTTTACAACAAAGCTGTAAACTTCATTTCTTATGACGTTGAGTGGTGGCTAAGCAACGAAATAATATCAAATGTATTAATTGATACAATGAATGATAAATGGAGTCTGTATAAAAAATCATTAAACATGTGCTGCAGAATTTCACCTCTACAGGATATTTTTTTCTTATGTTCAAGTTTTGCAGCAGAGGCAATCTATTTTGTTAGGGTTTTTTTTTAAGATCCAGTTAACTATTTTGGTCTGCTTTATTACTTGGTAAGGAAGTAAATTGCACTAATAGTTAATTTTTAATTTATCTATAATTAATAGTTAATTGTCACACATACTCACCTTTTTGGCTTTTAACAAATTAATAACTGCTATAAAATAAAATTCTTCTAATACATGTCAAAATAAATTTTAAAAAAAGACTATTTTCAATTGGCAAAGCTGAAATGAAAATCAAAGACAACAGTTTCTGTGTGGCCATTAACAATGCATTTATTTACTTTCTGGAACTAAGGTGAATCATGTGACCACTTATTTCCATGAAGTAAAATCCTGTATTGTTAGCTCATGCAGTAACTTTTGCCTTTCATTTTCTTTCAGATTAAAGCATGGGCACCACTGCAAGCTTCTCTCCAGAGAATCTTCTGCAGCGAAACCTTGTGGCCTTTGCTTGCTGTTTTACTGTATGCTTTTCTCAATCCTGGGACGGTTTTTTTGTCTGTTTTTGTGGCCTTGCTTTGCCTGGCTATTTTATGGGTTTTCAAATAATTATGGTAAAAGGCAGTGGTGTTTTTCTCTGTAGCATAAAACTTTGTCTATTGCAATCTTTTGAGATGTGATAAAATAAATTAGAGTTAGTTGTTGATATTTAGAATACAGCATTTGAAATGCAAAACTTAACACCTTTCAGAAAGTTGACAGCACAGCTGAAATTAGCAATGAAAACCAGTATTTATGTAGACCTTATTTATAGCGAGCAATACTAGATGTACTTGCATGTAAACTTAGAAGCTCTATCAGGAATTTGGATTAATGCTGTTCTCATGTAATTAATCTCTTCATCTGCCATTCCTTAACAAGTTTGAAAAGAATACTTGGAACATTTTAACTCAACTAACAGCAATAAGGGTGACAAGAATCATCAACATTTTGTGTGCCACATTGTTTTGAAGATAATCAATGTGATAACTGATATCATGTTTAAAAATTACTTCAAGTTTAAAGTGAACTTTGTTCCCCTAATTGACTTCATTGTAGTTTTGTATTCCACATTCAGTGACCTTTAAATGTGGAACAGACATTCTTGAGTTGAGTGAAACTTACATTTTTTGATTTATTGGATTTGGTAAAACTGAATTAGGAGGTTAAACTAATTTATTCAAGATTACATGTCACACTGTAGCATAGCTTAAATATCGATTTCATCTTTTGAAGTGTTTTCTGCAAAAGAATGTAAGCAAGTGTCAATGTTGTTAGCCACTCCCCAATTTTATTTTCACACTTATCTGAGACAGTTAAAAAGATATTCTAACTAACCATAAAACTGCCAAAAAATTGGATTTGGCTGGACCCAAACCAATTGGCAATTGACAGGGAAAGACTTGAATGAGGGTCAACAGAGAACTAATGCAGTGAGTAGTGAAGTTGATGGCTTGAACCAGCAAATATGAGATGACAAATCTAGTACTGCATCCTCTATGATATTAATTGACAGAGAATTTTGTGGATATTGTATTTACCATTGGGACACCTTGAAATTAAGGTACAATTTTTTGATGAAGGACTTATCTTTTTGTGAGTAAGTTTTGTATATCTTTTTACAATGCTAGATTTCAATTTGAGGATTACTCAACTATCATCTGACATAACTCAAAAGAGAACATATCATATGATTAATAAATAAATTATTGATATATAATATAATTTAATTTAATTATAGTGCATGCTAAGCAATTGATGAAGTAAAAAGTTATGATCAAACTTAGCAACAGTGAACACTTGATATGTTTTCTGGAATATTTTGTTATTAACAAGCACATTGAATGTCAGCACACATGTGCAAAAGACAAATATGAAAAATGAAAAACTAATTACCCGGCTTGTTACTTACATTTTTGATGTGGAAGACATCATGGCATTGTGGTTAGTGAGCTGGACCCCAGGTTGAGAGGTGCACATTTAAGACCTGTCCTGGTCAATTCATGGGCAGAACACTTAACTCTCAAAGTGTCTCTCTCTCTCCACCCAGTAGTAACAATTGCTTAAGGGGGGGAGGGGGTAACCTTGTGATGGACTGACACCCCATCCAGAGGGGAATGGTGATGCATCTAGTCACTTCATATGAAGGAAAACAGGATAGTCTTGGGCTAGGAGGGCTACTATGCTCCAGTACAAGCTTAACCTTTCACCTTTTCTCACTTTGGATGTTCTTATTCTTGAAAAAAATATTTTGCCAGAGATATGTTTTTAGTGTTCACTGTTGTTTGAGTTTGATATGATAGATTGATCTATAAAAGGCTTTGGGACAAGAAGTAAAATGTTTAGACAAAGGCTCCCCAAGTACATACCATCAAGGAATTTCTACCCTGTTTTATCTCTTTTTTTTTCTGTTTCTTTATTTAACATAGGGTATGTTTTCTTTCAAGGATAATCAGAAAAAAATGTATTTTAAGAGTTTAACACTCTGGATCTCTAAAATCTAACATTTAATTCTTATAGTAACTATTTTTATTAACTTAAAAACTTTCCTTGAAATTTGTAGTCAATATTTTTCTTTCTGCCTTTCCTCTGGAAATATTTGTATTAAAACTATAGTAGATAATCACCAATGTATAGAATTTAAAGGTTGTGTTTTCATTAATGTATTCATTATTGTTATTTAAGAACTTGTATGGTAAATATTATAAACTAATTAATTTATTACATTTAGCTGTACTGTAATTTATTTGAAGATAAGGAAAAAATATTTTTCTTTTGATTATAATACAGAATAGAGCTATTAAGTTATAAGTAAGAAATTAATCAAAGGCAAAAAAATTATATGTGTCATGTTAAGTTGTATATTTTGCAAAGTTATTATATTTGATGAAAATTATTTCGCAAGATTTAGATGTTTGTGCATGACATTGGTTGATGTCACAACAAGACAGGAGTTTTTTCTTCACCCTGTATTCATGAAAAAATGAATAACAACGATTTTTTTTGGAAAGAAACTTTAAGTTTGTATTTGGAGTGAAAGGAAGATTTAAATTACATGCTGAAACTTCAGGCTTCTGTAGCTGCCATTTGTAGAGATGTTTGTAGAGATAACAAGAGAGATCATTGCGAGGCTGTTTTATAGTGAGGTTAATAGAAGGGGGTGTAATCAGTAAATGCTGTTGTAGAATTCAAAAGTAAAGATAAATTGATAATCAAATGTTTTATTGACTGATGTTTTGTATTTTAGCTCTGCTAATGAAGAATATGAAAAAGTCTTTCCAGTAATTGTTAGGATTTGAGTTACAGTGTGATTACTATAATAATTTCTTGATTTAAGTTCAAGGAACATTCAATAGGAACATCATTTAAACACCTGGATTTTTTTTTCCACTTAAAATTGCTGATAGCTTCTGTAGACTAGCAGGGTAATTTTACATAAGATCTTACCACAGGAGGTTTTTTAAAATCCTATTTGAGATGATGTTTGTAGAATCTTACCTTAGATGAGCCCTTAACTCTTAGAACTGATTAAGATGTAACTTCTCCCTATAAAATCTATACATTATCCAGCAAACAGGTAACATGAATACTCAAACTCATCAGGGAGAAGTTGTTATCTTGATTTATCACCAAATTCTTGTAACTAATAAACAAGTACATGTCTAGCAACTGGAGGGGAGAATTAAATATCAGATCTTGGGGGTCAAAGTACACACCCTGTGATTTTTTTTTAAAAAAAGCCATTAACCCTTTAACTCCCATAAGTGACCAAGACAGAATTTTTCCTTACAACATCAGTATAATATCAACCAGATAAGAAATGAGAATTAAAAAAATATCAATTTGAGGATAATAAGTTGATCCAAAACTAAATTCTCTGAACTTACATCATAAGAAATGTATGGTGGACAGTAAAGAGAATTCCAAATTGATCAGTGAGCTGAAGGGTTAATTAACTTCATACATTTGTTTGAAGTCAACATTGAAATTAAAATTAGCATTTATCCCCTGAATAACTTTACCCTGAAATATTCTCTAATTTTGGGTGGTTTGTTTTTGAGTTAGTTTCAGTGGCCAAGTTATGTCAGATTCTGGGTCAAGTTGTTCAAAATAGGAATGATCTAATTTGGAACTGAGAGGCCCAGCCTAGTTTTACAGCTTTGCTGATCATTTAACTATAGGTCTGTTTCCCTCAATTAGTCTTGCACAAACATGTCAACTCAGTTTGTTCACATACCTACTGCAATGATTTTGATTTAGCATCTGGGGATTTACTTTTGGTACCTCATTGGAGGGCACTATTGAAACAGGGCACTTATTCGGGACATGGCACATATTTTTCTTTGAGAAACAGCAGAATGTGAAACAAAGTGTTGATGTCTATTTAAATGAGGATAAAAAAGGCTGGAAAATGGAATTGTTGTCCTTGCATCCTTCCTTGCTAGAATGACTAGTTAAGCAATCATCATAAAATTTTTATAACGAGATCTTTGGTTTGAAGGAACTGTGCACTCAGGGCGATATGATAGTTAAGAGACTGAGATGAAGATGACTTTTTCATTGTCAGGCTTTAAGTGAGCAATTAAAGGAAGATGGACCATGATTGATGTCAGTGTACATGTACTCCAACTGTGCTATTACTGAAAAAGAATAGGGGCATTTATTGGAATAGGGATGCTTTTTGGTATTGGGATGCTTTTGGATTGAGAGTGCATACTCTGTAGGGGAGCTTATTAGAATAGGGGCACTTATCAACAGAAACAAATATGAGGGGGGCACCTATTAGAGAGAGGGCACCTATGTTTGATGATGATGATGATGTTTGTTATAGCTCTTTACAACACAAAAATCAAAATTAAGTATAACTTCCAATTCTGAATTATCATCAACCACTTTTTGAGGAAAATTACAACTGGGTTTTAATTTTTCTTCCCCAATTTCATAAATTTTGAAACATTTATTTCTGTTTGTGTAAGTGCACCACCACATGAACTGCTGGGTCACCCATCACAATTAATATTTATTTGATTTCAATCAGGAATTCTTACAAATTGAAGCTGAGCAAAGGCGAAAGAAGGAAGAAGAGGAAAGGCAGGTTGAGGAACGAAGAAGTGCTGCAAGGAAGCTGCAGACACAACATGAAGAAATACAACAACAACGACAAGCAGAGGTCAGGAGGAAAATGGAATCCAAGAATGCAACTCCAGACCAGAAGTGAGAATTATGACTGATGATTTTTTTCAGTGAAGGCTACTTTGGTTATGTTGTAGAACCTTTGTGCTCTTTTGATGGTTACAAGCTGGAGTTGAAAATTCTTTTGATTCAGTTGATACTGAATTTTGAGATTACTTCGGGAAGCAATTACAGTAAGAATGACCAGCTAGCGCATTCATGTACAAACGATGATCCTTAACCCCTAAACTCTCGTAAGTGACCAAGACAGTACAACATCAAGCAAACAAGTGATGGAAATTTAAAAAATATAAACTAAAGGATTATTAGTTGATCTAATACCAAGTTCTCCATACTCACATCTTAATAATTGTATGGTGATCATTAAGGAGAATTAATAAGTGTATCTTGGGAGTGATATGCCACTTCATACGTTTGTTTATCTTTTTTTTTTCCTTTTTCTTAACCCTTTAACTCCCAGAAGTGATTAACCTCTAACTTTTCCCTGCAATGTCCATTCATTATCCATCAAACGGGTAACGAGAATACCCAAACATATCAAATAGAAGTTGTTGTTTTGATCTAACACCAAATTCTTGTAACTAATTTAAAAGAAAATATGTAGTAGCTGGAGGGGAGAATTGACAATCAGATCTGGGAGTTAAAGCATTAAGAAAATAGACAACACTTATAACTATTTAATAACAATTAATGGAATTCAGTTTGAGACATTTATACTTGAATAAAGTAATTGGAAAAGTTTTAATGAAAGACCAACAATAACGATGCAAATTACAACGTGTATTGTAATTTGTTTGTTTACAAATTTGTGAATCTTTCATTGATTTACAGTTTAATGAATGGAAAGGATTTATTTGTGTATTCTTGTTTTCTCTCAAGAAAACTCTCCTCATCTTCATTTGGTGGTAGAGATAGTGCAAAGCCTGCTGTTGCGAATCATCCAACTTACAAGGTGTTGAGTCGTTCAGGTTCAGCAAAAGAAGCAAGGTAAATAGAGTGGTAGACTAAGAGAAAATGAAGGAGAGAGAGGGGAGGTGTAGGATTTAAATACAGCAATTTCACCTAACCCTTAAACCACTTGACCCGTTCAGGTTCAGCAAAAGAAGCAAGTTAAATAAAGTGGTAGACCAAGAGAAAATGAAGGAGAGAGAGAGGGGGAAGGTGTAGGATTCAAATACAGCAAACTCACCCAACCCTTTAACCACTTAGAGTGACCAGCATCTAATTTCTCCTCAGAGTCATACTGCCGAATCGTTCATCTATAGTCACTCATTCTTCCTTTGATAGTTTCTTTTTTAACCTCATGCGTTGTATTCATGAACTTTTGGCTCGGATGTGCCACGTCATGACACTGATTAATAGACTGGTTGATCAATTGAGTTAATTAATTTACTTTTCGTCGACTTTTTAGTACCCCTGCAATGGAATCGCCTGATGTTGCATGGAACAGACAGGTAAGGAATCATTCCTGAGACAAGTCATTCTGCTTTCCTTACTCTACTCAGGCCACATGATTTAAGTAACAACCGTTTGTCTGGGAAAGGAAAACAATGCCTTTGAAAAGTCAGGAATCACGCGCTAATTTCGTACACAGTAACTGGGACGTAAAACCTGACGAAACACATTTATTAATTCGAGCTGAATTAGTGGTCATGAATTTTTAAAAAAGATTGATTCTCTATTCAGGAGGAAGAGCTCCGAGCACGCAAAAGAGAGCAGCTTATGCAACAGAGCAGAAGAGAGGCTCAACTTTCCAGGTTGAGATTTGAAGAAGAACGTATGAAGGTAAGAGATTCAATTTTCTAGATTTAGCTATTTCATCGCCAAAGTTATTAACTTAGGATCGCTGTTTGATTAGGCTCAATGTCGAGTGGGGAGGGAAGGGGGCGCGCGGGCTCATGTCCTTAATAACGGCTTTTAATTGAACTCACTGTTGAATTAAACACTAAGGGCCGGTTGTTTGAACAAAGTTTAGCCGTTGTATAACTAAACTGCGTCCTAAAACAATCCTCAAGTGTTGTTAGTTCAAGGATGAAGAAAACTTTAAACTGTAGTGACTATTTTACCGTTAATTGCAGTAATGCGAGGTAGGTGTAGATTATCATGATCTGCGCATGTTCCAGATATTTCCAAGGAGATTTACACAGCTCTTTCAATTAAGTTTGAATTGCATTGCAGCGTTCTTCCAACCTTTCAAGAGACGGCTCAAGCAAATCGGTAAGACGCTAGTTTTCTCTTAATAATTTTAAATAAACAAATTGTTCTTCTTGACATAGCTGTATCATTTGAATACTAGCACGTATCACTTATTATAAACAAGAACAAAGCTTTCAATGCAGCATATATAAACAAATTTAAACCTGTGAGTGCTATCAAAATTCTTGGTTGGTAAGCCATAAACAAGGTTATCGGGGTAGATGTGTAAGAGTTTGCTCTAAAGGTCCTTTATCGAAGCAAAGACCTCAAGATACTTTCGCTTGCATTTGCCACAGCATAGCCAATGGGTCTCATCCTCGGGGCCTCTGTGGCCACTCAGTGAATGGAGTGCGTGGGCAATGTACAGATAGTTAGGGTTGGAGGGAGCTTATGCACGATGTTGCTTCAAAAACGGGGTCACGATAGGGGAATAAAGGGCAATCACGCCCGTAAAAAGTTATCCCAGCACTTTTGGCTTAATCCCAGGGATGCGAGCGGCCTATTACTAGCACTCATGCACACAACTTTCTGTAAGATGATAGAAGCTTAAGGAAGTTTTGAGGTGTTAAAAAGTGATTGGGGAACTCAGATGGTGAACACCCACTTCAAGTTTTGTGGAGGAGGTGGCTCTCTAATAGACGTGTCCATTAGGAGAGATTACACAATAATTTACCATCAAACAATTTGTTGTTTGATTCATTTTATAGAGATTTAGTGGCAAAAGCAGTGCTGCAACTGTTTCTTTTAACGGTAGTGAAGCACCTTCCCAAAATGATGGCGGTGTGCAAGATAGAGAGGCATGGGAGGTAAGACACTGTACAGAAGGGGATGTGATACTGTCTCGTCTCCCTTGATTCCTCTCCGCCCCTTTCCCTTCCCCTCTTTCCCCCCCCCCCCTCCACCTGTCAAAGAGCTGTCGGTATTGATCTTTAAACGTACACAATCATCAGATGTGCACGAAATTCGTTGCAAATTATGTTATGAAAATGTAAGATATATTGAAAGTGATGTTTGCACGGAGTCAGTAGCTTTGGGTTGTTTTCTATATTGGAGCCTCGTTATTAGCGTCTGGGTACAAGCCTTTCTTCACCCGCTTGTTCCACTCTAAGGATGTTTCCATCACCGTGTGATTTCTCGGTATTTGTTTATTTTCTGCGGCTTTTGACTTGGATGAAAAAAGTTTAGTTGACACGGGATGGAAACAACGTTTAGGTCTGAGTCTCCCAGTAGAATTAGCACTTCAGGCTTTACTGCTAAGCTACGAAGGAAGTCGTTCGCAAGTGACATGCTTGGTCTACGACAAAGCTCAATATTTTTCCTCTTTCTTTATGTATTTACAAAAGTCCTTTTTTTTTCAGGAACTGGTTTATACAAATATTCATACAAGACAGAAAGCACCTCAGGTCCGATCGTGTGAGTATGGGGGAAATCCAACTCCACCACTGGTCACAGGGGTTGTTGACGAAAAATTCCGTGATTCTAGAGCTCACGTAAAAATCAGGCCGTACTGTCCTGTGAGAATTCCCGTAATCCATTTTTGATATTTCTCTATTTTCAGTACCAGCGACCTTCAGAGACCAAAACAATCCGAATTTTACCATAAAGCGAATGTACGACAGTGCACGAGAGGAATTTGAACAACTGGAAAGACTTAGAGAGGTGTGTTGTGTTCTAATTCCTCATATTTTCTTCTGTCCTCTTGTAATATGGCGCTACATGAAAAATTCTAACTAAACTCTACGGAACCCCTATTGCAGAAGGTTCTCGCATGTAAGGTTTTTAAGCAGTTTTCAACTGTTGTCGGAAAAACCAAAACCAAAGTAATCCTTGCGACCAATCGGAAGGAATGGTTATATTAACATTGGTCAGTGAAAACTCAAGTGAAAACAAGCAAAGTGCTTGAAACGCGGGAAAACGCAGGCGTCTAAGTCGTGATCGTGTTTAGTTGTACACCTGATTGGTTGAGAGCATGGTGTGAGTTTTCTGGACCAATCACAGAGCAAAGTTGATTAAAACCCTAAGCAAGGTAATCTAGTTTACTTTTGACACTCAGTTAAAAATTACTCGATGGTAGCAAAGCTATTTCAGTGAACGGCTGAGAAGGGACCACATACAACATGGCTGTCAGTTAACATTACTTCCTCTTTCAACTATTCCAGGGTATCGAGAGCCGCCTCAAGGTGGCATTACCAGATGATCTGCCTGCATCATTGGCCGATGGAGTTGTTCTGTGCCACCTCATAAATCACATAAGAAAAGGGCTGATTCCCAGCATCCATATTCCTTCGGCAGGAGTGGTAAGACTAGATCTGAGTCACGTTAAACCATCAGTATGCGTATTCTCCATACTGTTCTCTACACATTTAATAAGGTGCCGATAAGGAGAATTTGTGTAATAATTAAGAGCCTCTTTAGTTTGTGATCATTTCCTTTATTCTCGTGACCTTAATGTGTGATTCAGGGGTGATATTGTGAGGAGAATTTAGATGTAGTCACTCTAAAGGGTTTAAAGAGCACATTTCGAATGAGTTTTGTGACACCAAAATCAAAGTTGTCACAACGGCAAATCGAAGGACACGAAAATGCCATCAGTAACCGTAGAGAACACCCTATTTTTGTCTTTTCTGTTGGAGGGGCCCATGATTTATGAAATTGTGTGGAGGAGTTACGAAATAATCACTTAATTGATTATTACACTCTTTTTTTTTTTTGCCTCGTAGCCCAAACTTACAATGCCAAAATGTCAGAAAAATGTGGATTATTTCCTCGAAGCGTGTAGAAAGCTTGGGGTAGACAAGGTAATGCACATTAACGGGGATTTTTACACGTATTAGCAGAATGCTTTTGTTGTGTTTGTGAGTTACTCATTGGCATATTAGACAAACGCAACCACCAAGTACGCTTGTTTTCCGTTGTATTATTTATAATTCAAACTGAATGCTCATTGTAAAATGGAAACTACATTTTGTCCTGGGAAAGCAATGACAATAACAATAACATGAGCATCAAAATAGCAATGCAGCCAATTATCTTTTGCAGTTTGTTAGTGTAAGAAGGTTAACGAAAAAGTTTAAGGATTAAACATTCAAAAGTGTTACCAGATTGCACGATGCGCAAAACTAGCTTGAATTATAAAGAATTTCCACTACTGACTTGAGCAGGCTGTGGTAAGCTCTGTGACAAACACGGCGAATCCTGTGATTGTCGAGTCCGTGAGCAGAGCGAGCGCGCGAGAGGTCTGGCACAAAAATTTCTAGGCCACCTAAAGGCGTATCGTGGGCTTTGCTACCGTACCTGCTGCACTAATTAGTAGATTTGTGACCTACGTGTCTAAGACCAAACTTACTTCTGTTCACACAAAATCATACCAAGCAATCTGAAGCCATTCAAGTCGACAACAACGATTCATTTTATTCTTCCTTTTCGTTTTGTAGGAAAAACTATGTACACCATCGGATATTCTCGAGGAGAAGAGTCCGTTACGTGTTTGCCAGACGGTAGAATCTCTATTAGAACACGCTGACGGAGGGGTATAACATCACCCAGTGAAACAAGAATTTTGGTGATTCAAAATCTTGAGAATTGACTTGCAGAGCTGCTCCAGTCGTTTCTTAATTCATTTCCCCAAAAATATTTAAAGGAAAACCCGTCCAATTTGTTGCTGTATTGCAAGCAACGTTGGAAAGACATTCATTACTGATAATTGTACAGGAAATTTTCCGATCGTATTCGGTAGGCTGTGAACAAAACGAAACGATCGGATTGAATCACCTTTGTACCGTAGAGTTAATTGAAAAATGAACCATAGAGTTCCCAATCGTTGTTGTAGGTGCCTTTCTAATATACTGCTTTGAATTGCATTCCTGATTTGTCTGCAAAACGTCTAACAGTTGTGTTAAGATTGTTGGATTAGAGACACATTTGTCCTTATTCTCCAAGACTCTTGAGAAGCTATAAGGAAGCCTTTGTTTATGAATAACGCTACACGTGTATGAAATTGTGGAAAAGCCAGTTGATTATAATCAAACGCCCTCTCTCTTTCTTGTAAAGGCATTTTGTGTATCGCGCATCCTCTCTGCGTGTAGTTTACCTTTCTCTCTTTTTTTAAGAACTTATCAGGTGTACTGTTATGGCTAGTCTTATATCGAATCTAACAATGGCATTCCTCTTGTAAAATAAGTAGAAATCAAATCAAATAATCATGGAGACAGAATCTTGCACTACCTTTGGGAATGCTTAACTCACCCCACTCCCGTTTAAAAATTCCCCACCCCCTCCCCCTTTTATAACTTCCTCTTTTATAGTACAAAATATTGTGAAGAAAATCACCGTGCATATCTTGACAAAGTCTTGCCATGATTCTACATTCAAGATGACAGCCAAAAATTATCCTTTCGTTGTCTTTTTTGTTTTCTAAAAACTCTCTTCGTTAACACTTCCCTTGAAGGCAATGCGTCAAAATCGAAGTGGTAAAGAAAGCAAACGGTTAGATTTTTACAGCGTTTAAAACGCTTTTAACTGGTGGTGTGGCGATGTTTGGATGCAAGTTAAAAAAATATTTGACCGTTTATTAAATTAATTGTAAAATAAATTGAGAAATAATTTTGTGGAAAACAGGTAACACAGCACTAATGTATTAGAATAGTTTGAAGTACCATGTCTTCCTGAATTCCAAGAGGGTTATAACACTGTAAGAATTTTGAGGCCCCAGCTCACATACTGTACAATTTGAAGTTAAGGCACTCAGTTCCAATTTTGTTATCTCTTTTGCCCAATCTGCATTGAGGAAGACGCGGTAAAGGGATAAGTAAATATTGAAGCCAAATATTGATATACTACTCAAAATTCAACTACAACATAGATCAAAGAATCATCACCCAATAATTAAAAATTGTTTTCTTAAATGTAACCTACCGTAAACTTCTGTAGTCCGGTCAATATTTTTTACAATTTTGGGAAATAATTGTTGATATTAAATCCAAGGAAAAATAAAGTTGTGATTCTGTCTTTCTTGCGCTTAGTTAGGAATCTTGCCAATCTTTGGGAGGTTGTTTTGCTTTGTTTAGTTTTATGGGCAGAAACTTTGCTTATCATGGAAGAAAGAGCAAATCGAAATATGTAATGCACTGTTACCTGGTGACACATGTGGGCAGTACATCTACTCAACCTATTCCACCTATTCTGGCAAGCATTGATAGTGTTAGCTTACATGAAAAGCACTCGAAGAAGTAACAAGGAAGAGGGGAGGGGAAGAATGCCCACATTTGAAAAATCTTCACAGACAGTAGTGTGAGGCCTTAGAGGCAAGGGTAGACCACAGGTTATTAGCTTATAATAAAATCCCCAGTGCCTGTACTATTCCACTACCTGACAAAACTGGGATGTTTCACACCACTGAAAATGCTTTGTTGCGACTGATGCATAAAAATGTAAGAAACAAGAATCAATAGGAAACTGAATTTATTTACTCCAAATTATCCACATCAATGAGCAGGTTCTTCACTGCCCTTTGTTGCTCTGGTGTAAATTAGCTGTGAGTGATGTTTAGACACCTCTTTGATCAGGCCCTTAGAGAGCAGTTCCTGCAATCCACGGCGAGCAAGTGAGCCTCGGATCTTCAGCCTTTCAGACACAACAGAAGGAGTGATCAGCCTGTAGCTGGGGACTTCTTTGTACAGCTTATCATATGTGGCTTTGTCAAAGAGGACCAAGTTGTTCAGTTTGTCCCTGACTTTTCCCTTGGACCACTTCTGCAGGTTTCAAAGAAAACAAACTGTTAAGTTTATTCATCCTTCAACTCCCAGAAATGATAAACATCTCTCTAAAATATTCATACATTATCCTGCAAACAGGTAATAAAAACACTAAAACTTATCAGATAGAAGTTATCTTCATCTAAGACCAATTCTCATAACTAATTTACTGTGAAATGTGTACCAGCTAAAGAGGAGAATAATTCTTGACTTGAATTATTGACGATCAGATCTTGCAAGTTAAAATGTTTATCTATCATGGAGAACTGGACCAACTAACTTGAAGCATGATCATTCTGTGGATTGTAACAACTGAAGCGTAAACCCCAAACAGGCAATTGCATCCATGAATACTATCCTTGACAGTGTGCATGAAACCAGTAATGATTTTCATGGCAATAAAACACAGTCTAGACAACATAACTGCACTTCTGAACCATCCAGTCTGTCAACCCTTTACACTTTACTGTCAGTATGCAAGTTCTTCCTAATATTCCCTGTACAATGTAGGGGGGGGGGGGGTAGTGTTGGCAATGTTGCAGTACACAATTTACTTTATCTAAGAGCCTAAATTAATTTCCTCTGTAAATATCACAGCCAAAAATGAAGCAAAGAAAACACAACTAGACCTTCTTCTTAGCTTTTCCACCACCACCTGATGGCTTATCTTTAGGTTTTGAGGACGACTGCTTAGTATCCTTCTTGGGTGGCTGTAGAGGAAAGAAAAAGACCAGACATTCTGTTGACTGCAGTCATTGATCATTGTGATAGTAGTAGTAATGTGGCAATGTCATGCAGACATTTCTCAACCTGAGGCACCACAAACACATACAGCTGTATAAGCATTGTTAGTGCTCACCACTTTGCATAATCAGTAAAAGATCAGTGACAAATCTACCAAAGTCCACATAATGTAAAAATTATGCAGTTTGGTGGGATTTTTGTCAGGATAAAAAGCAAAACTACTGCTCTGTAAACAAGATGCATATGTTGGGCTTCTGTATGTCATGATGCACATCCAAATCAAATTTTAAATGACTGGCAATTATTTGGAAACCACTCTGATCCAGACAACACTTCTTTACGTTTCTGATCAGAATGGGCAACTAACAAACGAAGAGCCACAGAAATAAATCTCGATAGCATGATATGACGAACACAGAATAACAAAGGAGGTAACAATTTGATTCAATGAGAGGTAAAAGAACCGGCCCTGTACGCCTTGGCTTCCGCTGATGCTTCTTTGCAACATATCATTCGTCTGTCTACTTTATCCTCCTTACTTGTACGCGAAGTTTTAATTCCATATTAAAAGGGCATAGACAAGAACTAAGTTAATTTATCACTGGAAAACCTTAAAATGCTACTTTAAGAGAAATTACAGTAAACATCTTTCTCGATTAAACCAAGTTTTCGTATCTTTTAAACATTTCACATTTGTTTTTGCTATCATTTAAACCCAAAATTCACTAATATGTCATTTCTGAACCTTTCAGTGACTTAAAAAACTAATTTTACTTCAATTAAATTCCTATAACCATTATAATTGCCTACAGATCGCCTAAAAAACTTAAATAAAACGGGACCATTCTACACACCATGATCGCAGTTCACAGCAAAAATGGAAGAGAATGAAGCACACATGCGAGACACAGAAAACACTGGAGGGGGGTCTTGGTATTGTACGTACGGCCAATAATGTAACCCCTCTGTAGTGGAAACTGCTGACAATGTTAACTGTGGATTCGAATATGGCGGACGAAGGGTTTCCGCGAAATCGCTAAACGTGATTTCGAAAGGCGATTTATTTTGACAATGTCCCGAAAAAAGGTAAAATTTTTTTTAGATAATGAAATTAGAGTTATAGTAATCTTTTTGAATACTTGTGGTGAAAATTTGAAAGCAGGAAATAAAACTACAACAACGCGTGAAAATTTCACCAAAATGCCACCGTCCCTTTAATTTCAGCTGTTTCAGCAATATTCGTCCCGTGTTTTCCAAGAACTTTTTTGCCTTTTGTATGTGCATTACGAGTTCTTCCGATCTTTTCTTCTTCAAAATAGATAGTATAACTGTTAAATTTCCACCAAGCTCAGCCACAACATAAATAAAAGTACACGTTATGAATTTTCGCCGTAGAACTAGTATATTACACAGTTCCTTTACCTTACTACGTGCGGGGTTTAATTTTTTTTTCGAAAAATTTTCAAACTAAATTTATTATTTTAAGTATTAGTATAACTATCATTATCAGTATCACCATTGTTTATTTTTCGTCATTTATATCTTATGTAGAGAGACAAGGAACCTGAGGGACTACCTCTGGATTTGCGTGTCAGGAAGACTGTTAATCCTGTGACAAAGATTTTTGAAGAAATTCCAGAGTTGGTATGTAACTTGAGAGAGAGGCAAAGTGGGTTTAACCATGGAACTGCATAGATTTTTCTGCTTTTTTGACAGGATGAGGTGTCACACAAACTACTGTATTGATATTGTAGGGAGAAATTCTGTCTTGGCCACTCATGGCAGCTGAAGGGTTAAAGTTAATTGGTTCTTATTCACAGACTGTTTTTTTTTTGTTTACTAGAGTCCAGTGTGGATTGAGGATGTGCAATTTGTTCCTTACTCCCCTCCCCCTGTGCAGCCCTCATCTGCTTCTCCCTTGGATCATGTTGGAATGGAACAGTGGATTGAGAGAATGTCATTTATCAGTGAAGACTTAAAATGGCTTCTGAGCCTTCCACATAACAAATTTTGGTGTCAGGTTAAATTTCATTACTGTTGATTATGCTTGAAATTGATATTATGTGTCTGCAACTTGATTTATGGTAAAAATTGATGCTTCTTTATTCTCTTTTAGGTAATATTTGATGAATCATTACAACAATGCTTGGATTCATACCTCAAATGTGCACCAAGGTGAAGATTTCAAAATAAATTATTATCTGTGGTGATTTCTGTTACCATCCAGTTGCAGACAGAAGACCATAGAGCAACACTTTTATTTGTTTTAATTTGCACTGTGTACATATACAACAAAACTCTTTTAACTATTTTTGTAACAAATATTCCTAAGCTGATATAATAACAGCATTGATTGAGAATGATATGATGAGGCATCTTCATTTGTCTCTTGGTAACAAGCTGAAATATGACCTTAAATGATACCAATATTTGTCAAAGCAGTTTTTTTTTCTGGGATTGTACTTGTTAGAGTAAAAGAATTATCATCCCAAAGTGAAGGGCTGGAGTTTGGTTGTTTGATATTTCAGCAGTTCGAAGAAACAGGGATTAAATATTAATTAGGTGTGATCTTGTGTCCTGCTCTAAGGTTGTAGCAAGAGGGAGCATTGTTGTGGCTTTATTATTATTATTTAGCAATAATGAATTTGTTTTTGTTTCTTTCTGCTGCCAGAAATTTTGATGCACTATCAGTCTTGCCATCAGAGGCAGCCTCTCTTCATGAAGGTATTCACAAAAGGGTGTTCATGACATACCTGAGGATGTCAACTCACAAAGAATCCAAGGTATATTTAAATAGGATATTAATCATTAATTTAGATTATGTTGCAACACTTTATATTGAGGGTTTTAGGCCTTACCTGGGTTTAACAATGAAACAGACAAAAAAACCTTTTGTTTATGCTTAATCAACAATGCTTGTCACCATATGTCATCAATAACAACAGTTTCCTTGGTATGCATAAATATTAACTTCTTTCTGATGGAGCACAAGGGCTGTACTGGGGAATATTGGCCAAAGGTCTGGGCAGTATGGACCAAGTGCAGTAAGGTCTGTACAAAAAGCACTGAGGGCCAATATTATTCTATACAGCTTGAGCAAGGGAGGGTAGTAAGTAGTTAACCCTTTCACTCCCAAGATCTAAATTCTCCTTACTATCTGCCATACAATTCTTATGATGTTAGTTCAGAGAATTTGGTATTGGATCAACTAATAATCCCATGATTGATATTCTTCTCTATTCTCATCACCTGCCTGCTTGATATTGTATTGATATTGTATGGAGAAATTCTGTCTTAGTCACTTGTGGGAGTGAAAGGGTAAACTGTATGGCACTTAAATCAAACTTGTTTATTTTGAATTTGCTGGCTATCACAAATAAAAATACATGGCTAATGACTGTTTCCATGGAAACAGTCTGTAAGGAAAAATCCCAGCCAAGTAAGAACCAATCAGAGTGCCTGGATTTACCTTAGGAATACCTTGCTATTGAATAATGCATGTTAGAAACTCTGCAAGAGCATAAAAGAGGGAGTCCTCGATATGTCCTTAACCCAGTCCAGATGTAAAGATTTGTCTATATCTGCTTAAATCAAAAGAGTTTGAACTGTCTCACTGTATGCTGATTTTTCAACTGTTTGGTTTCCTGGCAGGAGAACTTCTTCACCCAGAGCACATTTGGAGATATTCTATATGAAAATTTTTTATTTGATATTCCCAAAATGATGGACATATGTGTTCTTTATGGAGGGGAGAGCAGTGCTAACACTCCACTTCTCAGAAAAATGCTGGAAAATATTTTCTCTAAACAACCAAAGTAAGATGCATTTGAAGTTTTGCATAAGTTTGAATTGCTATGAATTATTAGTATTATTCTTTCTGATATTTCCCACTCTCATAGGTCTTTGGAAAATCAGTGGTTCCTTAAGCATATTTGAAAATAATAATTTATAGAATAAAGGAGCAGGTTCTGGTTCCATTCTTTGGATGATAGTTTTATAATATTATGTTTGAAACTTTGGAAACCCCCATCTTGAAGGAAAACAGTGCAGCTTTCTGGGCCCATTAAGTTGCTGGGACCATAGAGAAATGCACACTAGGGCTGTATGATTTTCTTTTGGACTTGTTCCCCAATTGATACAAGTTGCACACATAGGCACAAATCAATTCATTAGCAGTGCACTTTCCTTTTACTTCCCAGTATTGCATTAGTTTATAACAGCATACTTCCTATTCTTTTAAAGGTATTATGGTGATCTCAATGGAACAATCCCAACCATTTTTGAGACATTAGATGATATCTTGTCAAGGTGTGGAATCAAGCCAAAAACAGAGGACCCTTCAAATCTTCCTCAAAAACTAACGGACTCAAAGACAGAACAAACTTCCTCCATGACTGTTCTGCAACTGGAGGATATTATTCTTTACTTAAATGATACTATAAAGACTCTGATGGCATTTGTGGAGACTTGTCCTTTAGTCTGTGAATCATTTCAAAGACAAGGATTTGTACAAAGAATAGCCATCTTCTATGAACTGTTCACCCCATATTTTAGACAACAACTCTCTGGTGCTGAATTACAGATGTTAAAGGATAAATGGAAATGTTTTAAAGTGGCACTCATCAGACTTTGCCGAGTGGTTCTTCACACCTGTTGCATTGCACCTTTACTAGAGAGGTAAGAGTTGTTTTAGAATGTAAGTAATGTTTACAGGGGTTGTTCTTTGTAGAATACAGTGTGTGGAAAAGGTATAAATTTTTTGGCAATTTTCAGGATAACTGAGGCAAGGATAAGGTCAGAGCAAAGAGAATACAAAGGGCAATTCACATATAGGAGGAGGGCAAAAAGAAAATGCTTTGCCATCTCCTCATGCTTGCTTTTTACTCACTTGAATTGGCCAAAACAAATGATGCCTCTTCTCTCAACTGTGATCTACATTGCAAGCTCTGAATTTTTTTTTTTTTTTTTTCATACAGGGAATCTAGCAGAAATGATGATCAAGTTCAAACTTGTGTTGAAGATTATTTGCAAGTGTTGACGTCTATTCTTTCTGAGAAAAGGTATTTATCTGTAATCAATTACTACATTGTATACTAACAAGATAATTTGTTTTATCAACTAAGTTGATCATGTAAATTGGCACCGTAAAGAGCTCCTAAAGCTGACGTTTGGAGCGTTAGCCTTACGTCTCACCTCTCAGACCCTTCATGTTTCAACTTGTTTATTTATGGAAATTTAAAAACGCGTTTCTCTGTTTATAATCAGATTTCTGAGCAGTTATGATTCAAGATTTAGTATAAGAGAAGACTTGAACAGAATCCAGCAGTTGACAGCCGGTGTCGATGAAACACGGATGGATTACATTTTAGATGCAGTGGAAAGTGCACGAAAGGCGTTCCCTCGTCATTTCTCGAAGAGAAAGAACACTGATGAAAATGGTTCAACTATTGGTCCAAGCACAAGCGTTGTTGATACCCCTGTGAATGGTCGCGCAGACGAATGGACAGAAGAACATGTTGCAAATGTCAATGGATTCGTCGAGGAAAAGGTATTTCCGAAAACACAGTGTGAAGAAAATGATATAGCTTTAGCTTAAACTTTTCTTCTTGTGGTAGAAAAAAAATCAAGGCACCTATTTTTAAATTTACTAATGAATGGGGAGCGAGAGGATGTTATGGGGGTAGGAAGCTGTAAGTTCTTAAAGGGGGTGTCTTACTGATTCCGGGGGCTTGTAGACAGGATAAAGGAGTGACATATTAAAAGTCATGGAGAGCCTTTATTTAATTTACAGTTTATAATTATCTTCTAAGCTGTCACCCAACTTTAGTTAATTGAGCGTTTTTCGACTGGGTGTCGTGAAACCAAAACCAAAGTAATCACAACGGCCAATCAGAAGGAAAATATCTTAAAAGCCAATGAGAACTCAAAGTTAAAACAACCAAACTGCCTAAAGCGCGGGAAAACGCGGGCGACCAAGCTGGATTTGTTTTAGTTTTGCGTCTGATTGGTTGAGGAAGTGTGGCCAGTTTTCTGGACCAATCACATAACGAAGTAAAGCAATCCCACGTTACTTTCGACATTCGGTTGAAAATTGCTCTATTGTACATAATATGCCTTTCTTTTATTGTATAGCCTGTATAAAACGTAAAACTAAGGGACTTTCCTTTTTTTTTTAGAATGAAGGAGCAACATCTAAGACAGTTAGTGATGTGGAGTTGTTCTCCATGGTAACTCACGTTCAAGATCTTCTTCCAGGACTTGGTGACGGGTTTGTAATCATGTGTTTAGAAGAATTGAACTTTGATGTGGAACAAGTTATTAACGTACTACTTGAGGATAACTTGCCTCCTTCCCTTCAAGACGCCAACAGGAGTTTGTCAAAAGAAGCGCTGATGAGAAATAAGAAAAAACCCTCGACAACGAAGTTGAAGGAGAGGCACTCTGTTTATGACAAGGATGAATTTGACGTTTTCTCAGGCAGCAAGGTCGATGTTACAAAAGTTCACAAAGGGAAAAGGCGAGATAGAACGAACCTACAGACATTGTTATCGGATAAAAGTGATATAACAGAGTCAGTGAAAGAGAGATACTCATCTTATGACGTGTTTAATGAACACAGAAGGATGGTTAACTTGTACGATGATGAGTATGACGATACGTATGATTCACAAAATGTGGGCGCCCAAGATGCCGACTCGGCAGATGAGCTTACAGTACGAAGGTTAGTTTAAAAAAAATTAGCACAGGCACTTAGGTCGAAGATGAGGCGACAAGGAAGGCTAGAAGAAAAAGAGTGGGGAGGGCGCCCAATCCGCCGGCAGCTTAATTCAAAGCTAAGACAATTTGGTTTTATTAACTAAGTTGTTAATGTAAATTGGCCACCGTAAAGAGTTTCTTAAGTTGACGATTCTAGCGGTAGCTCCTCGTGAGGCCAGTTCCTCCTCGACCCTTCCAAATGGAGCCAGTTCACAGGCTAGTCAGAAGTATTTTCCTTCCTAACCATCGCAAAGAAGATGCGCGTATGCCCGAAACTCGTTTCTTTTCTTTCATACTTATATTGTGGATCACTGTCTTTTTGATGTTAGTGTAATTTCAATCTTCTAGATGTTACATCATTCTTAGATTTCGTACACTGTCGTGGAAGGTTTTAAACAAAATCATGGGGGCAGAAGTAACACCATGCAGCCCTGTGGAAAAGGCGTATTTAAAAAAATATGTATCGTAAGCTCTTCATCGTCAGGTCAAATACTTAAAAAGCGCGGCGGTGCTCTTTATAACCAATATGAAAAGTATTCAGTTAACTCTTCTCGCCTTAACATTAATATGTATATTCTCCACACTAATCCCTCTACATTTCCTGTTGTAATGACAAGGATAAGTCTTTTGACAGTTAGGAGCTTCTTAAATCGGTGATCATTTCCATTATTCTTGGGAGCTTTACATTGATTCAAGGATGATTCTGTCAGGAGAATAAGAAGCCAGTCGCTCTTATCTTCACTGTGGGTAAACGGGTTGGTCAGAATAAAATGGCGACTTGATTCTTTCTCCGACTAAATAATTGGAAGTACTCTGGTGCGAGCAACAAACCACTCGACATACTCATCTCTCATTTCTTGCCAGGCCGTTCACTATTCCGCGTGTTCTTGGCGGATCTCCTGTACCGTCTGACGAAGAAGACAGCGAAGAAGAGGGCCCCTCCGAGGAAGGAAAAGCGAAAGAAGGTGAACAAGAAATAGACAAAGCGCTCGTGAATCGACGCAACCGCGGCCCACGTGGACCAAAGAAAGGTGAAAAGGATGGCGACGGAGCGAAAGAGGGACAAAAGGGTGGGCCCAAAGGGCGTGGCAGGGGTGTAAGTGATGCAGAGAAGAGGAACAGAGCGCACAATGAACGGAATAAAGGATTGAGAGCCAATCACAACCGCAGGGTTGGCGCGGAAAGAAAGAGAGCGAAAGGAATGGGAATGCTGTCACATCGGTGAAGAATCCAGGCTTGTAGAATCAAGGTTACCGTGCAGTCAATAAATGTCAAACAAATTCTATTTTCTTAGAGAATGTGTAAAACTGAAACTAGCTGCTGCTGAATGGGCTGAGGTTATTCTGAGGAGTGTCAAAAGCTTAAGAGAAAACTTAACGCGATGATGAAGAGGTGTGGTGTCCTTAACTCTCACTTGCTTTTTCGCCGTATCTCGCTCAATCGTCGCTAAGGGTTCATCAATGACATGCTTTGAATAGCCCTCCATTAAATATCTCCAGTTATCCGCGAAAATTGCAAAATTTATATTGTTATATTTCAAATTATGCGCGCATGTTTCTGTGTTTTAAATTTCCTTTATTTCACACAGAAAAGAATATTGCGCCAAAGGAAGGGGAAGTCTACTGCAGGTTCAACCAAAGTTACTTTATGTAAATTTTAAAGTACTTCTCTGAGAAAAATTGTTCAACTTTAAAATTTATAAGACAACTGCAGTGCATTAACTTCATAATCTTGAGGCTTTAGTTCACGCAACGCAAGAGTCAATAAAAAACCTTCATTATTGTTGTTTTAATGTTTCAAACGTGATTATGAGTTCAGTTGTTACAAAAGTAACTGAATTTGTCCTATACTTAAATCTGATGGATAAATAAATTGTTGTTTCCAAGAGAAAGTCACGGCAGAAGAAAAACAAACATACTCTTATGCCATTGTAACAATTGTCCCTTTCACTCTGGGGTGACTAAAATGTCACTTCTCCCTAAACTGTCAATACAACTTCCAGCAAACAGGTGTTGAGAATTGCCCAAGTTATCGGTCAGATGGTCATGTTAGATGTAACACCAAATTCTCCTGCCTAACTTACAAGGAATTCTATGGCATCTAGAGGGGAGAACATCTACTCTGATCTTAGGAGGAAGGGTTTAAATACTTCAGGTGATGAATAGAGCAAATCTCGAGTGAGCGTCATTAAACCAAAACCAAAATAATCAGAAGGAAGGAAGGAGGAAGAAGGGAAAACGTGACAAAGATTCAATGAGAGCTCATAATAAACAACCAATCTGCATAACGTAGTAGGGGTAGGGGGGCAAGAATGACTAAGTCCTGTTTGGTTTTAGATTTCAATGTGATTAGTTGAGAGGATGGAGCAAGCTTTGTAGACCACAAAGCAAAGTAAAGTAAAACCAAAGCAATTCCAGATGACTTTTGACACTCAATCGCAAAATTGCTCTAAAACTGACAATCCTTGGAACTACATAACAGAGGTTAACATATTAAACCCAACCCTTTCTCAACATTGATATTATGTTAATAATACTGACAATATATGCCACATACATGCCAAAACATACTTCAACATGAAAAAAAATACTTCATTCACTTAATCCCTTTGTGGCTAAATCTCATGGACACAATTAGTAATTTCATCGAAAATAAATTTTGTAATAAATTAATACTAAATCATTCATTCAATTAGATATCTTCTCTCTTTAACTGCTATCTTAGTTTAGAGGCAATCAAGCCTATTGCTAAACTACCAAATATAAAAAGTATGGGTCCCACAACTGCAGAGGATGACTGGGATAAATCTGAAAGAAAAAGAAAAAAAAGCAGGTTAAAAAAAAATGCAGGATAACCCCTTTAACTCTCAGGTGATTGATGGGTAGATTCTCTCTACAATGTCCATACATTATCCAGCAAACTGGTAATGAGAATACTCAAACTCATCAGTAAAGTAGTTATCTTGATCTAACACTGAATTCTTGCAACTAATTTACAAGGAAATGTGTAGTAGCAAGAGGGGAGAATTAACAATCAGATCTTGGGAAATGACCCTGCACATTCTTTACATTGAGCCAAATATATTTCGTGTTAAGTGCAATAATGAAACATTTTAATTACAGAATCGTGTGTTATCAAGTTCATGTGAAACAGTCTCAACCGTGGTTGTTCAAAGCATGGACAATGCTATCCACTGGATAAATCTCTATCCGGTGTCTTGTGCAGTACATTTTGTTAACACTTATCCACTTGATAGCAATTTGTCTGTTGAACAGCATTATCCACCTTTTGATTTACTGGTCCTAGGATGTTAGAAAAAATCTGAAAAGGCCAGTCGAATTTAGCTCAACTCGGCCATTCTTTGTGCAGAGTTTAGTAAGGAATAACAGCAGTGGACCACTGTTGAATCACATGCTGAACTTCTCATATGATGAACCTGATGCAATAATACTTTCAATCTTTATGTATCTTAAATGAATGTGACTGATGTAGGGAGCAGTGACTGAAGTTAGCCTATGATCACTGCATGACTAGCATTTGAGCCACACTAAGTTAATATGGGTTGGCTTGAATTCAACTCTGATGCTGCTCTTGCAAAGAGAGATATCCAATCTTAGATAGACCTAGTTGTTTGAGCCTTGACATTGAAGCAGTGAGCATTCCAGAGTTTGAACTGGTCTGCTCACTGTGACATACAAGCACAAACAACAAAAACTGCAACATTTGATCTTGTGCCTGTGATTCTTTGTTTTGTGTTACACCAGCAATCAAACTTCAACTTGTGACCAAAACAAAATCACTACAAATGCACTGTACTGAGTTAAACTTCAGTTTCTGATATTTCATGCAAAGTGTTTTTTCACATAAACAAACTAAAAAAATGCAATGATCTGACTAAGTAGAAATAAAAATATTCACCTTTTGCAAAAAAAAAAACAACAACAAAAAACAAGCTGATACTATGGAAAACAACTGAACACAAATAAAAGAACAATTGTGCCAATCTGACCTCCACAATAACTTCTCTGTTAACACACCTTTTGTGCTTTCAACCTAAAACAACATGAACTGTGCTGTGAAAAATTTGAAATGACATAATAAAAATAAAGTGAAAGTCCTGAGTAAAAAAATGCCTGAAGGTGTTAACATGGAATGTATTGGTCGTTATCTACAGTCACTCGGGTTCTATGTGGAAAATAATAAATTTGATGCTGACTTTTCAGAGTACAGAAATAAAATTGAAAAATAAAGACTAGAAAAAAGATCAACAACATGGGATAATGTGTGGTCACCCATCCGAGTAGTAATCCCAGCCAGCAGGGCATAACTTCAGTCAGGAGCACAAGCACATGGCTAACTTCCATATCTAACTATGACGACACTCAAGCAAATTCTTAATGTGGTCTGCCACAGGCATCCCATGTAATGACCTAAATTTGTGGTTGATGTTGTTTTGTTTTCATACTTTCTGGATGTTACATGGGTCTCTGCTGCAAACACTATAATAATAACATCTACATTTGAATAAATAGGACAAATATTTGTTATGAGGTCATCTAAAACCCTTGAGTTTTGTACATCTAGTTATAACATACTGGCAGTGTTCGCAGTTGAATCTGAAGGCAATATTCCAAAAGCTGACAAGAGGGCAGGTGATAGTTTTGAAGGTGACACCTCTTATGAGAGTTGAATTTTTCACCCATATTCTTGTTGAGGAGACGCAAGTGACAGAACATGAATTTGGAATGTGGTAGATTACTCAAAAACACACAATTAATGCTGCTTTTTAAGCTGGTTACTCTGCAAGTTATGGTATCAGCTAATTGTAGATTAGCAAAATCAAAGCCATGTTAATTCTGTTGTATCTGTTACTGAACCAGAGATCTCAATTTTGTAGATTGCATTTTCTTAATCAAATGTTTGGAAAAGTCACATTTTTGATAAGTGTTGATGAAAGACTGTTCAGAAACTCCTGACATGTGGATATTTTCTCCCCAACTCATAAACAATAGTATCATGGAGGTTAATTCATATCACACCTCAAGTAATATGTAAAATATAACACTTAAACCTAATGTTAAATTTCTCATTACAGCTTCTCATGGTTACATAATTATTGAGTGACATGACAATGAATATCATAATTCAAAGGTCAGTGGAGGTTAACAGTCAGCACTAAGTTCTTATCTTGTCATATCACAGTTAACAGTCTCAAAAAGGCTCCAAAGACAGCCATCACAGGTCATGAGAGGCATTTGCTGGTTATAAGTCAACTGTCATCGGTTCACTATTTTCCTTAGCAAAGTTACAGTCATCATGTGAAGGATTTGAACAACTTCTCGCTAGAAAGATTATGACCAGTTAGATGGTTATTAATGCAAAAAGTGCATTAAAAAGATAAAATGGGTGCATCTCATAAGCAAAGAAGTTTTCATTTCCCTTTCAATTATTTGATTGCAAACCTACAGCCATGGCCATGCAAAAAGCTATTATTAATTATTAGCTGTATTTCCATTGTTACTGGCACAACAAATTCCTCTGTTAGTGGGCATGAGATCTTCTATGATCTGCAACAGTGTTATATAGACCTCATCAGACCACATCCAGGATAGTGATCAAAGACAACATCAACAAAAACAATGTTCTTCCACATGCATTTAAAACCATCTTGCATTGATTTAATGTTAAAATTACAGAATACAACTTGCTTTTGTTACCTTGGTTCTCAACATCATCCACTTCCCACTTCATGGTTCTCTGAACAGCCTTCTTCCATCGAGCATAATGGTGATCTCGAGCTTTGAACAAAAAAGAAATTCAATTGAATAACTAAAAATTAAAACAGATTATTACTTATCTCTACACAGCTTAATTAGCTTGTTAGCCATAATGAGCTATATTACCCATATCTAATATAAAATTTTGCTCTCCAGCCAAACCCTTTACACCCTAACATCAGTATGCATCATTTCCATACTGTTCTCCAAACATTTCCCAAGATGCCGACAAGGAGAATTTGTCAAACAATCAAAAGCCTCCTTAGTTGGTGATAATTTCCTTTATTTTTGTGACCTTAAAATTTGATTCGGGGTGATATTTTAAGGAGAAATAAGATGCAAGTCACTCTTAGGGGTTAACCCTTTAACTCCCATGAGTGACCAAGACAGAATTTCTCCTGACAATATCAATACAAAATCAAGCAGACAAGTGATGAGAATAAAGAAAAATATCAATTGAGGGATTATAAGTTGAACCAATACCAAATTCTCCAAACTAACATCACAAGAACTGTATGGTTGACAGTAAGGAGAATTACTAATGAGATCTTGGGAGTTAAAGGATCAATAGAGTTTTAAGTTTGTGACCATTGTTTATGGTCCAGTGGACAGAGATAAACTGACCAGTCTAGATCTAAGAAACAGGTAAACAAAAGATCATCTTACCATGTGTATCAACAGCTGGCTCAAAGATATCAGTGTTTATTTGAGACTTGTCCTCTGCTTGAACAGTCCACACTTCTACTCCTTTAGCCATACCAGCAGCCATTGCTGCCCCCAAGGCTGTGGTTTCTGGCATTGTTGGACGCACTGCCAAACAAACAAACAAAAGCAAACTAGCCCCTTTAATCAATTATAACCAATTAAAACTCTCTCACATATGTTTTGAACCTCCTGTAAAAGACCACTTCAAATGTGCTGTCCTAAACCTCAGTGTGCACTTTCATACTGTTTCTTACACATTTCCTACCGCTTTTGCGAGAAGAGGTTTTCAATATTCAAACAAATCTCAAGTTGATCATTTCCTTTATTCTCACGAGCCTAGTGTTTGATTCAGTGGTGATAATACAAGAAGAAATTACAGGCTAATCACTTGTAAGGGGTCAAAGGATTAAAATGAGCAAGTTGATGACCTACTTACCTACAGAAATTCCCAGGATATCAGCTTGAAGCTGCATCAACAAGTTGTTCACCGTCATACCACCATCAACTTGAAGAGATGCAAGCGGTATCCCACAATCCATGTTCATGGCATCCAAGAGCTAACAGTGTAAAAAAAAAAATTATTGAATACATCTATATGGTAATGTGCTTATTAAATGAGTAATGTAAGAGGTTTGCTGTCATTAAACGGATGCAAAGTTAAAGAAAAAAAGGAGAGGGACTTTCTTGACCCTTCAACTTCCAAGATCCAATTCTTAATTCTCCCCTCTAGCTGCTACACATTTCCTTGTAAATTAGTTACACTTGAATTTGGTGTTAGATCAAGATAACTTTTAGTTGATAAGTTTGTGTATTGTTATTACCTATTTGCTGGATAATGTAAGAATATTATAGGGAGAAGTTACATGTTAATTAATCACTTATGGGAATTGAGCGGTTGAATAGAAAAGAGGAACTTTTTCAAAAGATTTGTACCACTTCCCACCAAAGGCCACTGTAGGTCTGAGAAAATTGAAATTCATTTCTTAGGAGTGTGTCTGTCTTTAACTTCGTAAATATGTGGTTAACATGATCAACCCATAGTTATAACTTACAGGAGAAATCATGGTTGCAGTAAGAATAAACTCATTACTTTATAGATAGAATGGTTGACTGTGGTTACAATAGAGAACCATGGTTAAGATGGGAGGACTGTGACTAAACAAAGAGGACTGTGGGTAATCCATGATTGTGATATGTAGGCAGTAAGTCAGATCAGATGACTGAGGTTGTGATGGGGTGGCTGTGATTACAATTATAGGAGGTATATGGCTAAGATAGGTGACCTGTTACTGCAGTTGGTAGGTTACAATCAAGATGGCAGAAATTACAAGAAAAGACTCCCTCCATCAACTCCAACTCTTACCTCGCGTGTCTGGAAGCACACTGCCTCTAGAGTGGCCCTTGCTATATGTGCCTTGTTGGTAAACTGGGTCAATCCTATGATCACTCTAAGAAAACACAGAGCAGTATTAGGAGATGATTAAATGTTTGGGTATTTGAGCTTCATGTACTATCACTGTTAAACAAGAGGAAAAGACAGGAGAGTTGGGTAAGATACACTAAGCCACATTAACCCTCTACACCCTAACATCAGCATGTATATTCTCCACACTGTTCTCTATACATTCCTTAAGGTGCTTACAAGGAGAATTTGTTTAACAATCAAGAGCTTCTTTAGTTAGTGATCATTCCTTTATTCTCGTGACCTTGAAGTGTGATTCAGGGGTGATATTGTAAGGAGAAATTAGATGCTAGTTACTCTTAGAGGTTTAAAGGAGTAAGAAATACTCTGTAAAAATGAATTTGGGTCTTTCTAGCCAGTCTTCTGTTTTCCTCCATCACATTTTATTTAGAAAAGAAAGAGATAGGAGTCCATTTGTGCTAAATATATAACATAGAAATACAACATTGTATACCTAAAACATTTATTTTGTACAAAAGCTATTGAAGTCTACAATAGTAGAAAAAAATAGTGCTTATTTTTATTGACCCACCCTCTTGCGTCTGTCTGCCAATAAGGAGCATACAAACCAGAGAATGCTGGAACAAAGTACACACCAGCTGAACTCTCTACTTTGGCTGCTAAGGTTTCTAAAATGAAATAAGATTCACTACGTCATGCATCAAGCTGTAAGTTCACAACCATTAGCAGTGACCACTTCCATTTTGTAGTTGGTTTGGACAACTTTTGTATAAATGTCTTAAATCAATGTCAGTATCTTGGCAACTGCACACCTACCCCTTCCCTAACCCAACAACAGTCAACTGATAACAAGGTAGGGTTAATGTTGGTTTAGGGAAGGGGGTATAGATTTGTTTCGGAGAAAGGTGTTGAATAAAGCATATTAATGCATGTGACTTTCTGAATTTTTCATAGTCCTGGAAAATCAGGCATGGGTTCTAGCCCACCACCAAGGTGGTGATAGTTCCAAAGGATGCTCAGGTACATAAGGAATAGGAACCAGGTGTGAGTGAGCCAGAACTGGGCCTGGAAATTCAGCGATGAGGACATCCTACAGATTGCCAAAACCACCTGAATTGGTGTGTTTGCTAAGAAGCAACACATGAAATTCATGGCACACATAACCAGGATGCCAAATGATGCACCCCAGATTATGATGTGCTTCGCCCAAGGATATGGCCAACTAAGCCACTGGTCAAGACTAGCAAAAACTGGCTAGTTTTTTCATGCACATGAAACCCCCGTGATGATGATGAACACCAAGGTGGTGATATTTCCAAAGGATGTTCAGGTACATAAGAAACAAGGACCTGGTGTAAGTGAGGGCACTGCAGCACACAGCTTGTGCGACAGTAGGAATAAGCTATGTTAGATTTGTAGTTTACCAATCTCTGATGCTGAGCTGATAAGATTGAGGTTATCTCTCAGCCACTTCACAGCAGCACCAGTGATGGCAACTGAGCCCTGAAATAGAAAGAAAATTGCATTCCTGTGATATGGGGAAAAGAGGTGGGTACTCTTAACGAGCCAAGTTGGCTTTAATTAACTGTAATCTTCCAACAAAACACTACTTAAATTGATTGCTATTGTTCCATGACTAGATACTAGTCTAACTCAGGTAACCCCCAAACTATTTCTATCACATGTCTCAATTTTGGCTCTCTATCACTATTTTTGCAATCACCTCTAAAGCGTACACTGTGGGTTGGTCAGGACCCAGCTTGTATGCAACAGTTGTCAGCAAACCATTCTGAGAGAGGACCACCTTTCAAGATAAAAAAATTACAATAAATCAGCAAACAATGTCAGAAATAGTAATCATAAATAAGCTGATAACATAGAGAATGGTCACCACCACATTCATGTTTTGTCCATAGATAGTGCTTCAGTTTCACTCTATATATCATACATTCTGTAATTTTTGTTAAAAATCCCCATATTCATGGTTATGTGGAGGTGGCTGGCACTGATTATTAGAGCTGGATCATTTTATAAAATAATTCGAAGAAGTTTTGATCAGTTTATTCATCATGGTGTATGAGCTATGATACCCCTTCCTCATTATCACTCCCCTTAAAAATAAAAATAGAACATAAAGATGGGTTTACTGGGTGTGAAATTAATTTTTTTTCTGGTAGCCACTTGGCTCTTAAATTTTTCAAAGTGGTAGCCAATTAAAAAAAAGTTCATCACCATTTTTAAAGACAAACAAAACTTTTTTTTACACTGTCAATGTTCTAGATAGACCCTCCAAAACTAAGTTAAGAAAAGGATTTTTAACGTGCTACAAAGTGGACACCAGGATGGATGATATACAACGTTCAAGCTCACCTAAACCAAAGATTGCATCTAGTTATCGATCGAGATGCATGTGCTACGTTTGGGACATAAACCTAACAAGGAAGTTTCTTGCGGATTTATCTTTGCAAATCTTTTTAATTCACTATATCTCTAGGTAAGGTTATGATGAAGCATTCTAGTTGCCAATTTGGAAACTAATTTTCAGGATTTGGTCGCCAAAGTGAAAAATTTAGTCGCATTGGCATCTGTATTAGGTGCAATTTCATGCCCTGGTTTAAATTAATTATTTTCTCTGAAATTGTGACAAAGCAGATTTTGTTACCTCTTGTCCTGTGTTGTAGAGAAGAAAACATCCAGTGCCATAGCTGTGTAGAAAAAAAAGACAGACAGTAATGTAATGACTAAGCGTGTGATTGTGGAAAACACTATTAACTAGTTAAATCATATAGTGACCCAATCACAGTGACCCAACAACATTTGTTCCCACTAGATTATTTAGATTTTTCAATTAGTGATGAGTGATTTTATTTGAGAGCTTTCTTAAAGGTAGGGACAAGGAAAAGGAAGCAAAATCTCTTGATTTCTGTTCTCTTATCTCTTGCACCCTGCCTTCTAATGGGAAATAATGCACACTAATGATGAGTCCATATTTGTATTTATGCATTTCCCTACTACTTTGGACTGCCATAAAGTTTCTGCTTTCCGTCTTCTTCTCTCCTATGTTCCCCTATTCTTCTATGCTCCCAGCCACTGGTCCTCTTCCTCATTAAGGTGTTCTGGGAGAGATCCCCTCAACCATGCCAAGGATGTCACAGTTACCTTATGGTTGAGATGCTGTACAAGGCATGTTCATTGTGTTCTTAAGCAAGGCACTTTGCTCTCATTGTGGCTTGCCCTCTCTTGTTGCTTCATGCTACAGAAACCTAGATAAGTTCTGGCACCTTGTGAGCCACCTGACTCATATGCAGAATTTAGTTATACTCCATTCACCCCTCTCTACTGAGGGCACCTTGACAGGACAAAGAAGAAACTTTCCAGAACTTACGTGTTTTTGGCATCTCCCTGATTAAAGCACAGTTGTCCAACTAATGCTGCTTGCTGGTCACCAAGGCACTATTGTGAAAAAAATAATATCAAATCAAAATTATTCTCTTTATTTGTTTTTTATAAATTATGTTTGAAGATGCTGTCTTCCTACATGCCATACAATTCTCATTTTTTTTTACTACTGGTAGAAAACTATCTAGAATAAACTCATTGTTTTCTTGTTGTCAGCTGTTGCTGCGACAAATCTTGTCTGTCTCTAAGAAGCCATCTGCTGCAGTAATCTTACATGTTAACAAAATAATGTCTTGTGGATGAATGATTGCCTTTTTTTCATGAGAAAAGTGTGATAGTACTGATTTATCAAACAATTTGTGATTATAACAAGGGACCCTTTAACTCCCAAGATCTCAATACTAATTCTCCTTTCTGTCTGGCATACATTTCTTTTCTATTTAAGTGCTGAGAATTTGGTGTTGAATCATATGATATCTCCTTCTTGATAATTTTCTTGATTCTCATCACTTGTCTCCTTGATATTGAACTGATATTGTAAGGAGAAATTACTTCTTGGTCACTCTTGGGAGTGAGAGGGTAATATAAAAAATAATACAAAACAAACCCCTGATATTGGGACTCCACTGAGAGGACCATCAACCTGAAAATAGAAAAATCACAACTTCATAACAATCACTTATGCTTAGAAAGAAGTTTACTCCAGAAAAAAAAAATTATGATCACTTCAACTCTGGTCACAGTTTGCTCCAAAGAAAAAAAAAAGAAAACTTTGACTCTACCTTTAAAAAGTATATGTCAAAATGAAACAAATATTAAGCTATTAGATTGTCAAGAGTTTCATATTATCAGCCTCTCCAAAACTGGATGAAAATTTTTTTAAAACATGTTTGTTAAATTTGGGTTTTAATAATCAATGTTACTTTAATTGTCTTACAAGTTTCCCATATATTTCTGAGGAACTTTTCACAGTTGGTAAAACTGACATTGGAATGCTGAAGAATCTGAAAACAACAATCAATAAAATGTAACAAGTTAGAAAGAAAAAAAGTTGGTTAATGCTAATACGTAAGTGAATGCTACTCTTGTGACAGTCATAGTGCTTCTGCAAGTATTCCTGGTATGTGCAACCATTACTGTGTGTCACTCAAATGGGACTTAATACCATTTTAACATGATGAATTTTCTTCAAATTCTTCTCTCAGAAAAACTCAGCAGATTCTTGCAGTTTCATGAATAACAACCCTGTAGGTGAAAAATACCAAACATACTTGCACAAGTATGGATCCCAACTTTGCGTCTTCAGGTTGAGAAGCATGGTTCGTGAGGCATTTGTAATGTCAGTGATATGCAAGCCCCCTTTTTTACCACCAGTCATGTTCTGAAGAAAAAAAATAGTCAATAATTATTATTTGAGAACAATGGCCCTATTAAATCACATCTACTGAATGCAGGACCCCCAGATAATGGAAACCTAGACTTACCCAAATCAGCCATGAGTCCACAGTCCCAAACAGACACCTGTCTTCTTCCACAGCCTTTTTCACTGCCTCAACATTGTCAATCAACCACTTTAACTTCACTGCACTGAAGTAAGTGTTGATAGGAAGGCCACACAATGCCTACAATAAAATAAAATTAACCACAGCAAAATCATTTCTGCCACAAAATTCAAATTTACATACAAGCCTGAGGTAAACCAGGCAAAGGCATATGTCAGTGTGCTTGTTTCTAAGTAATGTCACCTGGGTTTAACTGCCAGACCTGGCATCATGTTAAGTTTGTAGTTCTTTCTTGTTCTTACTCAAAAGGTTTTCCTCCAGAATCTCTGGTTTTTCTTTCTGAACAAAAACCAAATCTTCAAATGGTGGATTTGGCACATAAAAACCTGTAGTTACTGTAAGTGGTGGATATCAAATGCTTTCTTAAATTTATTAACTTTTTCTTGATAACAGCTAGTTTTTGGAAGAGTTTAGCACCCACTGTAAATTTCATTTACAGCACCAAATTCTGGAAAGAATAATACTCATCTTTCTCATCTCAAAAATCTGGAAATCTTTAGAAACTCTTTATGGCGGCCAATTAACATCATCAACTTAGTTGATGAAACCAAATTATCCCCCCCCCTCCCCCACCTCCAAAATATACTTACTCTGACATGTTCTCTGGTCTTTTCTGGGGTGTTTGCTTCAAACTGATCGACAGTTGATTTTGTCCTTGTGTCAAGCCAAACTGCAAATTTAGATAAATTCATATAAATTTGTACTTTGTTGACAAAAGTAAACACTATTTACACCATCAATTGTCTTCAACACTTTTATTCCCAAGATCTGATCATTAATTCTCCCCTCTAGCTACTGCACATTTCATTGTAAATTAGTTAGAAGAGTTTGGTGTAAGATCAGGATGATGGCTTATACCTGATAACTTTGAATATTCTCATAACCTGTATACTACAAGGAGAAGTTGCATGTTAATCACTTCTGGGAGTCAAAGGGTTAACCCTTTAACTCCCAGATCAAATTTGTCATTCTCCTTACCATCAACCACACAATTCTTACAGTGTTAGTTCAGAGATTTTATTATTGGATCACCGTATTATCCCCAAATTGATATTTTTCTCTATTCTCGTCACTTATCTGGTTGATATTGTATTGATATTGTAAGGAGAAATTCTGCCTTGGTCACTCATGGGAGTTAAAGGGTTAATAGACTTTGTTATATCCGGGTATCCACGCATATTGCAGGCTTGGCTGCTAAGCCTAAGGACGTTTTGGATACGTTGGATCTGACTAATTTCGGTGTAAAAACTCTTCTTGTATATTGGAGTCTGTTCCGTTACAATTAAAGACTTTGCGACACTACAAATTGGCGACGAGGATAAAAGACAATCGGATAACAGGCCAAGATGAGTTTTGAAAGGTTTTCGTTGTCACCAGTTAATTTAGAGGCGACAAACTTGGCGGATGAGTGGAAGTTTTGGCTTGATGCTTTCGACAACTACCGAATTGCTACGAAATTAGATAAGGAAAGCGACGACGTTCAAAAAGCTACTCTTCTACATCTTGCGGGGACGGGAGTCCAGCGTTTGCTCTCAGGTTTGCCGGGAGAGAACAAGAAATTTGAGGAAGTTAAACAAGCGTTGAGTGCACATTTTCAGCCGAAGAGAAACAAGCGGGCAGAGAGGCACAAGTTTCGAAAACGTGCTCAACTTCAACATGAATCACTTGATACCTTCATTGCAGAGTTACGTATGCTGAGTCTAACATGCGACTTCGGGGAAGCAAATGATGATAATATTCTTGGTCAAGTTATAGAGAAGTGTTCTGACGGATATCTACGAGAAAAGCTACTACAACAAGGAGAGACTCTTACACTGGAAAAAGCCCAGACGCTCGGGAGAGCAATTGAATCTGCAAAGAAGGATACACAGCTACTTGGGGGTCACGGGGCCCAAAACGTTCCTGGAAAATCTGATGTTAATGCGGTAAGATTTTCAGTAAATAAAGCGAAAGAAAAAGCCTGCTTTCGCTGTGGAAAAACGGATCATCTTGCTAATAACGAAAGGTGCAAAGCTAGGAATGCACAGTGCATAAAATGTAAGAAGACTGGTCACTTTTGGAAATATTGCAGATCAAGAGAATCAGAGAATAAAGAAGATGTAAAGTTTGTCCAGCCAGTCCAGCATCAGTCAGATAAGTCTAACCCTGAATATGTTTTGTATACTACTAATAATGAGGGGCTGGGTGTTGAAACTGATGTTGAAATCAATGGTAAACTTGTTCAAATGATGATTGACACTGGCTGTGCTAAAACCTTGATCCCGAAACAGTGGTTTAGAAACAACCTGAACATTCCTCTTAACCCAACCAATGTCAAGTTCTCAGCTTTTGGTGGAGGAGACCTCAAGTGTTTAGGAGTATTTGATGCTAAACTGAGATGCAATAAGATGGAAGTAATGGAGCCAGTGTATGTGATCGATGTGGAAGGTCCCCCCTGTTGGGAAGAAGCGCCCTGTCCACCCTCAACCTTGTAAAAATCCATGCAGTAGGGGAGAGCCCAACCAAGGCGAGGGAGAAGATCTATCAGGAGTATGAAAATCTCTTCAAGGAAGAGCTCGGAGACTTTAAGAATTATGAGTACAAAATTAAAATCAATTCAGATGTCCCTCCCAAGGTACAAAAACAAAGGCCAGTCCCTGCACCCTTAGAGGATAGATTGAAACAAGAAATAGAGCGAATGATCCAAGAAGATGTGATTGAAGAAGCGACAGGAGCATCGTGGATATCACCTGTGCAGATTGTCTACAAGGGGAATGGAGAATTGAGAGTGTGCGTTGATCTCAGGGAAGCTAATAAAGCAGTGATAAGAGAGCGGTTTCCAATTCCTAGAATCCAAGACCTGTTACGGCAACTGAGTGGGGCTCGGATGTTTTCGACTCTGGATCTAAGGAAAGCATATTGGCAGGTTCGCCTAGCGGAAGAATCTAGAGAAATTACATCGTTCATAGCCGCAGGCAAAGTGTATCAGTTCAAAAGGCTGCCCTTCGGACTTGCGTCAGCACCAGAGGTGTACCAAAGGGTCATGAGCATAGTGTGTGAAGGCTTATCAGGTGTGCTTAGCTACTTTGATGATGTTGTGGTGTACGGGTCAACACCAGAAGAACACTGGAAGAATCTTCGTGCAGTGATGGCTAAACTTCAAGACTGTGGCCTTCGTCTCAATGCAGACAAGTGTGCCTTGGGCATGTGTGAGCTGAAATTTCTAGGACACGTCATCTCTGCTGAGGGCATTAAGCCTGACCCTGACAAGGTAAAAGCCATTGCAGATGCACCAGTACCTCAAAACCAAGCTGAGCTGAGATCATTTCTGGGAAGCATTACATACCTTACACAGTTTGTTTCCAACCTTGCAACAGTGATCACCCCCTTACGATATCTTACGCAGAAGGGTGTGGTGTGGAAATGGAGTACAACAGAATCCAATGCCTTTGAGGAAGTTAAAGAGCTTCTGATTAAAGCACCATGCCTTGCACACTACTCATTGGAAGCCGAGACCAAACTTGTAGTAGATGCCAGCCCAGTCGGTCTTGGGTGTGTCTTGCTGCAAAATGTTGACAGCCGTTGGCAGCCCATATCTTATGCGTCCAGAAGTCTAACTGCTGCAGAGAAGAGATATTCGCAGATCGAACGAGAGGCAATGGCTGTGCTGTTCGGATTGCAGAAGATGCATTCTTACATTTATGGTCGCCACGTTGTCGTCTCGACTGATCATAAACCACTACTTGGCGTATTCAATAAAAACACTCAATCAATTCGCCTGGAACGGATTGCTTTGAGATGTCAGGACTATGACTTCACACTCACTTATGAACCTGGATCTGAGAACATTGCAGATGGACTGTCAAGATTACCTTTGAACGCTACTGTTACAGAAACAAGTTTTGTTGAGGAGCATGTACACTTTGTCAAAAGTGCTGATGCTTTGCTCTCAATTGATGAAATAAAAGAGGCTGGAGAGTCTGACCCTGAATTACTAGAGGTGGTGAAGGTACTTGATGGAACCCAGAACCTGGTAAATAATAAATGGAAACATTTTAAAGATGAACTGAGCTTTGCACAGGGCCTACTGTGGCGAGGTCGACGAATTTATGTTCCTGAGAAGTTGAGAAAAAGGCATTGACCTTGGCACATGAGGCTCATCAAGGTATTGTGCGTTGCAAGCAACGCCTTCGTAGAATTCTGTTCTGGCCGGGGATGGACTCTGATGTTGAAGACTACTGCCGAAATTGCGAGACTTGTGTGCGCCTTCAGCCACTACGACGAGACACACCTAATACAGCAACTCCTCTTCCCGATTACTGCTGGGAGAAGTGTGCCCTTGACCTGGTGGGTCCATTTCCTGGAGAGATCTACATCATGACTGTTGTTGATTACAGAAGCAAGTGGCCCGAGGCTATTGTTCTTAAGCGTATTACAAGTGAGAGTATAGTCACTGCACTTGCAGATATATTTGCACGATTTGGAAATCCAAAAGTTCTGATCACGGACAATGGACGTCAGTTCTTAGCTGAGGAATTCCAAGACTTCATGAAGGCAAATGGAATACAGCACAGAAGAGTATCACCCTATTTTCCACAAGCAAATGGGCAGGTCGAAAGATTTCATAGGTACCTAAAGCACAGTATCAGAGCAGCAGAGTTAGATGGTCTATCCTGGACAGAGGTTCTGCCCACAATCCTGCAAGTTTACAGATCCACTCCACATGCCGGGACTAACATGACCCCGGCTAAACTGTTTCTCAACAGAGAGATAACAACAAAGTTGCCAACAGTACCAGAAATGGATCAGAACAACCCTGAAGAGAGGTACAAGGAATACCAGAGGAAGTTATGTGAGTATACTGATGCCAAGCGACATGCACAACAACATAACCTAGTACCTGGGGATATTGTATTTGTAGCAAATACAAAATCTGGAAAATTGATTCCCACGTTTGGTCATCAGAAGTATGTCATTGTTCGTAGCAAAGGACCAGATACTTTTGAACTTGTCAATGCTGAGACTGGACAACATCTCACTCGTAATGTGAAGTTTCTTAGTAGAGTTCCACGCATGGAGCTACCAGTTAATGATGACAATGACAACGGCTGCTTGGAGTCGGAAGAGTTCGCTGGGGCAGCGATGCCTCCTTTGGATCAACTCGGATCTACAGTCTCGGATGATAGGAATCCCGCAGATAGTGGTCCTCCCTACTCAGCAATGGAATTGAGACGTTCAACTCGAACACCAAAGCCAAAGAGAGATCCGGACTTTGTTTATGACTAGAACATTGTTTTAGTTCTTCTATGTTAAGTTGCGTTGTTAGAATGGACTTTGAACTTTAAATAGGTTAGGATGGGATGTTATATCCGGGTATCCACGCATATTGCAGGCTTGGCTGCTAAGCCTAAGGACGTTTTGGATACGTTGGATCTGACTAATTTCGGTGTAAAAACTCTTCTTGTATATTGGAGTCTGTTCCGTTACAATTAAAGACTTTGCGACACTACAGACTTAAAGAAGATAATGCAATTTCCAATAGCTGAAGACGACAGATGCACATCAAAGAGCTGTTCCCCTCCACTTCCAAACTAATGAAAGACCAAAATGGAATTTTAAGGGAAGGTGCTTTTCCATAGCTTAAAACATCTCAGAAAATTGGAAGTCCAAAAGTAATTTCCTGACGTGGTGGAAATACAGAAAATGTTTTGTGAAATGTCACATGGAATTCTGGAACAACAGATTAATTTATAAAGCATTCATTCTAACTTATAGCATTGTGAAGTGGTTCCCCAGTGACCTTGTCCCAAACCACTGTTGTTTCTCTCTGATTTGTAATCCCAACAGCTGTGAAAAATAAAACAGAATGCGAAATTAAGAATTTTAATAAGAAATATATCACTCCCAGAGCCACATGTCAATATGAAAATTCATAAAAATGTGAAAAAGGCATTCAAGTTTAGTGATTAGGAATAAATCCTTCTTCCACTTAGCTGGGAACGCAGTGTTCAATCATTGTCTTACCTTTCACATTAATTTTATTACTATCACAAAGAACAAAATTTGTTTTGTTTCAAAAAGTAATAGTAAAGTTCCATGAAGGCAGTCAATGCAATCAAATACTTAGTGTTTAGGGAGCCTATTTCTCAAATTTGCCATAACTTGACAGGCCAGTTAAGTTGTTCTTTTTTCATTCAAGATAGGGGTTTCAAAACTTTTTAAAATTATTATACAATAGAACTAAAAACTAAAGAAGCAAAATGATCTGGTCAGGGTGCAAGAACCTTCTTCTTTCTTCTTTAAATTTTGCTTTTAAAAAAGGGCTTCAGGCCTGTTAACCCCTTAAACCCTAAGAGTGACTAACATCAAATTTCTCCCTACAGTATCAACCCTGAATCACATGTTAAGGTCATGAGAATGAAGGAAATGATCAAGAAGCTTTTGATGGTAAACAAATTCTCCTTTTCAGCATCTTAGGAAATGTATAAAGAGCAGTATGGAGAATATGCATACTGATGTTAGGGTGTAGTGCATTCAGTTACTGGGACTCCTAAGAAACTGGCTCCTGGACTCCACACCAAAATTTTAGGCCCAGGCTAGTGCCATATTTTTACTTTCTGAAAAAATGAACTCTCAAGGTTCCTCTCTCAACTCAGAGGTAAGGACAAAGCCAAACTGTTAGAGAAATTTGATTAATCCTTTACATCCTAACATTGATCACTGCTCTCCATGCATTTCTTAAACCTTTAACTCCCAAGATCTGATTGTTAATTCTCTCCTGTAGCTGCTACACATTTTCTTGTAAATTAGTTATGAGAACTTGGTGCTAGATCAAGATAACAACTTCTACCTGATAAGTTTGAATATTCTGATCACCTGTTTGCTGAAGAATGTATGGATATTGTAGGGAGAATTTTTATGTTAATCACTTCTAGGAGTTAAAGGGTTATGGTGCTACCAAGGAGAATTTGTGTAACAATTAACAGCTTCTTTAGTTGGTGATCATTTCCTTTATTCTCATGATCTCAATGTATGATTCAGAGGTGATATTGTAAGGAGAAATTAGATTCTGGCCACTCTTAGGGTTTAAAGGGTTAAGGAGAAAATAAATACTACTACAACCTTGCAATGATGTTTATCACTACAGAGTCCCTGTGGCTCAGTGGTAGAGTGTCAGAGGGCTGTGTCCCAATGTCTGAGGTTCCATTTCTCACAAGGACTCAAAATTTTTTCATTGTCCCACACTCATGACAAGATAAGAAAAACATTCTCCCTTTACACCCTAAACTCAGTATGTAAATTCTCCATACTGTTCTCTGTACATTTCCTTAGGCGATGAAAAAGAATTTGTTTGGCAATCAAGAGCTTGAATAATGGCTGTAAATATATGAAAAATATATGTGTGCTGCAGCTGAAGAAACAAATATAGAAGCAATCCTCGCAGCTATGAACACTACTGAACTAGTAGCTGAAACAAGGCATGAAAAAAATTCAGGCCTATACGGGATTTGAACCCATAACCTCTGCAATACCGGTGCAGCACTCTACCAACTGAGCTAACAAGCCAACTGGGAGCTGGTCATTACATTGGATCTGAATAAACCTTCCAAGTGGTGAATAATGGCTGTAAATATATGAAAATCATATATGTGTGCTGCAGTTGAAGAAACGAATATAGGAGCGATCCTCACAGCTATGAACACTAATGAACTAGTAGTTGAAATAAGGCCCGGAAAAAATCAAAGAAATCAAGAGCTTGTTTAGTTGGTGCTCATTTCCTTTATTCTTGTGACCGTGTTTTTTTTATTTAGGGGTGACATTATGTAGAGAAATTAGATGGTAGTCACTCTTAGAGTTCAAAGGGTCATACCATCCCTCTGCCGCTGAGATAAGGATAAGATCAGAGGTCAAAATAGTCTGAGTTTGCTGCATAACCAAGGATATATAATGTGAATATTTATGTTGATCACCTTTGATATCAGCTGGGTTGATTTTCAAGTCTTTGCAGCTGTGAAGTGTCTGCTCCATACAATGATACACAGATGACAAAATTTCCTTTGGATCTTGCTCCACCCATCTGTAACAATCATTAGACAATCAATATCACACTTTGTTAGATAATATAGGCTGTGTTAAGAGTACTTGTAACCTGCTATCTCAGAAAATAATCTGCTATAACTCAGTGGGAGCAACATAAAAATAAGTGAAAGATAACAAAAAACTTTCAATGAGTCCTTTTGTACTTTAAGAATATCCCTAAGCATTAACTTTTTTCACATTACAATACTCCAAGCCTAAATCTTTTCAAAGTTCCCGCTGTGAAACCCAAATTATAAAATGGTCTTCACAAAAGGAAGTTCATTTACCAGGAAAAAAAAAAGCCTCTTAGGAAATCTTTTAGCTTGATACTCAGAAAATTGGTGAAAAATACTCACATTGGTTTTAATCCTTTAACTCCCACAAGAGATTAATGAGTAACTTCTCTCAATAATATCCATACATTATCCAGTAAACAGGAAATGAGAATACACAAACTCATCAAGCAGAAGTTGCTATCTTGATCTAACATCCAGTTCTCAAAACTAATTTATATGGAAAAGTGTGGCAGCTAGAAGGGAGAATTAACAATCAGATCTTGGGAGTTAAGGCATTAACAATATTTAGGAAAATGTTTGTCTTTGTCTAACTTAAGACCATAAGCATCAAGTTACTAGATGGCTAGCCTCAGTCACCCCAAGCACAGGTTACCAAATTGGTAATTGCCTAATGGTCACAGTTTAGTTTGGGGTGATGTATTTCAACCAAATTTCTTTCTTTCACAATACAGAAGATTCTAAAACCTGTATATTCAGCACCTGTGTTTTATTTTCTACCAGGTATATGTAAAAAATGTTGTTATCTTTGAAGAGGTAATTAAGAGTGGCATTGAAATACTTACCCTTCCTTAGGATAGACACTTTCAACCTCAATTTGGTGAAAGGCAAGTAGTTCTGCAGTTTTACTTGCAAAGAGCTGCAATAAATGGCAACTTTCAAATTTGGGATCCAGCAGAATAAAGTAATATCATCAATGTTTTTTTGAACACTGAGTCTACATGTCTAGCAGCAGGTTCTATCAAACTTCTTACGAGTATCAGATGTTTGCTTGGAAATTCCAAGCAAGTGGACCAATTTCTTTCAGAGCTTGTGTATAACATAAAATTGCTAGGTTAGATATACAGTCAAACCTGTATTATGTGGTCACCCACAGGGAATGGCAGGGTGATTGCTGAACCCTTTAACTCCCAGATCAAATTTGTCATTCTCCTTACTGTCATTCATACAATTCTCATAATTCTAGTTTGGAGAATTTAGTATTGGATCAACTAATTATCCCTAAATTTATATTTTTCTTTACTCTCATCACTTATCTGGTTGAAATTGTATTGATATTGTAAGGAGAAATTCTGTCTTGATCACTCGAGGGAGTTAAAGGGTTAAAACAGGTTGACTGCTAGATACAGGTTCCAAAGAGAAGAGGTCAAACACGATAAAAAACACCATCTTATCCTTACCGTACTAAGAAGAAAGATAATCTGCAATACATTGAGGATATATTTGAATTCAAAGTGCTTACACTAATTTAAAGAGATAAACACGGAATAATTTTGATTTCAGACATTATTTTGTGTTTTATTTGGGCTGGTCCTGCATTAAGTGACTATTTAACACAGATGGAGACAATAAAAACAGGCTGCTGGGACTCAGTTAACCTTTTAACTCCCAGAAGTGATTAACCTGTAAGTTCTTCCTATAGTATTCATTCATTATCCAGGAAACAGGTGATGAGAAGACTCAAACTTATCAGGTAGAAGTTGTTATCTTGATTTAATGCCAAATTCTTGTTAATAATTTATAAGGAAATGTATATGAGCTAGAAGGGAGAATAAACAATCAGATCTTGGGAGTTAAAGAGTTAAGGGTGACCACAACTGCTTAATAGAGGAGACTGCTTTATACTAGTGAAATTACAGTACTTGAGTGGAAGAAATTTTGGATCTTAAAAAACCAACCAGTTAATACAGGGTGACTGCTTAATACAGTGCTGCTTAAAACAGGTTCCACTTTATTTTCTAAGTGTTGAAAACCTAGCAGTTTTATGGTGTGCACAAGCTCAGAATATTTATCCACTAAAAAAACCAAAGTAATTTTGAAATTGCTTGACATTTCTGATGGCCAAATACAGAGTGTTGAAAAAAAAAAAAAACCTGTCCCACTGGCGGACATGTAGAGATTCCCTTTTTGAAATTTACTTAATTAGCACACCAACATTAAATTCTATCAGAAATACTTATTGAAAAGATTTCACACCCAGATTATACCTAGAATTGACACCTAAATCAGTTTACATTAGAAGCTTAACTGTAAGCCTGTGAGTCATGCAGATGTTTTTTGACCGAGTCGTCTAATGCAATAAAACTGGGTGTGTATATGTTACGATAGCCTTTGACCCCTGGAAAAGTTAAGTTAGAAATAAATGCCTAACTAAATTAATAAACCAAAAAGTTATGCCGTAAAAACTAAAAATAACAAGCTGCAGTATCGTTCAAACAGTGTTTAAATCTACAGCTCGATTGCTTGAATCGTATTTCAAGGCTATTCGTAACAATTTTAATCTCGCGGGCTGAAACTCCCTTCCTTGATTTCAGTTGATTTGCAATCTAATCTTGAGGATGAACACTGGAATTTTGAGAGGTTTTTCTGGGTTACAACTCCCAAGGGATAATTAATTGTTTGCCTTCAGAACTAGATCACGAAGGAATGTTTATATTGTAAATTCACGTTGGAATCCGGAAAGGCAGCGCGTTTTGAAGACAACTACTAATATAAGCCTAGACTTATATTTATTGCATGATTTCCAGTTTGTCTGATGGAACTGATCTCATATGAGAAATCTGGCGGAATATGAAATTATCTAGAAGAGATTTCGAGTTGTTTCACATTTGCACGAGACACGATGAAAAAGATCTTGTGACAACCATATCACACACTGCACTACTCAGTATCCGCCAGTTTCGGACCATAGTTGTAATTTGATTGTAAAAGGAACGATGCTTACATGCAAAACTGAACTCAGTTCTTTACTTAATTGATGTGCAACTCACCAAGAACCTACTGCTGGAAGTTCCTTGGTCGATAGCTCCAACCAGAGGTCCAAAGTCCTTGTAATCGCCTTCACCCATCGCCATGTTGAAAGTCTTCTTCTGACGACAGAAACCGCTGAGCAGCGACACCTTGAAGAGTCGCAAAGGTCGCGCAAGTGAACAACAATATCGAATTTTCATCTGCCACTTTCTGATTTATGTGCACAAACTTTGAATCTTTTCGTTATACGAAGCAAAATCTGCAATGAAGAATGTAATGATTTTTGCATTGTGAAATGTATTGAATATGGAAAGTTGTCAAACCACGCGCAACCAAAACAAAATGGCGCGAAAATTAACATCAAAAGTTATGTAAAAAATTATATTTTTTGGTTCAAATTCGCAACCCTCTAAATAAAGTGTAAACAATTCCTTATGGGATCACGTAGAAGATTATGAAAATTCGAGAAACACTCTAAAAGAAAACAGAAATGGGGATTAAAACTGTAAATCTTGTGGCTCTAAGAATGTTGTACGCTTTAAAAATCTTAATATTCTCGAGAGCTGTTAAAAAGTTAAAAAAAAAAGGCATACTTTCATGAAGTTATCATATCATCACGAATATGCCCACGAGGTAAGCATATTCAGATGAAATTTTGAATGGTTGTTTTTTAAACAAAAGGGAAGGAGGTTAGGTATCTTTTAATTTGCCTCTAACAGAACTGATTATTCCAAACGCTTGATGAAAAGTATGATATTTAGGCTAACTCAATTCAGGAAAAAACTGCAATTGGCTCTTTTTTCAAAGTTCGGTTGTTTCAGTTCGAAAATTTGGTGCACACAAGTAATGTAAATGAAATTAAAAATCTGTTCGGTTTCCGTGCGGGCCGAAAAAAAATCTGTCTCTTTCATTGAAAATTTCTTCTTTCCCTTTTCGGATAATATTTCAAATCGACCAGTGTTTTCAAGAAATAGAAACACTAATAAAACCATCAAAATTCTTTTGCTAGCCTAAAACGCATTTCATAACCAACCTTCAATGAATTCTCCGACTTGCACACATTATGAATGCGTGACATCACACACTGGGTGTCACGCAAATTTTGTGCGTCACCCAAATCGAAAGCGTTGTAGGGGCTGAGATCAGGATTGTCGGCATCACAATATGTGATAACACAGGCGGCCCAAGCTCACGTCTCGAGAAAGCCAACGATGAATTCATGAACGCGTCACGCGTTGTGTGACTCGGTGTTAAGTTACTGGAGGAACCGTTGAAAATTTGAACACGTTATAAGGAATAGTATGGGGAACGAAATATGGTCGATTTACAACGGTAAATATTTCGAAATATGAATATTTTACACGTAAAATCACTAAAACTTACGTAACTTAACACCAAGTCACACAACGCGTGACGCGTTCATGAATTCATCGTTGGCTTTTTCTCGAGACGTGAGCTTGGGCCGCCTGTGGTGATAACAATACTTTCATTGTGGGTCATCAGGGATTCATGCATTAACTTCAGTTCTTGATCTGAAAAAGAGCTCTCCATAAGGAGAAGTGTGCTACTGATGTAAACCATTTAATGTTGATATCCACCGTTAAAAGGGACTTCTAAAAATATATCACTTACCACGACCTTATATCTCAAGGAGAAGCTTCACCGTTCGAAACTTGTCTTCAAATGCGCAGGTAAGACGAGATTAACAAGTAATTCCCTTGGTTGGTTGTTGAACCGTTAAGAACATCCGTAAGAGTTGCACCAAAACTTTCCTGGAAAAATGGTGTTGAGACTTTTTTTTATGACTGAAAATCTTCGTTTTGCTGGTTCCTTATTATTTTAACTTGGCAATTTTGAAGACAATAAGAGTTTTATTTTTGTATGTTGATGTTGCATAGAATATTACTTCGTTGATAGAGGGAACTTGAACCGGACAAAGACTTGAAGAAATTTCTTGGCTAGTAGTTGAGCAGCAATTGCTACAAAAGTACGCTTCCCATGCTCTAATGCTCCCTCGTTAATGAAACAACATCATTTGCGTGGAAAATATCCAATGGTTTCCTTCTTGTTGTCACGCAGAATATTCACTTCTCTCCCTGATAGAATTACTGATTCTTTGTTTACTAAGCCCCTTTGAGCTTGATATTGTGAAGGTGGATAAAACGAAAGAAAATGATGTTTGAAACCCGGACTACCAGAGATTATATTCCTCTGATAATAAAAGATTCAGCTTGCAGACTGATTCTCCAAATATATGATACTGGCACCAATACTTTCAAAATGGTTAAGTAGAAGTTTATTGAATTCTTTCAGTGATTTGTTATTCATTGTAACGGTTCGGTAGCCGGCTGGATAATGAGTCTGTGTGATTTAGATGTAATCATGAGATTCAGTGCCCTATTGTAAATCGCTCAAATTGTCCTCAACTTGCACTGCTGAAGGAATTTCTGGCGGTTTCCCCACTCAGTCTGACAATTAGAAATCGAAGCCTGGAGACTATCATTCTGCCAATATAAGATCACAAGGTGGGCCCACCCTTAATGTTAGAGATGAAGTCTAGATGAAGTCTGTCCAGTCACAAGGGAATTTTAAACCTGAGAAATTATCATATGACCTCTAGACCCGACGCGCCAAAGTCAATTTGTCTTCCTGACTAGAAATTTCTCCAGGACGAAAATTATGCAAGAGATGTTGATATCGTAAACAATGACGTGTAATTCAGGACCTGAAACATGCGCCGCGCATGAAAGTCAAGATATTTTTCTCAACCATGATCTCAGTTCTTAATTACTGGCATCGACGATTTGCGGCAGCGTTACTCTTTTGTAAAGAAAGACAAAGAAAGAGAATGATTATTGAATTTACCAGGAATAATAACCTCTAGTTCTAGAAAGTGCAGTTGTAAAGAATTCTTGGCATTGTTTGATTTCATGAATAAGTCATCTTCGGGGACTATAGACTTAGTACGACTATATAAAATCCAACACACCTGACATAAAATCAATAAGTTTATTTTGGGTGACCCTAGTGAGGAACAACCTTATGCTGCCTATTCGTGATCGTCATTAAATTGTTATGTTGGTGGCGACACTGTTTTGAGTGTATTAACGCAATTTTAATTAACTGAAGTGGTAAAAACTCATTAAGAAACCTTTCCACGTTCTAATTCATTTGGGGACTAACCGATGGGGGCTTTGGGGACTAATTTACTAACACGTTGAGCACTTTCACTAGGCAATGTAAAATTTAAATGATATTAGTAAGAGTAAGATCTTTTGTTGTTTGTTTACTCAGAAGTTGCTTGGAAATCTGTCGTCGAAACTCTCTGTTGAAACAAATATTATCGACTGCCCTTCTACGTTTCGGCGCTCTGTACTATTTCAGTTTAATGCCTTGAAACTCCTCGGTTCCTTAGAATTGATGACAGCGTTGTTTATTGATTTATAGGAATTCTTAGCTTTGCCAAGCCGTTAATCTGCCAAATCTTTGAGCTTTCCGAACCCTTTGTGTCCGCTTGAATAAAACTGCCTCAGTTAATTGAAAGATACCTTGTGTGTTTGTTCTCATTTATTCACTGCAAGGTCAAAGAATCTCTTTCATTAAGCACCATTTAGCTGGCAAAATGAGCCAGAGGGATCTTCAAAGATTAAACTGTCATTCCATAGATTAAATCGCTCACTCTCGTAAACAATTTAGACGAGAAGGTTATAGTAAGCGCAAGAGCAAATCACGACAGATTAAGCACACAGGTGAGGATTGACTTAATATCGACATCTATAAACGGCTCAAGTAAGAGTCAAATGAATGTGCTTGTTCACATTTGTTATCCAAATCAATGCTTTGGTTGCTTGGAGAGGTACTTCTTGATATGAGTTTAGTTATATTTCGTAAAGTCATAGCTCCCTTTGGAAATTGGTCAAATCGTACTCAGCTTCCGTAGTCTTTCGCTTCTTACTGTAAGAGACACACCAATAATCAGGTTTTCCCAAAGCTTATTTATTTATTCATTTTTTTATCTATTTGTTGAACGGCAATATTTAACCAAACTGGCCCAGATCAGCTGTAAGCTCAGTGGTTTAAATGGGGGCATGTAGATAGATTTCCCTTCCATGAGGTGTTTCTGCTCGGGCGTAATCCAGTTTTAAGGATGATTGTCTTCGGAAGTCAGATTTTATTGATCGTCAATATACCGCTTAATGTAGAAGCCCTCACTCCTTTTACATCATATATATAAAGTCTCGCGGGCGAGGTTCATTTTCTTAAAATTTAATCTCGTGCATTTGCAGGTATCATTTAATTTCCCCTTGTGTACCATCAGTTCATTTTCTCTCGACCCCTTTGGTAAATTCTTAGCTAAGTCCATAGTTGGCTTCTCTTTCTTTTTAAGGGATTTAAGACCAAAGTTGTCCACGCTCACTTTTCCTGAACTGTGTTTGCAAAGGGAATGCTTCGTTCCAAATTCAAAGTTTTTCGGGATTCACGGATTGCTATTGATTTGACGTTTTCGCTTCGTGGAGAGGGGTATTTTAAAGCAGGAAATTTACAATTTATCGTAACTCTCACGCGCATAACATTCGTAGTAAGTTTGATTTGTCCTTTGTGTAATCAAGAAGATTTTGGCGACGTACATTTTAAGACTTTTCATTTCATGATCAATATAAATTCCTCTAGGGAAAAGAAAGCGACTCGAAAACCACTCCCTCAATATGGTAATTTTTGCCGTGCGGCGAAGTGAAGGAACTCATTACAAAACAAAGCGAGTTTCCTTTCAATGTCAATGGTTTGTTACCTTTGATTTTTCTTTTCTTTTCGATTCACTCTTGATTTCGAGGTAAGTGACATTGATTACCTGTCGTTTCTCGATAAAAAGTGATTTATATTAGAAACCAAAAATATTAAAACTTTTGAGTCTTCGAGTTAATTTAAGAGCTTGACGATTTTCCATTTTATGATCCGTATAAGCTTCATTTGTAGAACATCAGCAACTTTGATTCAAAAGCTATGGGCTTCAATAAGCATAACTCAACGCAAATGATGTAAAGTCGTACACTTAGAACAGAAAGGAGTGTTTTCCTTCATCGCCAAAGGGTTGTGCTCTTTTTCTTCACTCTCTTACTAAGTTAATGTTAATCCTAAGTCAAAGTAGTTTGATCGATTCAGAGTGGCTTACAAGCTACTGAAGGAGGAAAATGAGGAAAAA